CTATTTACCGGTAGTCTTTTTGTCTAAACTGGGAGCGTTTGCCACCATAGTGACATTATCAATTCCCATAGAGTGAGTACAGTATACAACTTTTTTATCGTTTGTCCAATACGGTTCAACTTTTCACCAATCTGCTTCTTTTTCTTTCAGAGCAAATTGCTACATGTACAATGTACAGTACACACAAATAATTTTGCCAGGTGACTGGTACAGTTTAACATGAGTCAACAAGACAACCCACAGTCACTATGAACATGACTGACAAAGAAAGCAGACAAAATATACAGTTCCTCAAGTGGACAAAGGAACATCCCTTCACTGCTATTATGTAAAAATGTGTAGAACAGGTGTTACATGCATATTCACCTTTTTACATAATAGCAGTGAAGGGATGTTCCTTTGTTTACCTGAGGAACTGTATATTTTGTCCGCTTTCTTTGTTCGTCATGTTCATAGTGAGTGGCACAGTCCCACACACAAAAAACCCTACAAAATAATGTTCAGTTGACTTCTAATACATGTCTGGAACCATTGCATTTTCACCATACTACGGCTTGTTTACTCAAATATCTCATGGATGAAATTCAATGTTCGTAAAAATAAATTTCTGAACTTCTATATTCACTTAACATACTGAGCTCTACAGAGTTACTTCTCAACATAAAGGGGGGGGGGGGGGGGGGGGAGGGGGAGGGGCACAAAGGAAAATAGACAATTCGCCTAACTAAACACTTATGGGGGGATAAAGTTTATTTATGACGAGTTACCACCTTTCTTGCCCTTTTCATGCTAATGAGTTCCCTCACTATGAACATGGCGGACAAAGAAAGCGGACAAAATATACAGTTCCTCAGGTAGACAAAGGAACATCCCTTCACTGCTATTATGTAAAAAGGTGAATATGCATGTGACACCTGTTCTACACATTTTTACATAATAGCAGTGAAGGGATGTTCCTTTGTCTACCTGAGGAACTGTATATTTTGTCCGCTTTCTTTGTCAGTCGTGTTCATAGTGCCTTCCCTCCCTCCCTCGTGAATGAACACATCTACATGTACATGTATTCCACTTCTAAATGAATATGAGAAATAAAATAAAATAGCAAATAGCAAACAGGCATTATGCATACTTTTGCATAGAGTCTACAACACTTTTATTTTAAGTGCCTTTGACTCAAAACTCGTTGCTTCTTTCCTGCCTACTGGTCAGACAAACCATTGATAAAATCTTGTTTTCCTTTTTTCGCTAGAGCTCTCTCAAGAGGAGTCTACATACAGTACTTGTACACGTAATGTTAGGATATGGATAGAGTGACTTAGGGTCCAATTTTGATTGTCATTGTAAGATTTGTAATTAAGGCTGAACCATAAAAACCCTGTCCAGGGTCGCAAACTCGCAATTCCTATACTACACCCCCACCCTTCCCTCCCCTCCCCATTTCATACAATGCACTAAATTCTCAGGTGATTAGGCAATGAGAATATCATTGAAATTCGCCTCTAAATGTAAGACATTTCCCTATATTTCTTGTCATAGTATCATTACTTTATCATTACTCACATAACAAGCCACAAAATCAAGATTGGCATCACACCTTTGTACTGTACAAGTTGCTTATAAATGGACTCTTTTATCTTGTCGCATGTTAACACGAACATGGGCATCAAGAAGCGTTGTTGATATTAGTCACTCATAATCTTTTTTCTCCATAACTCCAGAAAAAAGTAGAGCTGATAAAAAGAAACTGAAGTAAAAGAGTGATTTACAAGTGGGCCCATTTGCCATGTTACAAACTTCAAAAATCTGTTTTTTTTCCTTCTGAGAAAATTTAATCACACATTCACCCTAAATATTATTATTGCAAATATGTTTTTATACTACCCCAGTATGAAATTAATCTATTCCACCATCAACTAGAAATATCGCAATCTGTATTGCCGTGCAATGCGAATGTATCCCACGGCAGTGGCAGCGATTTGTGTCATCCTTATGGTCGAAGGAGGGACAAAAATCCCCTCTCCCCTCCCTGAAACAATAGGATGACACAGAGAACGCCACAAGTGGCTCAGAGTTTCAGACTATTGTCAAGACTAAGAGCAGCATCACCAAAACTTTATGTGTGTCGATAAGAGTATAATGCATCTCTGTAGAAAATTTGAAAGAAATCTGTCAAGAAATGTGGCAGTTAGAGTGCACAAAAGACAGCCACCAAAATATGACCTTTGACCCTATAACAGACGATACACTGGTGGCAGCATCACCAAACACTATAGATGTGTAGATTGTACTTAGACACACCTCCATACAAAATTTGAAAGCAATCCTTCAAGAAATGTGGCAGTTAGAGCGCATAAAAGACATATGACCTTTGAACATATAAAAGATGGAACAATGAGGGCAGCAATGCCCAAAAGTGTAGATTGTATCAAGATACAGTACATTTCTAATTCTCTATTCGAAATTTGAAATTTACTTTTGACCCTATAAAAGACGGAACACTGGAGGCAGCATCATCAAAATCTATAGGCTTGTAGATTATACCATGATACACCTTTTTTTTAAATTTGAACAAATACCTTGGAAAAATGTGGCCTATAGAGCACACACAAACCATCCAAAAAATATGGCCTTTTAACCTATAGAAGACGAAACACAGGGGGCAGCATCAGCAAAATTTGAAAGAAATCCGTCAAGCAATGATGCAGTTAGACTGCACACACTAGTCACCATCAGAATATGACCTCTGACCCTATAAAAGACGGAACACTAGAGGCAACATCACCAAAATCTATAGGTGTTGAGATTATACCACGATACACCTCCATTCAAAATTTGAAAGAAATCTGTCAAGGAATGTGGCATTTAAAGCGCACACAAGAACAGAAATCCGGACATTTGGTCCCAGTTTCTGAGTGGTGATTTTGACAGTGATGGAGCTGGAAAACATTTTTACCATGCCATCGGCTGGCACTCTCCCTGGCACAGGTAAGCATCTCAGCATCGGCCTGGACAGTGCCAGGTGACCGGGATTTTTTTTTTTTTTGCGGCCGAATATTCTGGTACGAGAAATCGTACTCGAGTACATGTACACCTGTAGTTGTCAACAGTGCGGGTACTCCAGCATTCGACTACTCGTCGCAGCCCTAGTACAGTACATACTCATGAGGCCAAATAAAAAACAAACATGTTTAGCGTCCTGTTTTTTCGAAAAATAGGAAGGAGGAGGCCCTTTCTATTTTTTCTTTCAAAATGGCCACTCAAAATGGCCGCTCGGTACATTTTCCCTGACAGTAGGGGCTATTTTTCAAGATGGCCGCCGATATATATTATTATTTTTTTTTTAAATCAGAAATAGATCAATTTTAGCAGTGTTTTTCATGTTTTTTTTCTTTAAAAAAAAAAAAAAAAAAAAAAAAAAAAAAAAAAAAATCAAAAATTCAAAAATTTCAAAAATTTCAACAAAAAAAATAGGAGGCGGCCCCCCAAAAAGGAAGTGGGCGGGGACGCTAAACATGTATATTTTTTTAAATGGCCTAAAGCCTCCTCTTGTTGATTCAATAAAAACATCATCAAATAGCATAGCACGAACTATCATGAATTACGATGAATAATTGTCCTTTATAATATATTATCCAACATTTATTTGTGAGTATTAGAAGATTGCTGAAGTTTTGCTAGTAAACTTCTTCCAATTGCTGTTTTAAATCAACGGTCCGAATATGCAACCTGTCTGGACACACATCGTCTGCATAGCCAGCTCCAGCCCATCCCCCATGGGTTGAAATTACAAGTTAATTGTTTCTTTCTTAATTAATCAAGGATTAATGAAACTAAAGGTGAAAGCAAAATGGAAAAAATTCTACCAACAGCTTTGTCACTTATGAAATTTGTCCTATCCCTGGCATTTGTATCTCTGAGAGTCTGACAACTTACACTGAACCGTTTACCCCCTCCCCACGTCCACACCACCATTCCAAACTTGCTAACACAATCACATTTTGGATAGACCTCAGTCATACAACCCCCGTAGTTTGTTGCTTGTGAATATGAAAAGCATCAGCCTATTCTCCCTAACTAAGTAAGGAATCGCTGTTCAACTCAAGTTCAACACAAACAGTTCTTCAACTTCAAATAGGCCTAGATATTATTAGAATAATTATGACAATGAGTTAAAGGTAATACAAAGTTTAGGGAAATTTTGAAAATTGGCAGGATAGTGATTCTTTACAATATTGATATATTTGGATGCCCATGTGGATGTAATTTAAGCACCAGAAAATTGAGCTCCTAAAACACTTCTGTTTTCGAGAAAAATTGAATATAAAAATTTACCGGTGCTCCCGGTAAATTGTGATAAATTTGAAATAGAGCCTACGGCCATGCAATGATAGTTGCGACCATGAAAATCTCATTATATGTAGTTATGATATATAATTTCCAAACGGGAATAGATCTAGCTACTTGGTTGATTTAGTCATATATTGTCTTATACATGTAGCTTTATTAATATCTTGACCTTGAGAGGGAGCTATACAACATAAAGAGTTTATTAATTACAATTTCATAACTTTAGAACCGATTTCAACCACGACAAAGGCATCACTGAATATTGTAGGATCGCATCACTGGATCGCAGATGCTTCCAATAAGTCCATTTGATTTTGAACCAAATTAATGACCCCATAGATCTAGTAAAACTTTGTATTATCTTTAACAATATTAACAGAATTGAAACTTTTTAAAACTAAAAGTAGACAAGTCCATCCACTTGCAGTTACTGAGCTCATTCGAGAATCAACATAAAAATTGGGGCAATCAAAAAGCAAAGTGTGACAATTTGAAAATTAAATTCAACAATGAAGTTAATCAATTATGAACATTATAGAGGTCTATAAGACTACAAACTAAAATGCAAAGTGAACTTAATTTCAAACTAACAATAACAACAAAGTTCAAATAACAGGCAATATTGTGCCTAGATTTATCCCTAGATTACTTACACAAAATATATTTGCAAAGCATAACTTTCAATGTAAAAGTGAAGCACACAGGAAGTCACACACAGTCGTAGATTCATTTGCAGTTGTTCAAGTCAAGTGTTCGTTGCTTCAGAGCCGGTGCGCCGTACACCATCACGGAAACACGCCCGGTTCACCGGGCCACGACCAGCGCGACTTTCCGTACGGTAACGGCTGTCAGCACTGTGCGTAAGACAATCGGGGAACGTTTGGGCGTTGATTAGCAACTTGCAAGCAAAATTTTAAACGTCCTGTCCAAGAAGATAAGTCCAATCGACTGTCCAGTACTATATTGAAGTTCTCAAATAATTGCGAATTGTAGCTCACATTCCCAGCACAAATTCCATGGCCGCCACAGCTCAGGCAATGGCTTCAAAGTTTATCGAGTCTCCGTGGCCATATTGTTTCTTGTTCTAGTCGCACACATAGCTAGCCAACTGTATGTACTACACGCGTACGTACAGTACACGTATACACTTCTTCAAATTTGTGGTCAATTTTCCGTGCCGTTTGTTAACAAATATCTGTCGAATTAAATTCTTTGGTAGATAGAAATTGATATCAGTTGTAGCATGAATTATTAAATCTTCAGATAATGACTATTTTATCTGGTTTTATCTTGATTAAGCGGATGATTTACACGGATTGTTTTCTGGATTTTTTATTCTTCGTTCCTTCCCAACTCAGACATCTCCGAACGTACGATCGATGTATGATGACGATACTGGTAGTATCGCGGTTTATAAGATATGACAACGAAACTGACAACAACAATGAATATGATGGTCAGTCATATCATCAGAAAGTTTTGTTTGATTTAAAAGTTCATTCGAATCTTAATCCGTGATTATTCTACACCCATAAAAAAAAAAATAGAAGAGTTGATAGATGGTAAATAAAAATAATTTATTGAAGCCTTAGGGCTGACGATTTCGATCGCCAGCTAGCCCCCCCCCCCCCCCCCCCCCCCCCCCAAGGGCCCTTTTTAAGAATGGCCATTTGGAAGAAGGCTCCCCAACAGTTTTTATCTACACTGCTCCCCCCACAATAGGCCCCTGTTTCTTTTTTTGAGGAATCCATTGACATATTGTGCTCTGGAAACCATTTCCCTAACACCACCACCAACAATAATAATTATTATATAACTCCAAAATTTGAAGATTTATTTGTATAATAAATATCTGGCTTTCCCGCAAAGTATTTGAAGGAATTGTAAATATGTGGATTGAGATTCCCAGACTTTATTTGATAAATGGGGTATATTGGATTCTCTTTTCTTGTCTCTTTCTGGCTCTCTTTTTTTCTCTTTCTCTCTCTCTCCTTCTCATTCGGACTGAAAAAGTATGGAACATGATCATGTATGTTTGATGGATATGAAGAATTATTAGTGTGTAGATGAATTGTGAATGGAAATTGTAAAGGCGTGTTCACTGATCACACAACATAACTCTCTTTTTATTTAACTACGAGGAAACAAGGTTGCACTGGCAATAAAATACATGATAAAAAGTATTCCTTTTTCGTTATTTTATTGGGTACTGATTTGCAGACACAACACTTGCAAAGTGTAGTCATGCAAGCAAATAAATGATTCAGAATGGGAATCACATGAATGAGTATCGTGGATATTGCACGGAGTTTAAATGGTCATGTATGAGATGGACATGAATAAATGCAGTGAATGAATAGAGCTTACGACAATGGTAGAAATGACGTCGAAAGTCCATGAAGATGATGACGGATAAAACGAAGAAAGGGGCTCACGCGATGGTTGTGCGGAGGCTTGATGATGGAAACGCGACTTCGTTGACGTGGCTGAAGAGCCGAGAAGAACGCGATGTCGATGCCGACGCTCATGATGATGATGAATGTAGCGCTCAGGCGAGAAGAGAAGAGAAGAGATGAGAAGAAATGTGGCGCTCGACGACGAGGCAGTGAGTCGCTCGATGTCAGAGGCCCAGGTTGAAATGTGGACATCAAAGCCGGTATAGTGGTGATCGTGAAGAGCAGTGAGTCGCTCGATGCTGGATCGATGAGCCGGACTTTGAAGTGAAATCCTCCGAGTTGCAGTGAGATGGACTCGTTGATGAAAGTTCAGGCGAGCTACAGTGAATCGAGCTCGTGTGTGAAGAGAGCTACCGGAACGAAGCAGCTAGCAGCTCCCAGTGGAGAATCAGGAGCCATGTCGGTTCCTGATTTAAGCGTTCCACTGCAAGACTGCCAGTCCTTTGAAGACGGCAGGATAAAGAGTTTATGTGCCATACAAGAGGTGATAGGCACGGAAGAGAATTCTCCAATTGAAATGCAGGAGGTTAGAATTGTAGAAGGATTTGCTCCTTGTGTATGCATGAAGCAAATTGTAGAAGTAGAGGTGACATTCTCATATTGACGTGTTACGTCATCGAAGAACTATGAGAAGTGTGGTAGAGAAGACAGTTAGAGAGTAGATGTTGTTTTCATCCTTCTTGGGAGGCAGGATAAAACAAAGAGGGTACTATATACCAATTCTGGGAAGGGAGAGTGAGTCACTGGTGATTACCAGGTACAGGGACATTGAAGCCATTATGCTGACACTTGTTGATAAATATATAGGGGTGGCAGTGCCTGGCATAATGTCGGAGGGCAATGTCCTCCCAAATTGGGTTTGCAAATTAAGTGACAAATAAAATTGAGAAATAAAGAAAGATGAAATGAGGAAAATACTACATCAGCCCCCTCCTAGAACGTTGAATAGAAGGAAACGGGCGATAATAGAGAAAAAGTAATATTCCGAATGAAAATATATGAGAAAGTCTCATTTGAAATGCCAAACTTGAACATAGCGATCTGAGAAATGTACTGTTCTCCCTGAACGAGTTACAAGCATGGTATGTGAAAGGCTTTCAGTAGTAATGATTAGAACAGTAATACATGACATGGTATGCATCGAATAAACGTGTATGAATGCAAGAGCATAAAACATTCGAAACAAAATCCAGGATGTATACATTTGAAGAAAGACAAAAATGAAATTGTTAAGTCCAAAAAGTCAGGGAATAATAAAATTGTACAACCAAGCTTCCAAGTAAACGCGGGGTCACCAATATGGAATTAAAATTGGTGAATGTACTACATCATGACATAAAATGGTAAATGGACATTATTGAATGAAATGTAATGACATAATAAAAGCTTACGACTGATAGAAAATGACGTCGAAAGTCCATGAAGATGATGAAGGATGAAACGAAGAAAGGGGCTCACGTGATGATTGTGCAGAGGCTTGATGATGGAAACGCGACTTCGTTGACGTGGCTGAAGAGCCGAGAAGAACGCGATGTCGATGCCGACGCTCATGATGATGATGAATGTAGCGCTCAGGCGAGAAGAAAAGAGAAGAGATGTGGCGCTCGACGACGAGGCAGTGAGTCGCTCGATGTCGGAGGTCCAGGTTGAAATGTAGACATCAAAGCCGGTATAGTGGTGATCATGAAGAGCAATGAGTCGCTCGATGCTGGATCGATGAGCCGGACTTTGACGTGAAATCATCCGAGTTGCAGTGAGATGGACTCGTTGATGAAAGTTCAGGCGAGCTACAGTGAATCGAGCTCGTGTGTGAAGAAGAAGCTAGCAGCTCCCAGCGGAGAATCAGGAGCCATGTCGGTTCCTGATTTAAGCGTTCCACTGCAAGACTGTCAGTCCTTTAAAGACGGCAGGATAAAGAGATGATGTGCCATACAAGAGGTGATAGGCACGGAAGAGAATTCTCCAATTGAAATGCAGGAGGTTAGAATTGTAGAAGGATTTGCTCCTTGTGTATGCATGAAGCAAATTGTAGAAGTAGAGGTGACATTCTCATATTGACGTGTTACTTCATCGAAGAACTATGAGAAGTGTGGTAGAGAAGACAGTTAGAGAGTAGATGTTGTTTTCATCCTTCTTGGGAGGCAGGATAAAACAAAGAGGGTACTATATACCAATTCTGGGAAGGGAGAGTGAGTCACTGGTGATTACCAGGTACAGGGACATTGAAGCCATTATGCTGACACTTGTTGATAAATATATAGGGGTGGCAGTGCCTGGCATAATGTCGGAGGGCAATGTCCTCCCAAATTGGGTTTGCAAATTAAGTGACAAATAAAATTGAGAAATAAAGAAAGATGAAATGAGGAAAATACTACAGATAAAACAGAATCGCTGTCCTTCATGTACTTCGAATAATAATTTACTTTGTTTACAAGTTCATTGTAAGCTCATGTATCCGACGATCAATTAAAATAATAGTAATAGATATGTGCTCTGGGTGACATAAAAATGGGTTTAAAATCATTCTTTTTTTGTTTAAGTTAAACAAAAAAGAAGAAAATAGTTGCATTAGCTGGGTATCGAACCTGATACCTTCCAGTCACCAGACTCTAGTCATTTTTATTGTTGGGGGGCTTGAATGATGTTTCTAGGGGTGGCTTGACCCCGCCCCCCCCCCCCCACTCCGAGAACGGACGGACCCCATGCGTGTTACCAAAATGTTCGGTAAAGGGGTACTTTTCGTGCGACAAAGTCCGGCCCGAGAATTGTAAAAAAAAAAGGGGTGTATTAACTTTTCACCCGGAGATTTCTTTAAAAGGGGGTGTTTTTTCTTTTTTTCTCTCATCTCTTTGGACTCCTGAGAAATTATTCCGAATTAAGGGGGATACCATTTTTCATAATTTAGGGGGGTCTCCAAGGCAGGAAAAGCCCGCGAAAAGCCCGCGAAAGGGGGGGGGGGGGGGTTCGGAAATGGTGGCAGTCCTAGATAGGGATGCTTTCAAAAAGAGGGAACAAGCATAATATGTGTACCCTAAATAACAAGTGGGGGGGGGGCGGGGATTTGACTCCCTAAGCTTCCTAGTAGTTCTAGAACCGCTACTTTATCCCTCGTAGTTTACCTACCAGTTCATCCACCCCCCCCCCCCCAATCGGTTCGCTATACCAATCGGTTCGCAATCTTCTGCGCTGCTAGTCTTTTTCCAGCCCAGACGTACAGTCTTTTTTGATTCACTTTCTGAAGTCAGGCTGGAACAGATGTCACTCAACTTATGGTTTTTGTATCTTTAACAAATATATAACCATGTCACGAGGAACGCAAGAAAGAGGTAATGATTTTGAGAGAGGATTGTAATTTTAGTAAATGTTGATGACGTGAGTGCTGCGAACATCAGCTAGTCAAGCTCGAGAAAGGGGTTAATCTATGCAGTGAAATAAATAAACTTCAGTCCGATACGTAGGAATACGTGTAAGTCGTTAACTGATAACTGAAGAGGTCGATATCGCTTTCGATGATTGTAATTGTGCTTTGAAGTTTGATGTTGTTGTTGTTGATGATGATTATGTCTCAATTAATGCTCTTCACTTCACCGAGTCTGTTTAGACTAGGATCTTGCTTATATGAACATGATGAAACTGAGCTGATGATTATGATAGCTGATCAGCCGACAGCAAAGATCTAGAGATTCTAGACCTAGATCTAACTGTTAGACCTAGATCTAGATCTATATTTCTTTAACTCTCTGGGAGTGGGAAGATCAAAAAAAAATTCTAACAGCGGGTTGGGCGACATTGCCTCAAAATATGCGAAGGGAGTAATTACAATTTTGAATTACTAGGTTGCTCGACTCCTCTGGGCATCTATCCATCAACTTGAAATTATAATTTGAAGAAGTCTTCACTGGGAAAAATGTGGTGACTCTTCGTCCTACCCCAACGATTCTTCCATGTTGTATCGTCGATTCAACTGGCGAAGAGAAAGTACACATGGTGAAGAGAAAGTACGCATGCGCGGTAGTGCGTATTTTCTCTTCGCCGGTTTGAAGGGTATCAGTAGTGTACTTCTGCTTTTTGTCAGTTGTCCTCATCAAAACTGTTCAGCATGTGGATGAATGTTTGTGGTTTTGATGCTTGAATGCTTCCATGCATCATCATCATCACCAACATCATCATCATCATCATCATCATCATCATCATCATCATCATCATCATTCTCATCTTTCTCAATACTATGCTTATATTCTTATCATTATTATTAGTGTTATTGTTATTATGATTGATATCATTTTTATTATTATTATTATTATTGTAATCATGATTTATGATTATCAGGATTATTCATTATTTTGTGTGGCAGTCAGGGATGTTGTTTTAGAAGTAGAATAGATCCATGTAGCTTGAGTGTTTTATGTTTAATTCTTTATTCAAAATGTTCACTTTTATTTTGAAATAGGAAGAAATTATAGGCCCGGGGGTGAGTACAAAGCTCGGTGGTGGTGTTCAGTCTATGCACATTTTATGTTACTCAAACTACATGTATGCTCAAAAACAGTAACATAATGATAGACCTGGTTATAAATAAGACTTTCAAGAATATCTTGCAACATTTTAGACTATTCTTAACTTGAGATGAAATTCTGCATCACATTTGATTGTTCTTCAATTAAAGAGATGGAATAGTGGGTTGTTTTTCTTGAAATACATTACAGCTATTTCCTCTCTCATTTTTAAAATAATATTGTTGCTTCATATAACCTGGGATAGAATGACTATACAGAGCTAACATAATATTCTGGTAGATACATATTACATGTACAGTATGTACTTTAATCACTTGTATGCAGCTTGTTACTACATACCTAACAAAGTAGATAGCAATTGATTTCTCTGTCCCCTGATGTGTCTATCTTCCTCACACTCTCTGTCTTTGTGTGTCTCTCTCCATCTACATCTCTCTGTCTGTCCTATTCTTTGTTGCTAGAAAATATTGCTTCACAACATTATATATTTTAGTAGAACAGACATTGGGATATTAAAAGGAAGTATTTTGGTGACATGACTGTATGACCTTGCGCAAGCCCGAATGAAATAGAGTAGTGTCAATGAAATGCAAACTTTGGTGCCATTTCTATTCCTTTAGTAGATATTAGGTTGGAGATCAGCATCAAATATGTATCGATAATTTCTATTTTTATTTCTTAAAGAATGTATTAGATAGGATAGGTGCTTGAACCTATTAATATGCCACTGGTTACTAAATATTAGTTAGTCTGATGTAGATGGGTCACAATCCAGTTGTTCAACTTTGACTGGATATGAGAAGGTTGTGGGTTCAAGCCCTGGCATGGCACTAATATATTTTAGCAAGACATTAATCTACATTTGCCACTCTCAACCCAGGTGTTAAATGGTAAGGCGTGCATGTAAGGGAGGAATTCCTTGAATGCTGTCAGCAAGGAAATTAGTAGCCTAGCTAGAGCCAAGATTAACTTGAGCACATTGTGTGAAAGATACATGTATGTATGCCAATTGCTAAACATATTCAATGTTATAATTAATATTATTATTATTGTTATTAACTGACTACTACTGCTTGGGATTGTTTGGGTCTTATTGATCCTTTTATTATTTGGACTAGCGTTGGGACATGCTACTTTTACTACATACATGTATGTGCATATTCATAACTACATGTAACAGTGGTACATGTGAAATGACCTTTGACCCCTCTGTCCACTCAAATTACACTTCCATTGGGTTATAAACATGTTAAGGCCTACTTCCTTCTGTTTACTTCTAGATTATACATGTATGTAAGTGATCAAAGATTTATTGAGTATTATTTTGTAACAGGTCTGTAATCCTTCAATCCTTGAACATGTTGAGAGTCAGAGACAGTTTGGGAAGTGGTTGTACTGTACAGAAATTGCACCAATTTCAATGTTTTAATTTAGTCTTCTTATCTTGCAGTTCGGAGCAATGCGAGTAAGACGATGGGGATCAAACTTGATGGAGGGATCAATGCCATCAGTCTCAACAAGGATGCAACTCAAGTCGTAGCTGCTGGCAGGCAAGGTGAGTGGTTGTATCAAATTATTTGTGCCAAAGAAAACAGTTAAAGCCCATCTGTACTAGTTTACAGGAGGGAATAGACCACCCTGCAAGGTCACTGACGGGTGGTTATCTCATCAAATCAGCTCTCACTTAACATAAGAAAGAGAGGATCATGGGGAATCAATGGTCACCAATAAGGCATTGTTTGCTATATAAAGGGCGCAAGTAGCTATACAATGTAAGTAGTGCAGTGGGGCTTTAAAGAAGCTTTATATACAGCAACGACAACAAAAATAATAACATCATCATACAGTGCTGTTGGAACCAGGGGAATTGAATAGACTTGACTCCATAAGCTCGGCTTGCACAGCTACATGTATATATAAGTATGATGTATGTATCGTCTTGCAGTACAGTGCAGTCTCATTTACATGTATCTGGCATCCAACAGGAGAAGACTCTGTTTGAAATTGAGGCTGCGAGTCAGTTCACCAATTATTATTATCCAATTTTGAGTACTGGTGATGCATTTAGGAGTGCAGTCTCATTTACATGTATCTGGCATCCAACGGGAGTAGACTCCGTAGACGCCGTGTAGTGCATGTACATTGTACATGTAGATGGGCTGTTTGAACCAGCCAGATATATATGATCATGACAAATATTCATGGAGACGTGGAAATAAAGCAAAAAATTGACTCTGTAAATTGCAATAGTCGCCTCAGAGTCGCCTCAGAATTCTTCGATATTTTGTATGAAGTACACGTTCATGAAAAATAACTGTGTGTTGTACAGTTTATTTCTTCATCCCTTATATGGCAAATTGAAAATCAAATTGTTGGTATAATGTTGTAATTCTTTGAAATGATGATGTCTTAATTGTTATTATTTTATCTTGTTTATTTTCTCAGTTTTCAAGATCTTCCACATTGAAGAGATGGGATTCCGAGAGCGGATAGACCTTAGGGTGGGGCGGATGAATCTCAACTACAGCTGTAACGATGTAGCCTGGCACCCTAGTAAAGGTAAGTCATCGGTTGGTTGTGTTTTACGTGATCGCTAAGAAAGCATGTGTATGCTTGTAAGTAAGCAACCAGGGGATCAATGGCTTTAAGTCCTTTCCAAGGGACTTGGTAATGAGGATTAATGCCTTACCAAAGGGCAGTAGAGCATCTACCTGGTTTCGAGAACACTGCTCTACCACGGAGCCATCGTGCCTATAGTCATATTGAAGAGATTGGATGCAGAGAGAGGTTAGGGTAGGGCAGATAAAAGAGACCTTAGGGTGGGGTGTATGAGAGGTGCCTGAGGGTGTATGAATGAACCTGAACTTCAGCTCCAACGATGTAGCAAAGCAAATTGTACTCTCTCCAACAGGGAAACCTTGTTCTAAAATCTGCATGTACATGTATTTCTTAGTAGTTTGAAAATGAGTAGAGTAATCAATTAAGTTATATTTTGAGGGGGAAAATAATCTATTGGTAAGATAGAAAGCAAAACATTCTTCCATCTTAGGTCTATCTTTGGTTATTTTCCAATAATTGTACAATCAGTTTTCAAAAATTATTTTGTTCACAAAATTAATTCGTTTCTTTACTCTTTTATTTTAAAAACAATATTTTATTTTCAGATTATGTACTTAATTGATTTGATTTGATTTGATTGCATTGTTTACAACGTCAGTGTGGTAATCATTTTTGTTCCCTCTTTTGATCAGATGAGTTGATAGCTACTGGGGCCACCAACGGAGCAGTTATCACATGGGACCTGAACAAGCCGCAGGGAAACAAGATGGACCAGGTCTTTAGTGATCACAAGAGAACTGTCCACAAGGTGTCCTTCCATCCCAAGGAGTGGTACATGCTCTTCAGCGGGTCCAACGATGGCTCTATGAAGTTCTTTGTAAGTACATGTATTGATATTGTCTTTTTTCATGTCCATCATCTGTGCTCAAATGTTATGCCAGGTTTTTGCACACTAAAGAGCCTTCTCATTTCCTGCCACTTGGTCTTCCAGTCAGTATTGGTCATTCAGGAGTGGGCATCTAAAAAAGAGTGACATAGATTGCACGGATGTTCCACACTCGCAGTCGGTGTCTGTGTCAGACATTGCCTTTGATTACTGTTATGCACTCAAGGCCTAGATCGTATAGATATTATCACACTCAAGATATAGACTAGGACCATTGTTTCACACAGAGGTCTGGTACTTGTGTTATCCCAGAGAGTAATACATGCTCTTCAGTGGGTCTAACGATGGCTCTATGAAGTTCTTTGTAAGTACAGTGAAACCTGTCTATAAAAGCCACCCGAGGGAGACAAGAAAAGTGGTCTTTATAGGCAGGGGGTCTTTATGTACAGGTTCCTTTAGTACATGTTTTAATGAGAAACCATTTTCAAGGGAAACAAAAAAACGTGGTCTCTGTAGACAGCTGGTCTTTCTATACAGGTGGTCACTAAAGCAGGTTTGACTGTATTGACATTGCCTTTGATTACTGTTATGCACTCAAGGCCTAGATCGTAGAGATGTTGTCACACTCAAGGTATAGACTAGGACCATTGTTTCACACAGAGGTGTGGTACTTGTGCTATTCCAGAGAGTGGTTCAACCTCTTCAGTGGTCCCGTTAATCATCTCTAACATTGTCTTTCACATTCCTAAATACTCCTTTGCTTTGTAGGACCTCAGAAGCAATAAATGTGAAACGACGTACGGGAACGGTCAGTCAGAGTGCATACGTGATGTCCAGTGCAGTCCACATCAATACTTCATACTGGCGGCCACGCTGGACAATGGACATATACAGGTATGTCAGTGTAGTTCCTCCCTATAAGACTAACTTTTGTTTTGTAGGAAGGACATTTTTCATGGGCAGTCATGTTGCACCATCTATCTAGTGTTAAACAAAATCTTTATAGGTACATTGCGAAGCTGAGAGGTTTAGAAAAAAAAACGGAATACCGGTACAGAAAATGTTGAAATGTGTGTACTCTACACAGAAATATTGTTAGGTTGAGATTGAAAAGAATACAAAGTTTGAAAGGAACGTGTACAGTACATGAGCTGATAACTAATTCCAGAAACGTGGTATAATGGCTGAGGGAGTTTGGTCTTCAAAATATGACCATGTTCTCTGAGCTACCAGAAGGTTCTTACAAGAAGGACAGACACTGAGTCTAGAAAAATAAGACTGTAATCAGAAACCATCAACCACTAAGATTACACTGTACAGAATCCACAGGTATGTCTGTCGAGTCCAGTTATGTTATGTTCATGTTGTGTTGATATCAAAGGTGTTGTCCTCCAGTGAATAAGTCTCCTGTCTGTGAACCACAAGGTATGGGGTTCGAATCCCTGTCGTAGCTCTAATGTCCTTTGGCAAGACATTGATCTACAATTGCCAGACTCCACCCAGGTGAGGTAAATGGGTACCTGGCAGGAATTAATTCCTTGAAATGCTTGAGCGGTGTAATGGCAGCCATGCAAAAACCAGGGTAATAATAATGGAGCACCAGGAGTGTTAATGTGCCAGACATGAGCGCTATACAAGACTCCACTAATATTATTATTAAAACTTTTAAATATACATGTAGACATAAAAGACTATGCTGAGGACACTTCTCTTATAGCCCCACTGTACTACCTACATGTACAGCTACTTGTGCCCTCTATATAGCAAACAATGCCTAATTGGTGCCCGTTGGTCCCCCATGATCCTCTTTTTCTCATGTTAATTGAGGGCTGATTTGATGAGATAACCACCTGTCAGTGACCTTGCAGGGAGGTCTTATCCCCATGGCCAAACTAGTGCAGACAGGCTTTAAACTGTCCTGCATCTTTGTCCCCCTTCTCTTGTAGTTCTGGGACTACAGAGTTCCAGACAAGGTGTTGCTGGATTTCCCTGGTCACAACGGCCCGGCCTTCAACCTGGACTGGCACCCAGAAGAGAGTAAATGGATTGCAACGTGCGGCAGAGATAAGATTATTAAGGTTTGTTTGTTTATTTTTCATCCATTGCATGTGTAATGATTCTATGTACGGTGATTATGAAAATGAGCTTTGGACCTTTGGGTTTGTGTGCTTGTTATCCACAAACTCACAATTTCTTGGAAATGGTTTAATGTTATTTTAAATTGCACATCATGCAGTTGATGGGTAATCTGGACCAACAGAATGTAAACAAACAAGTAATTCTACTGGAAATTGACTGGGGATTAATACTGAAGTTTACTTTTGATCATAAGAGACTGCATGCTCATGTGTTGGACTGCTAACTTGGAAAGGAGACTGCTAACTTGATTTTGATATCTCTCTTTGCTCGTAGTCAGTGTAAATTTTGTTTGATTCTGTGAAAAATTAATTTCTGTCATTACTGGAATTTAAGATTATTTTATTGTTATAATTAATATTATGATGACAATGAAGATGATAATAACAGTGATCATCATCTTCATCTTCATCTTCATCTTCATCATCATTATTATCATTTTATTTATCAAATAAACATAAAAATAAAATATCTAACATGTTTGACAGAAGCTGTAAAAGTGAATTGAGTCAATTTTTTTCAATTCAATTCAATTCAATTTCGGTTTATTAATATCAACATATACAATGTACAATGCAGTAGTCCAGGGGCCAATAATGCAATGTTTACATAAAATGTGCATAAAAACAGGAATGATCATATAAATGTACAATAAAAATGATAAAAGATAAAGTTAAAATTATTGCTCATACCTAAAGTTATATACATATATAAATAAATGATAATAGATGGATGATAATAAATGTTGAACCAGTTATTGCAAGTACAAATAATCTTTAAATTTAACAGCTATTTAAAAAAAAATATATACATAATATATAGAGGGAGAGAGAGAGAGAGAGAGAGGAAATTATTATATTGCAATTGTTAACATGAGATCCATAGACTGAAAAATTATACATGCAGGTGTGTCTGTTGTGTGACAGGTAAGGTCAAATTATGTTGAATATAATTATTACATTAAGAATATATCATTAAAGCATTTCATATAAAGTGATGTATAGTGCCCATGAGCATACACAAATTCTCATAATTGTTGAGTTTCCACATTCAATTTTAAATTGGAGTTGAGTTACAATCATGTTATTGCAGCAGAATTATACACGGTGGTTTAAGAACAACTTCATAAGAAAAATGAAGAGCACTCAATAAAATGTGCACGGAATTTTGAATTTTGGATCGATCTTGAGTTGAATTAAACAAAGTAACAAAACAATAACTCCAATATTATTAAAAAAGAGAAGAAAAACAAATATGATATATTACTATAGATGATCTACAACTGAGCATTGACCAGTTTGACAAGTGTGGGGACACTTGATTTTCTATATCGTTCAGTTCTTGCATAAGGAATGTGTAGGTGGTTAGAATTCCTAAGTCCACCTCGCGAGAGATGCTGTCGTTCTGCCGGAAGCAAATCACGGTGTCGCGAGGAGACAAGGATTGATTTGGCAAAGTTGATAAGTAAGTCACTTCTTCGCCTGGCAAGGGAGGGAATGCCGAAGCTGCTCAGGAGTTCCTCATAGTGCTGTTGATCAGGGTAAGATATCATCCTGAGTGATCTACGTTGTATCCGCTCTATGCTATCTGACTGCTGTGTTGTCAGGCTACTGCTCCACACTGGTGCACAATATTCCATCAATGGTCGGATATACATTGTGTATATGAGCACAAGATCACTGGTTGGAACTCCATTCCTCTTCAATTTGCACAGGATATATAAACGTCTGGATGCACGTTTGATGACCTGTTCCACTTGTAGATCCCACTTTAGGTTTGTCTGAATGATAACACCAAGCAGGCGAAGCGACGTTACAGACTCCAAAACTTGATTTCCAATAGTAATCACCGGTGAAGGTGGACCATTACGCAGGAAACTTACATGCATCACCTTACATTTTTCAGGTTTTGGTTTCATTGAATTCAACTCACTCCATGCAGATAGCGCATCCACATGAGACTGTAGATGACTTGGCTCTGCTTTATGGATAACTTCAGCAATAGTTACGTCATCAACATACTTCCATCTCTTCGAGGTAGTCTCGGCGGCATCGTTGATCATAATTAGGAAGATTACCGGACCGAGTTTGGTTCCCTGTGGAACCCCACATGATAGCTCTTGCTCAGATGATGATGTACCGCAATATCGAGTTGTCTGCGTACGTTGCGTGAGAAAACTAGCTATCACTGTGACGATGGCCGGGTTGACATCCAGTTGAATCAGCTTCTGTAGAGCCTTCGTATGGTCGATGAGGTCAAAGGCCTTCATGAAGTCGATTGTACAAATCGTTGCATGATGACTTGGCTTATCCAGGCCCCGCTGTAGATCATCAAGCAGGCTGACTAGGTAATGCGACACAGAGCTGCCTTTCATATTACCAAATTGCTTTGGATCGATTTGGTGTTTGATATCAGCCATCACCCATTCTGCCAGGAAGCCTTCAAAAACACGTGCTATGATCGGTGTGATTGAAATTGGTCTAAGCTGATTGTATTCAGTGACTGGTGATGTTTTCGGAACAGGACACACTGATGCAGTTTTCCAAGAGCTTGGAAAGTGTCCATTGTTAAGACAATTATTGAAGATGATGGTCAAGGGCAATGACAGTTCATACGCAAACTCCTTTAAGAGTCGGATGGGGACATCAGTTGGGTGTCCAGCCTTTGATGCATTCAACCTTCTGAGCCGTTTGTAGACTTCCTCCCTATCTATGGTTGGGGGACGAGGCCCAGGAAGATAAGCCGATAGGGTAGCCAAGTTGAGAGAAGGAAGTTCATTACAGATCCTGTTGCCTTCAGGTATTCTGCTCTGTCACATAGAGCAAGAGTCACATTGCCTGAAAATGCATAAAAAACATTTACATTATATCAAACTGTAGAGAATAAGCCAATTCATAGTTACAGTCTGAGCATGAGCAGATAAAGGTCATTGCAGACCAAATTGTCAAATACACAGAGACAAAATACTGGATACATGCTCATGAAAATTATGTAATCATTATTCATTTACCAGTATGCACAAGCAATGCACTCCATGATGCACAGGTGGAAGTATTCTTTGAAAGGGGGAAACAAATGCTACTTATGTAGCACCTCTATCGCTGTAGGAGTGATTATTTCAAAATGTACAAAGTGAGACCTCTTCATGTTTTGAAGATCTGTTGATATTCAGGGTCATTTGGGACATGTTCTAATTACCGTGAACTGGTCTATTGTATGAATGGAACAGAATATCATGTTCTGAAATTTCTCTCTCTTTTTAGATTTGGCGATGGGAGGGCCATGGAAATGTCCTGGAACCGGAGTACACCATCTACGCCATTGCTTCAGTCAACCACATCAAGTGGCGCCCCGAGAAGAAGTACCACATAGCCAGCTGCAGCGGGGTCGTGGATCACACCATCTGTGTTTGGGATGTCCGACGCTCCTACATGCCTTTCGCTGTTTTCGAGGAACACAAAGATATTGTCACAGGTAGGCACAGGAAATGTTTTTAAAAACAGGGTTGAAAGATGCTGCATAATTAACATTTCAATTTGGTATCCAATACTTTATAAACTGTGAAACAGAAATATCATCCGATGCTCCTACATGCCTTTTAAAGGTACATGCAAAACATAAATTGATGCACAGTACAGCCATAGATGAATGCTTTCAAATATGTGTTCTTGTCCCTTTAAAGTGACTCAGTAAAATTGCCTCAGATTCTGAAACGAAATCCCGGATTTAGCTATGCTGCAATCACAATTATAAACCTTTTAATAGGTCATTCAGGTATCCTATGACTTTTACAAGCCTTTCTGATTATCAAGATATTTATGATTGTAAATTCAAATTTCATTTTTTGTTTTCCTGACGGTTTTTATAACACTAGAGTCTATTGGGGAAAATGAGTATGGCAAAACCGGTCACTCAAAATTTTTTACTTTTTGAGGCACTTCATGATCATTTTGAATCACAGACACTGATAACACGTAGGGCCATGCATCTAAGATTTAACATTGTTAAACGTTGCCTTTAATTGTCAATATTTTTGTTTTGTTCTGTAGGTATAGCTTGGAGACAGGACCCCCATGTGTTCCTGAGTGGAAGCAAAGACTCGATGCTCTTCCAACACAAATTCAAGGATGCCAAGAGACCTGCTGAGAGTGCTGTAAGATTTTAGATGTATATTAAACCCTATCATAATACACAAACGAATGAGTTTAAAGATATAGACCGGTAGTGGTTCAAGGATTTGGGTGCTAAATATCCATTCGATATAGTTTAAATATTGCCTTCAGAGGTTTAGATGGCAAAACTTCAACCTAAATTTGCAAAAAAGCAGAAATATATGCCACAATGTTCAATGTTGAAGTGTATTCGCGATATCTAATCAGGCCGGATTGATATGATGATTTACCAAATGTATCAGTAAGTAGGCAGTTTCCTGGCAAAATTTGTATCATCACGTATTAGTCAAAACATATTATTTCACATGATTGGTAATAAGAGCTCCCATTTCATTATTTTGAGAGGGGAGCGTTTCCAAAAGTGGTCTATACCTTTAACACCATTCCAATCAATGCCGTATTGCTGAATCATTTCCAGAACCCAGTAGGAGTGTCTATGAGCATCTACGATGATGTCTGTCACGCCTTCAACAAGAGCTCCGCCCGAACCAGCATGCAGTCGCAGCAGAACTACGCCTCGACCAACTTTCCCATGAGATTCCGCAGGACTCCGGAGGTCTCTGAGCAGTACGAGAGATACGAGAGCAGCTTGTTGGTTCATGAGCAGAAGGAGGTCAAGGTGAGCTCTCAATGATCATAAGATGTGCAGTGAATGTCCTTTGGCAAGGCATTGCTCTACATTTGCCACTCCATACCCAGGAGAGAAATGGGGACCTGGTAGGATGACGAAAGCCTTTGTGTTAGTAACTGTCATATGCCCTCACGGTGACCACATGGTAGGAATACTACCAGGGAGTGGAGATGGTGCACATTGTGCGTGAATGTATCCGATGACCAGGGTAATAAAATCAGTAAAGTGCATAAAGATGGTATTTTGTATTAAGCACTTTATAAATCTAGATTATTAATGAAGTTTGCAGATAAAGTTGATTACTGGTATACAACGAGAGGGTTCTGCATGTTTTAATATTCACCCTCTTACCTCACACAACACACGATTACTCAAAGCAGCATAATATGAATGAAAAACAACTATGTTTTCCCCATGACTGTGACAGTTCATTGGATCTTCCATTCACGAACTCATCAAAAAGGCTCTAATCAGGATGCTATCCTTATGGTTTCTGCTTTTCTGACCTTTTCCAGTTTTCCGAGTCCTTCATCAAGAGCGCTAAACGGTACATCTTGACGGGCAAGCCTTTCCCGGAGCTGTGTGAACACAACGCACAGGTAGCAATGGACCTCGGCAGACATCAGGTTAGTTACATAGTTCATCAGGTTAGTTAAATAGTTCATCAGGTTAGTTAAATAGTTCATCAGGTTAGTTACATAGTTCATCAGGTTAGTTACATAGTTCATCAGGTTAGATACATAGTTCATCAGGTTAGTTACATAGTTCATCAGGTTAGTTACATAGTTCATCAGGTTAGTTACATAGTTCATCAGGTTAGTTACATAGTTCATCAGGTTAGATACATAGTTCATCAGGTTAGTTACATAGTTCATCAGGTTAGTTACATAGTTCATCAGGTTAGTTACATAGTTCATCAGGTTAGTTACATAGTTCATCAGGTTAGTTACATAGTTCATCAGGTTAGTTACATAGTTCATCAGGTTAGTTACATAGTTCATCAGGTTAGTTACATAGTTCATCAGGTTAGTTACATAGTTCATCAGGTTAGTTACATAGTTCATCAGGTTAGTTACATAGTTCATCAGGTTAGTTACATAGTTCATCAGGTTAGTTATATAGTTCATCAGGTTATTTGAATAGTTCATCAGGTTAGTTAAATAGTTCATCAGGTTAGTTACATAGTTCATCAGGTTAGTTAAATAGTTCATCAGGTTAGTTACATATTTCATCAGGTTACTTACATAGTTCATCAGTTTAGTTACATAGCGGTGGAGTCTTGAGAACAGAGGCATTTTTTGAGCTAAGAACTATAGCAGTCATTTATCAAGAGTACTGAATGGGGTTATTATTTTAGCAAACAAGTTTTGATTTGATATAGTTTATTATTAAAAACATTCGGCAGCCTAGCATAGCCGGGTAATGTTGGAGCGTCTTTAGGACCTTGCAAGGTCGATACGTGCGCTATATAAGAATCCAATATTATTATTATTATTATTAAAATAGCAGCATGAATGTACAATTTAAAAGTTTTAAAAAATCCATTAAAAATTTGATTCAATAAAATTCAATAATATGCAAATACCCCGGTAGAAATAATGGAGAAATAGAGAAGAAAGAAAATGTGGTAAAAGTTATGTGGAACGTGCCTTTCCCTGACAATATATTAGCAGAGATGCCAACCAGTACGATTAAATCATATTTAGTACGATAATACCATATCACCTCTTAAAAATAGCATTCTCTTTCTACCAAACTGCTCTTCCATCTTTACTCACGTGATGACTGTACCTTGTTCATAATAACTAGATTGCTCAGACATGGCGAATGTTGAGGTTATTCTACTGCACAGACACCGCCAGTGCCACGCCCCCTGTCTATACCAATAAGGGGATTCCCCCAACAGAGGCCAATGATTCAGATAAGGGTAAGTTATACATAATCTTTATATAGGTTGTACGACACATACTCCTGTGACAGTTAATATGGAGTCAATTTCCTACAGTAATAAAATTCCAAACTTCACCCTAGACTCAATACTACATCTAGCCCTAACCCTACCACTAAACCTTACCTAAAACCGAACTGCAACTCTAATCCTTACCATAAATGTTTGACAAAATAAGCAAATGTCAGATCATCCTTCACATCACAATATCATTAGTAATGATTTAGTAATGTGACCCGCTGGAAAAATCCCCAGGAAGTGGAGTGTGTGCACTATCATTTGCAGATTAGCAATAGAATGACCAGGGTAATGATAATTACATTAAGCACTTAGAAACGCAGTATTAAAGATAAACTTAAGTTCTGGTAATGCGATTGCATTGCGAAAGAAAAGGTGTGGAATGGATCAGAAAAGTTGATCATATAGCATGTAAGTAATGGTGTGTAATGCAAGGTTCTGGAGTCATCAAAATCATCATAAATTTGGCAGAGTCTTGGTAAAGTAACTATCACTTGCACAGAAAGATGTATATGGGACAACACACATGGTGTCGGGGCTAGTACTACCCTGATTTCCTTATCTTTCTATGCTCATTACTCAGCCAGTATACATTTTCTTCCAAAATTGTTTGGCACATGACATTTATTTGTAATCTTGAACATTCAGTGTAAGTTTCGTTAGATTCTGTGAGAATTCATTTTCTTTTTTTTACCAGAACTCAAGTTTATCTTTAAGGGCTAAACAAATGTTACTATCGTTATTGTTATTATTATTAATATTATAATTGTTATAATATTTGTGTATTTTGTAGACATCTCTGCTCCTCAGTTTGCTCTTAACCACCTCCCCTCCCATCATGACTTCCTGAATCCTACTGCATCCAGCGCCATCGACTCCACCGGCGTAACCGACGACAACGAGTCGATCGTCAGTGACAGCGAGCATGATCATCCCTCCTATGGAGCACCGATGCGCGGTAAGCGACGCCATCGCTCGCACGACGGCGCGGTGGATTTCTACTTCCCTCTGGGGGAAGGGGAGGAGGAGGAAGAGGAGGAAGAAGAAGAGGAAGGGGGTGTGTTTGGTCGCTATGGCGACGAGATGCAGGAGTGGAATGACTACGCCGGTCTACCGACAGAAGCATTTGGGCAACGACATGAAATACAAGACAGGTAATTTGCTCACTATTGTGTTCTGTAATAGGTAGATGTTCTTCTGTATACTAACTCGGTTGCTTTCTTCCCCCCTCTGCATTGTGACTCGTTTTGCCACACATTTTTGCCACACATGCGATTTTGCACAGAAAATAGGCACTAATTGAGGGGAGGATAGCTTTGTGCAACACAATGGCTTAGCGGAATAAACCATTTCTGGTCTTGATCTTGATTAGCTCCATGACAACCCTATTAACACCGGTATAAATTAATCTTGCATTTGAAACAGATAATCAATCTTGAAGCCTTAGGTATTTTCGTCTGATGATAAATATAGTGATGCAAAGGGAGAATACTTGTGTAGTATATAAAGAGTTAATTGACTTTGAGTCAATAGATATGGAATAAATAAGCTGTAATTTTGGTAACTGTTCTGTCCATTTAAAATGAACCTATCATGTAATAAGCGAAAAGTATACCTGAAAAATAATAACAAATACAATTAATTACTCTATTTACTCATTTATAATTGACATATATCTCGAGTGCCACAAAATTCATGAGGTGTCTGAAAATATTTTAGCTCATAATGCCATTTTTGTAATGTAACCAAATTTAATTTATCGTCTTGGTGAAGTGCCTCAATACAAATGATTTAATTTACCTATATTATTATTATAATTATCATTACTTATTCCAAAGCACTTGTAGTAAATGATAATTACATAAATACATGTAACAATATAAACAATTGAATAATTGTATCTCAATAGTCGGAATGTAAATTGCCTATATTAGTTTTTGCTAGGTAGGACAAACATGACTTACCCTACCTAACAGAATGTAATATTTTCAATTCGTATTCTGACTATTGAAACACTATTATTCGTAGCAGGTGAACAAAATGATTTGTATCGAGGCTCTTCACCAAGACAGATTTGGTTACATTACAAAAATGTCATATTGCAGTTTCACTGCCTCACTCTTTCGCTCAATCTACCTCTGATAATTAGTTTAATGATAAGGAGCTTGTGATTTTTCCCCTCATAGTTTCTGATGTTTGAAATTAAAGTGTGATTGTAATCAAGAATAATTTACACATGGTATTCTTTTTATTTCAATTTGTATTATGAAATATTTTTGTTAAAGGTAAAGACCAGTAATGGTCATGCGATTGCATTGTGAAAGAAACGTTGTGGAATCGATCAGAAAAGGTTGATCATCTAGCATCTAGCATCTGCAAGGTTCTGGAGTCATCAAAATGATAAGAAATTTGGCCCATTCTTCGTAAAGTTACAAGCACTATACACAGAAAGATGTATATGGGACTACCCTATCTCTCTCACCAGACCATGAGAGAAATAAATTTACCAAATATATGAATTAGTAAGCGGTTTCCCGGCAAATTTTTTATCATCATGTATTAGTCAAAACATATTCTTTCACATGATTGGTAATGAGAGCTTCCATTTCATTTTTTGAAATTGGGGCGTTGCCAATACTGGTCTTTACCTTTAAGTTTATGTATATTGTATGAATATTTTAAACGGACTTGCTGAAAAACAGCCTCATGGCTGAAAGCAGGTCTTTTAACCGTGATGAAATAAATAAAACAAACAAACAAAGATATGTGCATGTACGAGGGTTAATCTGTTTTTTAACACCAGGAATTTGTTTTTTAATAACCATATTGTTGGAAAAGTACAATTTCCTGCAGATATAGTTAAATTCCTCTCCATCTTGACCAATTCTGTGATATTGCTTTTGGTAAAAAATTCACTCTTTGCTTGTGATTTCTTTCTTGAAGACCGCCCTCTCCAGACAGGTTGCAGGATAGGATTCGACCAGAGTCTCCTGTTGTGTAAGTATATACAGTGTCTCGATTTATAGTAACTTTAATGCATTCTAACATATTGAAAACATTGAAAAAACTCTCAGATAAGGAAAAAACAATTAATTCTAAAATAGAGTACCGGTACAGCTAGCCCGTCCATAGCAACAACCTGTAAAGGAAGACTTTTTGTCTATAGACCATATTATTTCATTGGCCTATCATGATACTTGTTTTAAGAGCAAATCTTTGAGAGAGCAGAAAAATGAGAGAAATGGGTACATGTAAATGAAAGTTTGAAAGAACTTGGACTAAGAAGTTTATCAGTGTTTGATAGCTGAGATCTCCAAATTTTACATGGTACATCATAAATGTTTCTCTAGTTTTCTAGGTTTTTTTTAAGAGCAAAGTACCCCCAAAGTTGGATTTTAATAGATTGCTAGTCATGATCTCAATTGCATTTTGATATTCATTGTTTTTGGATGCAGTGCGGCTTAAAGCAATTGCTTTTTAAATTGTTTTTCCAACATGTAAACATGTCTGGAGAGTGTTTCACAAAGACTAAGATTGAATTTAAGTTGGACTTAATTATGGCAGGCCTTTCATGCCACTGTTTGCTATCACCATTATGATCTTTAGAAAACTTTTTTTCCTTCAATAATGAATTATCAAAAAATGTAAATTCTGTAGATATGGGACCATGGTTTGTACGTCCTTTGAGAGACTGACGCCAGTAAATGGTGAGAGCAAACAGTGGCATGAACGGCCTGCCATAGTTATCAGTCCAACTTAATGTCGTTCCTAGTCTTTGTGAAACACTCCCCGGGTTAGCTTTCACTGGATGCATTCTTCAATCTTTGTCAAACCCTCATCATAGATGGCGCTAGCTCCGAAGAAGCTTTCACATCACAGCAATCGAACACTAACTTTGATAAATGGGGATGTTTTGTGTTATATTGTCCTGTGTTGTACCGTGTTCTGTATACATCCATTTACTTTATTGATATGTTATTACTGTATGCGATGTCATTGAGTTTTATTTTCAATACAAAAAAAAGAAGAAAAAAAGAAAAGAAAAAAAAGAAGATAAATTGGTGATTTTGTCTAGTTGTGCAAAAGGAAGTAATACCCCAGCCAAACCAGCAAGACTGACACCAGATGAACACACAAATTACATTGTTCCCACAGGCAAAAGATTGGTAACTTTCAAGTCTGTTTGACTGAGGTATCATTCTCCAGATGAATCTCTTCAATAAAATTTAAGGATAACACTGTTTCTTTAAGAGTGACTCATGCCACTAGTGTTTATTTTTTGTTGCTCCCCAGGCCGCTGCTAGATCTCGAACCCACCGCCATGACGATGAACTCTCAACTCTTCCCCTCGGCACGTTCCCTGAACCAGACCCCCTCCAAGCAGCTCCCGGAGTTACAACTCTCTATCAAGTTCACTCCCATTGTGGTTAACATGCTCTCTGACTACGCTGAACAGGTAATGTCATAGTAGGGTTTGGATGATGGTGATGGTGATGGTGGTGGTGATGATGATGATGATGATGATGGTGGTGGTGGTGGTGGTGGTGGTGGTGATGGTGGTGGTGATGGTGATGATGGTGATGGTGATGATGATGATGATGATGGTGGCGGTGGTGGTGATGGTGATGATGGTGATGATGATGATGATGATGATGATGATGGTGGTGGTGGTGGTGGTGATGATGATGATGGTGGTGATGATGATGATGATGATGATGATGATGGTGGTGGTGGTGGTCTGGATGATGATTATGATAACGACGATAATTCCAGTGATGAGCATGGGGATGATGATGATAATGATGATGATAATGATGGTGATGATGATGATGATGATGATGATGATGATGATGATGATGATGATGATGATGATGATGATTACAATGATAAACATGTTGATGATGATTGATGATATGATGAGGAGGGTGATGAAGATATCAGATTTTGTTTGTATGTGTGCAAAGTTTTTCACATTAGATATGCTTTTAATTGGTAGTCTTGCTCCCCATAGGATTTATCATTTGAGATATCTACAAAAATATTAAGTAAATCTCAAAGGGTGACTTCAACTTCTATTGTTTTCTGTTCATATCTCAGGGTGATGTTCAAATGGCAGTATCGGCATTCATCGTCCTAGACAGCAAGATACGCAACGAAATTTCTTCTGAAATACAGGAACAATGGTTCATGTCATACATAGGTACGTACATCTATTTACTTCGTTACGATTACTAAATTCATTTTAACCCTTTGCTTGCCAAGGGACTTTATCCTTAGACTGCCAAACTCTTTGTTATATAATGTTCTGTAGACAAATAATATTTGTGTGATAGAACTCAACTAAAGCATCCCCTTGTATGTTCTAGTTGGAACAGAGTTCAAGCTTAAGCCGCATTCAGATACGAAGTGGCAAAACAGCGCTAGTTTTTAAAATGATGATTTTTTAAGTATCTTATAACAGAGAGTTATGTGAATTCACTAAAAAGAAAGAGAATGTAGAGGTTGTACTTACTCCACTGGGATCTGAATGTGATCCGATTTTGAGTGGAAGGAAATTGCTCTAGCATGATCTATAAATATGATAATGATAATAATGATTCTAATATTAAAAATGATTGTAATAATGATATTGATAATGATACTACGACTACAGTCGAACATGCTTTAGCGACCACCTGTATAGAAAGACCACCTGTCTACAACAACCACATGTTTTGTCTCCCTTGAAAATGGTTTCTCATTGAAACATGTACTAAAGGAACCTGTACATAAAGACCACCTGCCTGCCTATAAAGACCACTTTTCTTGTCTCCCTTGGGTGGTCTTTATTATAATAATATTGACATTTGGAAGGTGCCAAATCCACTTAAAATCAAATGCTCAATGCACACTTGTGCTAAAAAGAAAACAAATCACATCTTCATTATAAACAAAAACATTTGAAAATTCTTGAGCAAATTTCTAGATAGTCACCAAACAGTATAGTTGCACAAAATACTGTGAGCATTCGAGTCAGAGTGAAGAGCCAATTAGCTTTTAATTGGTTTTAGTTCTCGTTATCAGTGGTACATGTACAGTTATCAACTAAATTATGCATACCCCTGTTAAAGTTAATGATTTTTTTTGTTTTTCGTACCTCAAGAATGAAAGGCGGACTGGATGAATTAGGGCCTTTGTTGAATACTTTTAGATGTAAGCTGTAATGTGTCACACTTTCAAGAAATATAAACCAGGAAGAATTTTTTCTTCACATACTTAAAAAATTACAAAACTTGGTAAGGGTTTGAATAATTTAGTTGTTAATTGTATGTTAGTTATATTCTTGTTTCCTTGCTTGCCTCTGTGTATAGATCTTCTGAGTCGATTTAAGCTGTGGTGTGTTTCCAACCAAGTCATCAAACTCAGTAAACACCCTGCGATTGAGATCTTAAACCAGGTATGTACCCCCTTTAAATCTTATGCTTTCAGGTACATGTAGATATTTCTTTCAATGTTTGTTTTTATTTGGTTATGCTGAGCAGAGCCATGTACACACAATGTAATAATCTGGAGGCTTCCTATTTTCAAGTGGATACTTTTTGTTGTGGCCTCCTTTTCTTGTTCAAATGTAATTATTTACGAATGTACAATCTGATGTTTTATTTGATGTTCAAGAATCAAATGATTTTGAATTGAATTGAATTGAATTTTTTGAATTGAATTGAGCCTCCATGATGTTAAAGCCCCTCTAAAATGTTGGGAGCCCCAAAAATCTGATGGCAAAATTTCACTTAAATAATGTATCACAATGTGTAAGAGGATGTAATTTAAAGACACAAAGAAACAGTCTCAATGGCCTAGGAAAAGGTTGAATATGCAGTACATATTGATTCATACTATGAAGTTTTTGGAATAATGACAAATTCTTTAAATTTTGACAAAATAAAATAAGTTGACACAATACATGCACTGCACACAGAAATGAACAATACAATACAATGAAATACAGAAAACATTTTCCAAACTGATATACAAAGAATGCAAGAGGTCTGAAATTGTATTTCATCTTTACCTGAACTTAACCTATTTGTAGCCACATAAATGATCTCTCTGCGTCACACTATATTTATCACGGGATAGTGCAAGATTAATTTATACCAGTATTAAAACAGCCGTCATAGGGCTGATAAAGATCGGGAAAGCCATTGTGTTGCGCAAAGCAATATTTCCCTCAATTTGTGCCTATAGCTTTGTGCAAAAATGCACATGTGGCAACCAAAGCATTAACCTTGTCTTTGTTTTTACAGCAATCCACAACAATCTACACAAAGTGCAACAGGTGCAATCAAACACTAGAGAAACTATCCTGGGTGTGCTGCCAAAAGAATCGCCAGAGCTTCACCAATCCATGCAGTATATGGTCAGTTTTTCCTTATGTCTTGATTATATAAAACTTTATGTATTTATTCAAACATTCAAACAAAATCAATCAAAATTAAAATATTTACCCCCCCCCCCACCTCCCAAAGAAGAAGAATGATTGTTTTCCTCAAGGTCCTGTGTTCATCCTATTTGTCCAGGGGGGTGTTTCACAAAGATCCTAAGTCAAACTTAACTCTAAGTTGGACTTGAAAAATATGGAGAACCATGTGTAGCCTTAAAATAAATTGTATTCATAAGTGAAAAATCAAGTATCCAAGACTTTTTATAAATTCCACATCAGGAACATGAAATCTCCTTGATAATAGAAAATATGAATGAATTGAATCAACATTTTATGCCTTTTAGATTAAATTTTACAAAATATTTTCATAGATGCTAACAGCTTTCCATAATTGTTAAGTCCAACATAGAGATAACTCCAACTTAGGATCTTTGTGAAACATCCCCCAGCTCTTCTTCATAGGTGACCCTGTCCCTCCAACGGATCCCTTCCATTCTCCTGCTTAGCCACTTTTCCAAACAACCAATTTCCAAATGACTGATTTCATGTTGTATTAGTTGGTCATTTAGAATACTGAATATAACATTCCATAGGCTTAAAGATAGAGTTTAGTTCTGGTCTTAATGCGACTGCATTGTGAAAGAAACCTTGTGGAATCGATCAGAAAAGGTTGAACATCTAGCATATAAATATTGTTGTGTACTGCAAGGTTCTGGAATCATCAAAATGATAAGAACTTTGGCCCAGTCTTGGTAAAGTTACAAGCACTATACATAGAAAGATGTATATGGGACTACACACACATGTGGCATGTGGCATAAAAATCCGTCCCGATTTTTACGATGTTACATACTATATTTAAAATATAAAGGCATTTGAAGAGCCATGCTTTTCAGGGAACATTTTTTATCTGATGTTCTTCCACACTTGCATAATAACAATGATAACGCTCACAAATTATCTTTCACCTCTTCCCAGAACTCAACCTTCTCTTTAATTACATGTGAATTAAGTTTATTATACATATTGATTGAATCTGAATCACAAAGCAATGCATAGCAAGCTGAAGTATGTTTACATAAGATTACATTCAATGACAAAACTACATGCATGCATGTATACAGTGTGAGTCAAAAAAAAGTTTACACTTAGAAAATTGCTAATTATTTTTAGAATCATCTATGAACAGTAAATTATTAAACATGTTATGAAAGAGTGTTTAATCCCAAATCATTTGATATCATTTCTGTGTAGTATGTATTGTTTGCGAGAGTGCAAAAATCAACTTGCGCCAAAGTTGCTTATGTGATGTTTGAATAAAACAATTGGGATTTTGGTATTAATTCGGTCTTTGCAGATCCAAATAACATCCCTAACAAAATTAATCATGCCACACATATCAAATATCAACAAACATGTGTGTGTGTGCGTGTGTATGTGGGACTTTGCTTCTGCAAAAAGCATATATATGCAATGCATTTCATTTGATACATTCAATTTATTCTCTTACTCTGCTAATCCCAACATAATACATGCTGTAGGCATCACTTTGGCGCAAGTCAATTTTTGCACTCTCGCAAACAATGCCTCCTGTTCATCCAAGCGTGAACACATACCACACAAAAATGATACCAAATGATTTGGGATAAAACACTCTTTCATAAGCTGTATAATAATTTACTGTTCAAAGATGATTTTTAAAATAATTAGCAATTCTCTTTTTTTTTACTCACACTGTATTTGAACGGTCTTGCTGCCACTAGGTCATCACAAGTAATTACAGGAACAATTATTTTACATTCTTTATTCTATAGAATTTGATAAAGATGTTTACATGTACATCTTGCGTGAAACGAAACATGCATCTTGGAATACTAATGATATTATATTCTGATTTTCTAATATATTTATGTTCATCTGGTTCTCTCTCTCTCTCTTTCCTTTTCTCTTCTCTTCTCCCTAACCTCTTTATGTATGACAGCCATTTGCCTGTGAAAGGCCTTTACGCATGGTGTCAGGGGTGTTCCCACGGAGGGCATTTAGAACACATCCGAGAGTGGCTCAAGACCAACCAGTACTGCCCTACAGGCTGTGGACACCAGTGTGAATACACCTAACACCATGAACTAAAAACTGAAGCAATAGCATGAACGCAGCTGTGATGGTGTTCCCATGGAGGGCATTTTCAACGTGTCCATGGACCAACCTGTACTGCCCTATGGGCTATGGACGCCAGTGTGAAATCGCCTGTCATCATAAACTGTACATCAAAGCGATAGCGCAGCTGTGATGGTGTTCCCATGGAGGGCATTTGTAACGTTTCCATGAGCGGTTCAAAACCAACCTGTACTGTCCTATGGACTATGAATGCCAGTGTGAATACACCTAACACTCTGTACTTAAATTTGAAGTGTGAACACTGCTACATCGTAAGTCATCATGGACTTTAAAGGTAATACAAAGTTTTGGGAAATTTTGAAAATTGGATGGATAGTGATTCTTTACAATTTTGATATATTTGGATGCCCCTGTGGATGTATTATAAGCAAATCAAAATGTAGCCCCTAAAACACTTCTGCTTTTGAGAAAAATTGAATATACAAATTTACCGGTGCTCCCGGTAAATTTTGATGAATTTCAAATAGCGCGACCATGAAAATCTCAGAATTTGTAGTTGTGATATATAATTTCCAAACGGGAATAGCAAATCGGTTGATTTTTTTTGTCAAGGAACATTGTTTTTATATCTTAATTAATATATTGACAATGAGAGAGAGCTATAAGGAGTTTATTATTTACGATTTTAAAACTTAACACTCGATTTCAACCGCGACAACGATCACTGAATATTGTAGGATCCCATATGCTTCCAATATGTTTATTTGAACCAAATTCATGACCCTATGCCAAAACTTTGTATTACCTTTAACATCGCTAGAACGGCTCTGAAAGCGTTTCAGGCTCCAGTGTGAATGCAGTCTGAACTTCATGACCTGCAGATGGCAGTGCTAGCGTTAACATACTCAGCAAATCATCATTAGAGTGAACATCATTATGAGAAAATCAGATGAATTTGTCATGTTCTGATGTGAACGCATCCAGTAGACTCTATGTAAGGGGTTAACAGTATCATAAATATAACTAAGAACACAATGATAATAATAATAGTATGTCTTGTTTACCCAGGGCAGCCTCACCTGTATCAATACTGTTCTTCCTGAGGGCCCTGCAATCATATTATTACCCCGCCTTTAGTGGTGGTGGTTATTTTACCTGACTACTAAGAAAGCATAAATGCTTGTTAGTAAGCAACCAGACGGTCGACTGCGTTAGGTCCTCTCCGAGAGACCTGGTAATGAGGATTAATGCCTTTATCAAAGGGCACTAGCGCATTGACATGGTTTTGAACCCGGCTCAAGCATTTCAAGGAATCTCTTCCTACCGGGTACCCAATCAGTACACCTGGGTGGAGAGTGGCAAATGTAGATTAATGTCTTGCCAAAGAACGTTAGTGCCGCAGCGGGACTCAAACCGCGAACCATGTGATTTACAGTCCAGTGACGTATCCAATAGACCACCACACTTTACGCAGGGGGAAGACATCCATTCAATATTTGTACTGAACCTCACCCTTCATGTATGAAATGCTAATACAGTCAAACCTGCTTTAGTGACCACCTGTCTACAAAGACCACATTTGTTGTTTCCCTTGAAAATGGTTTCTCATTGAAACATGTACTAAAGGAACCTGTCTACAAAGACCAATTTTTATGTTTCCCATGGGACGGTTACTATAGGCAGGTTTGACTGTATTACACTACCCTACTAGTGCAGTTAGCATCAAAGCAATTCCATCCTAACCCATCCTCAATAAGAACACTTCAGTTGAGAGAAACAATTATTGTCAATAAAATGCAGTGTCTAAAGTTCATTTCATGCATTCTTGCCATACACAAATTATCCTTTTTGGGTGATTGGTATACAAATAATATACAGCAGTGAGGGCATTAGTAAGAATTACCCACACAAGGTACCTTTGGAACAGTCTCTGAGGATGTTTGGACTGTTTCGAAGGTACCGAGTATGGGTAATTTTACTAATGCCCGAACAAGATATTAGTTTTATAAGATGATGCTTTATTTGTTTTCTAAAAGGATGTTTTATAACATGATTTTACTAACGACCAGTCATATGTACTTACTAATGACCGGTCATTAGTAAAATTGCATGTTAGGAAAATAAATGCCTGGTCACGTCTACGCTCCCAACTGATCATTTGATTAGGATCCGCTTCATTATCTTATAATACACGATAAACCATATTGCAGCCCCAACCCGACATCTGTCATGAATTAAAGGGCACATCACCTGAATGAACATAAAATAAAATGACATACCAGTTGAATTGCGCATACATCTAATCTTAAGTGCTTTTATTTGCAGATTTGAAAGTTTCAAAGATAATTATGTAACCATTCATTGTGGAAAAGGAGACAAAAAGAAACTTCAAATAGGTATTTCACCAAGAGGAACTATAGCTATTTAGGTCATATGAGCAACTTTTGTAAGTAAAAACTAGTGAAAAATCTATATGTATGTAACAGCTGTGCTGATACTTCACCATATGTGCCCAATAATGTACTGTCATTATGTACTGGATAACAAAGCTATTATATTGTATTATATATACATGTACGTGCACAATGAAATACATATTTTATTTTGAAAGTGAAAACAATATGTCTTACTCTCTTATATTAGTCTGTTGTATAATTATATAGATATGTGTTTTGAGATGAGCCCACATATTGAGTTTATTAACAACAAGATCAAAAGCATACCTCAGAAAATTATTCAAGGCAAATTCTACCACGATGAAGTTTTCAATGTTAAGAATGTTTTAAAGATCAATATCTGTTGGAGGTAAACAGCACTATGAATATGACGGACAAAGAAAGAGGACAAATATACAGTTCCTCAGGTAGACAAAGGAACATCCCTTCACTGCTATTATGTAAAAAGGTGAATATGCATGTGACACCTGTTCTACACATTTTTACATACGGTAGTGCAGGCAACTTGGTCATAAGTATTTGATACCATTCCCTTACTATTCTCCAGTTTGTTCCCGAAAAATAATATTACAGTGAAACCTGTCTATAAAGACCACCCAATGGAGACAAAAGTGGTCTTTACATTTGGTGGTCTTTATGTACAGGTTCCTTTAGTACATGTTTCAATGAAAAACCATTTTCAAAGGGGAAAAATTGTGGTCTATGTAGACAGGTGGTCGCTAAACCAGGTTTGACTGCAGTAGCAATAATAATCTACCACGCTAGCAAATATACAAAGCAGATACAAAATGAAGCAAAACAAAATAAAATTATAAAATTTAGAAGAAAATCAAAATTTGATCACTCCCTCTATGGTTACACCTTGGACACCTAATCCAGCGACAACTCATTTTCAAAGGGGAATTCACACTGATGGGATTTTAATGGTTTTTAATGGTTTAGACAAAAAATGGAGAATAAAAAAGAGGAAAAAAATCTGAGGAAGCTTGAGGAAAGTCCAATAAAACTAAAGAAAGTTATGAATTTCTCAAATTTTAATCCATCAAATGGTAACTTTGTGACATACCTTTTGAACATCCATCCCATTTCCTTCCTTCGTAATGAACATTTCATCCTTTTCCACCGGATTAAATCAATTTCACAAAGGGATAGTGTAGAGGTCAATAACAATACAAATACTTTTAGTGACAATTTCAATTGCCCATAATTATATTGCCTGCTTGAATAAGTGCATATTTGAATTTGCGAATAGTACGATGACCTACAAAGTTCTCTGAACATGTGATTGATTTTGGCAAGACAGAGGTATTTAAATTGCTCTTCAGCTGCATCATATATATCATATATATATATGGCAAATTTGAAAATATTACAGCCTCTTCCTCCCTTTTTTTGCCGATGTCGGTAAATATGAACATCAGAGGAGCTTTTTTTGTTATAAGTGATGTTCAAACTTTTTGCTCTCTTGTCAACACATTTTATCCCACAACTCCCACTACACCCCGTATAGGCCTATATGCTGATAATAAGTGAACAATAACCGTACTACTACTACTATTACTACTACTACTACTACTACTACTACTACTTCTACTACTACTTCTTCTACTACTAATACTGATGATAATACACTGTAAGTACCGTAATGATGATGATAATGATAAAGATAATGATCTCAATAATAGTAATGATAATAATTGCAATAATTATAATATAATACAATACAATATAATATAATATAACATAATGTCAAAGTAATAAAAACAACAATACCACCACCAACACTAAAAACAACAACAAAAACAATGATAACAATAATGTCGAGCAAAGCTAAAAACCTAGATTTGAAACTTTTTATTTCAATTCAACATGCGAAGTAGGGCACATGGATCATTTTTTGTTTCCTATTTGTTTTAACTGTTATAGATTGTCCTTTACACTGAGCAGAAAAGTGTCCCCACTTCAAATAATGGCCTCATTACGGCCATGCTAACGACCTTCCCTAATAATGCTCTTCTCGACCATTTTCTACAGAAACAACAATTAGGACGAAATCAGATAATTACATGACACTTACCCTTCAAATAAAGACGCCCTTGCAACTCGATTGTTTTACCTCCTCGTTGTTTTTTCTGTTCTTTTTTTGGCGTGGATATCAAAGATAATAAGCTTTTTCCCATTATCTTTCACCGCGGCTAAACATTAACCCTAAGTACACTTAGTGGTGATAGGCCTCTACCGAATCGTGATTTTGAGTTTAACCTCGTCGAGTGGTGCTGGGACTTGAGCTGGAGAGGGTTTGCAAATTTGTGACCGATATTATTGCCAGTGTTTTGTTCGTCTTGTTTTCCTGACTGCATCTCGTGTCGTCTTTTCTTCACCGGACCTAACTCAAGGATACAACAGTGAACATTCATTTTGTAAAGGCTTCCTTTGGTCCTAGGGTACGTTACACCGCGAGCAATTAAGCAATATTTATTGGAAACGGAGCGCGGGAAGGCGGACAGCAAATCTCTTCTTTAAATGAGGCTCGACAATCGTGTGGAATGGACGCAATATCATTCGCATGTGTTTTGATAACATAACAAACTCTTGAAGTGTGCTGTAGAGTCAGATGTGATTACTGGAATTCTAGAACAACTACCATCAAAGGATTCATAAAGAATTCGATTAGGAACGCTCTACACATTGTGGAATAGATGGCATTACAGTTCAATAACTTCATTAGAGGCCCCACTATTTTTTTTTCAATCATCGAAGAGTCTACCGAACGCAGTTAACGGGACTGCGATTATATTTTCTACACATGGCCTACAAATTAAGTTTCTTTTTAAACTGAGAAACGGTCAACCAAGAGGAGAGCAAGCGTTATTTTAACCATCAAATTTGACTGACTGTGTTTTTCACTTTAACACTTTAATGCATCATTAGATATGGACAAAGCTGAACAGAAAATCTTAATGCACGCTTTACTTGAAACAAAGGTGTAATGAGAGAAATATCCAGTGGATGTCTACGTTGAGTTGTGCAATCGTTTAGTCTACTTCGTTTGCTTTTTGTGGATTTGCCATCGAGTCATTTTCTAGAATTCTGGCTAGACTGGCTAGAATAAAAAGCTAGACAGGCAATTGTTTTGTAACATCTAAATCAAACATAATTACGCATTTCATTCCTTTATCATCCCCGGTGAAGAAGAAAAACATGATCAGTATGCTGTGCCTAAGTTTTGAAAAGAAAAACGGAAAAGGAGCCCCGAAGCGATCAATAATGTTGAGGAACTCAGCAAATTCTGACCGATGGCGTATGATGGGGGTCATTTTCACCATTTTGATTCTATTGCTTCAGCTCACCGTTGCTTGCAACTCTACAACAGATTGTTGCCCTGACAACGAACTTATAGAACAGGGACAAGATGCGGTTACCATAGAAACGGATGTTGATACGGGAACAGTGGATGCCCAGCTGGCGACGGAGCGCTCTCGCTTTCAAGACAGGCTGAATTTTACCCGGGGAATTAATTTCCCGAACTTTACCAACTACGGAGAGGACTTGCCTCCCTTGGGTGATCCCGAGGACATAGCGGACCTGTGCAAGCAGAATGAGGGACTACCCGACGAATGCAGATCTGGTGAGATATCCATCTTCATCGATAATAATAGAAATAATAATAACGTTTTATTTACCCAGGGTAGCCACTTCAGTTATGAAACTGTTTTTCCAGCGGGCCCTGCATAACATAATATGTTATTACTACCCTTCTCCAATCTAATATGCTGAGCGCCTAGCTAGAAGGCAAAAGGGCCCATTGTTATAAGTCTTTGGTATGACTCGGCCGGCGTTCGAACCCACGACCTCCCGTTCATGAGGTGGGCGCTCTAACCACTGAGCCTCCATGTCCGGTCATAGAAATAGAATATAGAAATTATTTCCCTGTGCCATTATGCATCTCTCACGGAACAGTTTTTACCAAAGGTTTAATTTTTATTTAAGTTTTTATTAATCAAAATCAATGAACAATCACAATGATCAAGATATAAACAAGATAGGTGGGCCTAGGTGGCAATTAATATAGAAAGATTACATGTGCATGCACATAATGATAATAATATCTTGTATAGCGCAGCTACTACATAAAATATACAATACTGTGCTGTGATGAAAAAAAAACTAACATAGTGCTGCTTTATTGACACACAATAATAATTTTAAAAAGAACTATTAAAAAGCTCCTGAAAATAAGTGCGTCTTCAACAAAACTTTGAAGACAACAACAAATGAGGCTTTTTTTTAAATTTCTAGTGGTAGGTTATACCAAAGATTTGTTCGTCTTTAACGTTCACAGTTTTAAATTAATCTATGGGGGTGTTTTAAGGGTTACCATGAAGCTTTAATCGAAACCAGAAGTGTGTAACTTTGCAAAGCTTTTATGTTGCACAAAGCAAACATGCCAATTGATGCCTCCTATTGCATTTGTACAAATCGGCACGAATGGCACATGTGGCTATTGAAGCAAAGGTTATTTATGACAAGAAGAACGTGAACGAAATCAAAGGATTATACAATAGTCACCAGGGGCGGCGATCCCGGGGCGGACGGGGGGGGGGGGGGGGGGACACGTCCCCCTCAATTTTGTAAGGGGGGGATTTGAAAAAGTAAGAAAGAAATGTATATCAAATACCGACTAAAGACTGCAACACAGTTTTAGGCTCTGGAGGGCCCAAGATTGCAGCGTTTAGACTAATAAAAATGCAACAATCTTCTCGCTCGGTCGCTACGCTCCTCGCATAATATCCTTTAAATGTACAAATAAATATTGTAGAAAATCTGTATTTCGTTTTTATACTATAGATTTGATAAGGAATGTAATTTTTCAATACACCAAAATTTGAAAAACCTGAGGTAGTCATTTCTGTCACCTTCGCCCCTCTCGTTCACTATGCTCCCTCGTCCCTCGCAATCCTTAGGACGGCCTTGGTAGATTTCAATGTGCGAATCCAGTTCTTACTCGTTCAGTTAGCATTTGAAATGATATTAAGTTGGGTTTGATAGAAGCAAAAAAAAATGAGAGAAACATGTCAGTGAAAGTTAGCTCAAAAACCGATTAATGATAAGAAATTTATTATTTTTTTAAAGTAGAATCAATCAAACACAAATTGACAAATCTGTGACGTGTCTTGCGACGTCCCCTCCCATTTTCCGCGTCCTAAAAACCTTCGAAAATCTATATTTCCCTCTAGAAAATTGAAATCATGAATTTACCCTAAATACAATTAATACAAATATGTTTGTTCTTTAAATACAAATCCTGTATGAAAAAAAGAATCCGTCATTAATAACTAAGAAAATGAAAAGTTATATAATCTTCTGCATGTACAGAGCAAATTTGAGGGGAGCTCGCATGATCGATACGTCACAGTGTCGTCAATTTGTTTTTCACTGATGACAACTTCAAAAATTCATAGGAAAGATAAACCATTTGATAATGATTTAAAGAATGTCTAAGAAACATTCCAAAAATAACAAATTTTGATGCAATTAGCGACAAGGATCAAGAATATTCAAATGTGTCGCCAATACGGATTTGCTGACTTAACTATGAGGATGATTTAGACGTCTCGCTCAAGTGTTATAAAATTGATGTTAAATGCGCACGTTCCCAAGGCAATTTAGAAAAAGGAAAAAAGATGACCAAACTCGTAGTATACCTTTCCGAATTAATAGCAAAAATTAGGTAATGGTCCAAAAGCAGAAAAAACCCGCAGCTAATGTCAAACAGTTAAAATTTATTATAAAAAAAAAAAAACTTTTTTCATGCATTGCACAATATGAATACTTAAGATGTATGGGTGTGACCAATGACCATGACGAGAAAACTTTAAACTTTGCCACTATGTGATTAGTGATAACTCGATATAGAACTTGCCTAATAAATTCTACCTTGCGATTTATCCTTAATGATAAACACATCCAATATTGTCACCATGTGACGCAATGCGATGGCCTATACTACGGATTAAAAGCCCAGCCTTCCTGGTACAGTTTTATCTAGTTAATATGTTTGATTGTTGAATTAAGATATTTGAAGGAGCTAAATTTAGGCAATTAATAGCTTTATTTGATTCTAATCGCACAGCTTTGGCATATTTTGACTGCGGTGGTGTGATGAGATAAGTATTCAGAGAAATGGGAGCAAAAACATTGCTAATTTGTCCGAAAACAAACCAACAGATCCGTATTCCACCACATCAGTTAAACCCGACCCCGAGTATAAGATCACGTTTAAAGCCCAAGTCTACTCCCAAAATAATTTGCTTTTACTAAATGCAGAAAATCAAGAGAAACAGAGCCAAGCAAAATTGAGTAAAATCGGATAATTAATAAGGAAGTTATGATTTTGTTAAAGTATGAAAAACTATGGAATATAGATTTTCAAAGTTTTTCATGTCATTAAAAATTCATTGGTTTGTCTGATTCTCCTGCTTCTATTGAAAGAAAGTTAACTTTGGAGTGGACTTGCCCTTTGTTAAACCCGATTTAGGACTAAAGTTTAAAGTGAACCGGTAACATTGTTGAAGGTTGATAATTTTTCTTTTTGTATGACATGTTACTTATTTATATTCCGTCTACTGTACTAATCCTCTTACATGAAAAAAATCCTGATCAAATTCTCAAACCACAAAGATATTTATCTATGAAGGCGTCAACGTGTAACCCCCTCTAACAGTAAATTCTCCTAACCAATTTGTTGAATTCTCCCAACCGTTTTTCATGAAAATAAGACATAAAACAAACTTTAGAAAATCTGTCAACACTTAAATGTTTGGAAATATAAAGCCACTTAGTTACTTTGTGACGATTTACATTCCCCTAAAATTAAATGATAATAATGATAATATAGTTGGGAGAATTTAGGAATCGATTAGAGAAGTGTTTCAAAATTTGTATCGTTAGTAATGGTCTGTTTTCACTCAAACTTCCAGATTATCTTTAATTGTACATCTAGCATTGACGTCACTACCTCAGCATCATTTTTTCTCATCTGGACAATGTTACCAAGTTTTTTTAAGCCTGGCGTCGGGTTTTAATCATAGTAGAACACGGGCGATTATTGTCTCGTCAAACATAATCGCAAAGACTGTCGAGAAAAAAAAAATCAACCTTAGTCAATTTAATTGTCTTGTACACAACAATTGGACTCTTGTCCACCACCCTTTGAAATATGCACACTTTACAATGACGTGTCCCGTAATCTGAACATGTTTTATATGGGATTCTCGAAAGTCTTGGCGATCGCACCTTCACACACAGTGATAACATACCGTTTTAATCGTCACGTTGTGATACAATGTTCTTTGTTTTGGAAAGATATTTTATTGTTAATTCAATGCACAAAAATAATAACAGAATGATAATATATATATAATTATGATTTAACATAATATTACAAGAAATTGTCACCGGGCGACGATCACAGTGTGACTATATCTAGAAGCAATCATATGCACTTTCATACTGTTTAGATAGACACATATACTGTGGACCAAAAGAGAACCACAACATATATTGAAATAACATTATTACGTATATAAGCCTACACACAAAAAAAAAAACTTAATAAACATTCACAATTTATTCCAAAATACTATGCAGGTGCCGATGATCGTTGTGTCCACACTTTACTAATATATTTGATGATATCTTAATAATGAATATGTGAAATATAACAATATCAAGAAAATTTAGATACTACACTAAGATATTTACACAACAAAAGCTTAATTGATCTTTTTACCAAATATATCTTTGCAGATGCCGATGATCGTTGCTAATACACGTTATCGATTATATTCGATGGTATCTGTATAATAAATCTTTCAAATATATAACCAATATCAAGATAATTTAGATACTTCACTATCATATTTTCACAACACAAACTTAATTGATCTTACAGTGTATGCACTTTGAGAGCAAAATAATTATTTTGTTTTATTTACTAATGTAAAGCGCTTTGAGCATATTTATGTAAAGGCGCTATAAATATCAATATGTATTGTATGTATGTATCTTTTTGACAAATACATCTTTGCAGATGCCGATGATCGTTGTTTATACACGTTATCAATATAATTATATTCGATGATATCTTAATAATAAAATTTCAAATATAACCAATATCGAGACAAATTAGATACTACACTAAGATATTTACACAACACAAACTTATTAATCGGTCTTTTTATCAAATACATCTTTGCAGATGCCGATGATCGTTGCTTATACACGTCGTCAATATATATTCGATGAAATTGTAATAATGATAACATTTTATATGTAACCCATGCATATCGAGACAATTTAGATACTACACTAAGATATTTACACAACACAAACTTAATCGGTCTTTTTATCAAATACATCTTTGCAGATGCCGATGATCATCGTTTATACACGTTATCAATATAATTATATTCGATGATATCTTAATAATAACATTTCAAATATAACCAATATCGAGACAAATTAGATACTACACTAAGATATTTACACAACACAAACTTAATCGGTCTTTTTATCAAATACATCTTTGCAGATGCCGATGATCGTTGCTTATACACGTCGTCAATATATATTCGATGAAATTGTAATAATGATAACATTTTATATGTAACCCATGCATATCGAGACAATTTAGATACTACACTAAGATATTTACACAACACAAACTTAATCGGTCTTTTTATCAAATACATCTTTGCAGATGCCGATGATCATTGTTTATACACGTTATCAATATTTATTCGATGATATCTTAATAATGAATATTTCAAAGATAACCAATATCAAGACTTTTTAGATATTACACTAAGATATTTACACAACACAAACTTAATTGATCTTTATATCAAATATATCTCTGCAGATGCCGATGATCGTAACTCATACACGTTATTAATATATATTCGATGATATCTTAATAATGAATATTTCAAAGATAACCAAGATCAAGACAATTTTGATACTACACTAAGATATTTACAAAGAAAAAAACTTAAATGATCTTTTTATCAGATACACCTTTGCAGATACCGATGATCGTTGCTTATATTCGATAGCAATGTATATTCGATTATATCTTAAAATAAAATTTCAAATATAACCAAAATCAAGACAATTTAGATACTACACTAAGATATTTACACAACAACTTAATTGATCTTTTTATCATATACATCTTATACATCGAGACAGAAAATACGAAATAGAAATTAAAACAAAAATCTTGTTTGTACAACTATATTCCAAGTATTCAATGACTAGGTGTTTTCAAATCTAACAGAGATTAACCCATAGCATAGTGACATCTTTCAATGACCTTTTTTTGTTTTTTTGTTGAAATCTCTGAAATGGCTAAGGAGAGTGAAATTCATAATCACTTCTTTCTTGTTGAAATTGGCAATTTGTAGTTGATTTTTGTTGTTGCAATTTTGATTCACACAGCTTCTAGTTTTTAATAATGAAAGAGTGGGAATTACGAAAAATTGTTTCATATTTGAGGAGGAAAAGTAAATTAATTTAGACCTGCAGAAAAGTTTCTGTGAACTGCTATGAGTTAAGTGAGAATGTTGGAGAGCTGGATCAAAACCGAAACAGATTGTTATAAACAAAAAAAGCATGACTGTCAAGTTTTTAGCAATATTTTGGGGCTTTGGCTTTCGAATCAGTCTTACTAATCAAACATAACTACTTAACTTAAATAGAAATAGAATCTGCGTTATTTTTAACTCCCGGTTTTTGATAACGGTATTATTTATGAAAGACGTAAAGATTAGTACAGAACATAGCTAAGAAGGAAAGAAGAAAATAATACAACATATTAAAATGTAGTAGAGTCTAACCTTTTGTATAGAATTGTGTTCTGCATACGAGTATAATATAGGCCCACTTTTAGGAGGCACGATGGCTCATTGGTAGAGCAGGGGTTCTCAAACTTTTTCTTTGACGGTCCAGATGTGATTTCCATGAAAGCTAAAAGGTCCGAAACAATGGGCAAATTAAGTTTACTCAATCAATTATTTTCTCCCCGGTGTTCCGGATTAACATGCCCCGCAGTCCGGACTTTGGAGATCCCTGGTCCTAAAGTAACTTGAAGATTTATTTTTGCTATTTCTTCCATCAACCGGTATACTGCACAAGAACAAAACTAGGGTATTTCGCCATTTGGTGTATCATTTGCATGACCAAAATATATTACGGATTTCTGAATATAAATTGACATCAGATGTGTTTGCCACTTCAAATTTAGTCTGATCCAAGCCCCAGTAGTGCTCTTAGCTCGATACACGAATGAGATATACTAAAATATGAGATGTGGAAAGCAATAAATGGTACAAACTAGCCCGAAAATAAGTCAGACCGTTACTACTCGTTTGGGATCAAGTCATTGGTCCTGAGATTAATGGTGAGATTTTTCACCAGTTTATTAAAAAAAAAAATGTGTCCTCTCACGTCCTTGGTCCAATGTAGGTAGGGTCTGCCGTCGCTTAAATATAACCTTGCCAAAAATGGTATCTCCTCGTCAGGGATGTCTTCGAGAAAGACCACGACTACGAATTCGGTCTCGGTATCGCTCACATGGTCCATGGCGGTGCGGAATTTGAGCATGAACCAACGATCGTGCACGGCGGCTCTGCTGAGTAGAATGAGGGTTTTGTAACTATGGCTCACCACGTAGTCGACGGCGTCCAGATAGTGCATACCAATGATGAGGTCTTGATCACCAAAGACATTCCTCTGGAACTGCGGAAGCCGTTCTTCCAGAGCTGGTTGGAGTTGGTGACGAACCCATTCTTCGTCGTCATCGTAGAAGATGATATTCAAATCATACTCGTAGTCGTTGTGGTCCCGGGCGTCTCGCATCTCTTTATATCCAATTACCATTAGTTTCAAGAGAAAGAATTTGTACTTCAACTGCCATCGGTTGTGGTAAAGGACTACGACGATGACAACCAAGAAAATGCCGGCGAGAGGAGTCAAGCATACAAGAGCAATGTTAAATCCACAAAGTTTACTGGGATTAAAATCAATTAAAGGTTTTTCGCGAAGAGGCTCTAAAGATGCCGATGAACAGACGGTTCTGATCTCGTCAATGATGTTTATATGTCCACTCATCCAATCACGGAACCATTGTAGATCGCAGTTACAGTTGATAGGGTTCAATGAAAAATCTAAAGATAGAAGCGACGATTCTATCGGTTCAAATGTCGATTGGTTGAGACGGGTTAATCTATTGTTTGATAGCAAAAGAGAAGTCAGTCTGGGATTGTTTGAGAATAGTTGTTCATCGAGGTATGTCAAAAGGTTGTCATCAAGATTGATAATTGTCACTTGATCTAACATTTTGAATATATCGAAATTAAGTTGTTGAATTACATTTCCACGTAAATTTAGCACCCGAAGCGATTCCAATCCCTTAAAAGCTAAATGATGAAGGCGTGAAATATGACAGGCTTTTAAACTAAGGTTCTGAAGAGCAGAGAGTTGTTCGAAGATCCTAGCTGGGAAGTCTTCTGGATCGTAAAGGTCTAAATAATTGTGGCTTAGATCCAAAGTAATAAGATTAGACAATCCGTGAAAAAGAGAGATATTCAGGGTTTTATCCCAGAGATCAGAGGACAATAGCTTCGATTTACGGATTTCCAAATCTACAAGGCCTTGTGAATCTTTGAAGGATATTTTAGGCCTAAAGACCATTAGGCTGTTCATGTCATTCAGGTACAGGGTTGTTAAGTTCGGGGCTACCGGTTGAAATCCGTAAATACTGCAATAGTTCAAGGCGATGGTTTGAATTCCCGTCAGTTCCGAAAATGACTTGATTTCCAGGATAAGGGCTTTGTTCAAGCTTAGATCTAACAGCTTTAGATTTGGCATACCGAAAAATGTGAACGCTGAGATTTTTGTCAAAGAATTGCCGCGTAAGTGCAACTCATTCAAGTCCAGTGCCCATACGTCAGTATTTGGATTTATATATTTTATTTTATTGGAGTTCAAGTTCAAAACTTTTAGTTCCCGCATGTCTTGAAAGAATACCGGTTCAACAGTGATGATTTTGTTTATCGACAGATCAAGTTTCACGAGTCTTGTCAAGTTTGAGAACACATATGGAGAGAGGGATTGAATTCTGTTGTACGATAGATCAAGTTCCACGAGTCTTGTCAAGTTTGAGAACACGTACGGAGATAGAGATTGTACCTGGTTGCCTGTGAATTGAAGCACGGAAAGAGAGCAATTACGCAAGTGACCAAAGAAATCTCTTGGCAAGACTCTGAAATTGGCATCAGTTATAGCGAGCTTTACTATTTCAGAGCGACAGATCCCGCTAAAAATATCCTTCAGTGTCTTAAGTGTCATAGTGTAGTCTCCAAGCAACAAAAATCGGACACGCAACGATGCAATAACGTTCGGGTCTACTGATTTAATAGGATTCTTTCTCAGATCCACATGATCACTTCGACAACCGAAGATGAAAGATTCTGCGTTGAGGTGCTCGATTTTATTATAAGCCAAGTCAATTTTCTTTGCTCTGCCACAAAGGCTCATGTTAACGAAAGTGAGTTTGTTGATTTCAAGGAATATAGACTCTACAGACGAGCTCCATTTCAGAGTGTCATTTGGAAGCAGATTTAGGTTCGAGCCCATCAGTTCCAGGGTGGACAGGTTCTTAGACCACCTGAAAAGGTCTGCAGCTGGGAGAACAAGATTAGGGTTCAATGATAGGTCTAAGTGATTCAATCCCTTTAAAGGGTAAAAGGATGCAGATTCTATCATTCTGATGTCGTTTGAGGAAAGATCCAAGACCTGGATCAAAGGGTATTTCTTGAAAGAATAACTCAAGATGAAAGTGATATTGTTCAACGCGACGTCCAGTTCGTTAATATCATTTGGAAGATTCTGAGGGATGGAGTCCAACCCATGATCACGGCAATCAGCCATCTTCTCCTCGGCATCATAATGACATAGCATAGAAGGAGTAAACATGGCATCTTGGTGTATGGTTTGGATGAGCGTCGGTGTTAGAATACATACTACAACCAATGGCAGACAGCGTAGAAGAGGTGCTCGTCGTATGAATGCCATGACAACCGATTCTTGTCTGAAAATAGAAGATAATAAACTGCAGATTACCAACCTCCACATTAACAATTATAACCTGATCACAGGCCTATCACTGACCTTAACTCTTACACTAACCCGAATACATCCTACTAATGCTTATTAACGTAGTCATGGTAGTTATTTCTCTCTAAAGCTTGAATTATATGCAATTGAATAGTATTAAAGTTTAGAGCCATGGCAATGACTGTTGTCACTTTAGTCCAGGAAATAAAGGGGACAGTTTTAAGGATTGATGTAATTTGTGAACACAAATATCTATCTTAACGAGCAACTAAACAAGTACCGATTATTTAACCAGAATTACACTTTAAAAAGTCAGAGACAACTTCGGAAAACCGAGAATAGGTAAATATTTCGAAAAAAGCGAATACTGCATTGTAAATATAGAGCCCTTATCGTTCACTACGTGCGAGTCCGTCTAGTTTTGACAAGGGGGAGAGGGCAATGGAGTAATGAGAAAGTTTGTTTTGTTTTTATGAGAAATAACAGCCCATTTAAAAGACTTCTTGTTTTATTTTCCTGTTGGCGTCTACACCATCCAGATGTATACTTATATAAGTAAAACAATATATCTGTGTAATCAGTTAAGTCCAGAACCCTCTTCTAATACCATGTCATTTTTCATTCACATACAGCAAAGTAAGAAACAATCGTAAGAAAATAAGAATAAAACGTTCATTTCAATTTTGTTATTGTCAGAGTTCACTCCACTTTTATATTTACCTTAACTATAAGAAAGATCAATAGAGTATTCCAAGTTAAGAAGGTCTTCTGCGGACTCAGAGAATCTGGCAATAACTGCTGACTTGGTTTGGAGACGAATCAATCTACACTAATGCAGGAAGAGCTTCACGAAATCTCATTAACTTTTGAGCCTAGCTGTTAAACCATCCTTGATGAATGCTCCAGTTTCGATTTGAGAGCAAAACAAGAATATTTTAATCCAGGCAGCACATTTCCTGCGATCAAAACAATATATTTCTGCTGGAAAGTAAAACTGTATACTGTACTTTACTAAATGCTTAGTCATATTATTTGCCTCGTATTGTCTGGAGAAAAAGTAAACTCCCGGAAACAAACCGAGGCAATGTAGAATCATTTCTCCATTATTGAATATCTTAGTTTCTATCGATATAGTTCGCATAAAAAAGAGTATCCAACTTTGGTAACTTCTAATTAGTTATAACCTATGTGACGTTGAATCATTTGTCAAATTAGTAAAGGGTAACTAATACGCTGACTAATGATGCCATATTCCTAATTGTGCTGCCACCGATGACTGAGCAGCAGGCTTTTCAAAAAGTATTGTCAAAATCCTCTTGTAAGTTTGGGCTAAACCAATGAATTTCAGTCAAAAGCCATTATGTTTGTATTATCTGATTCCAAAAACAATGATATTGCTCACTTATTTAATAATAATAATAATAATAATAATAATAGCCTAATAGTCCACTCCAAATTTTATTAAACCGAAACGGAAATTCTTTTTGCCCAATTGATCGTGAGCCCGGCAGCCACTGAGCATAAGGAAGTTGGAAAGAAAAGGTGTTAATATCAACTCGAACTCAAGGAAATGCTTATTTCTACCAACATTTATGATACTCTTTTTAATATGATGATTACAATCTTGACTTTATTAGCCTCCCTTGTCTAAGGTAACCCTTCTCATTGAGTGATACAAAATGGTTAAAGTTTATTTTGAATGTTATCCTTTGTATAACAGTCTACTGTCAATTTCTTCGATACATGGTCATCATATGTGTTCTTTCTTGCATTTCGTTTTGGAACCTTTGAATATTCATTTGCTTTTCGAGATAAACACATTGGCCTGAATTCACAAAGGAGGTTAAAATCTAGCCCATGGATTAAGCCTCATTTAGACCATGCTTTAGACCATGTGTTATCATTTTACAATTCTCAAAGGAGGTTTAGATTTGTCCCACGGTTTAACAGCGTCGTATGACGTCTAATTTTTAGCCTGCTCAGAGGGGTGGTTTAAACAGCGGGTTGAATTTAACCCATGGTTTAAAAAAACATGGGTTAAATGTAATCCTCCTTTGTGAATTCGGGCCAATATGCTCATTACGCGTGTGAAATGGCGCAGTGGACATGTGAGCAGAGAGAACTTAGATATCATGAGACAAGAAGTTAGTAGGCTGATCAAAATAACAAGGCTCTGTGAAAGTCTAGATTCATTGCGTCACTTTAAACAAGGATGCACTGAAGCGCGGGGCATAATTTAACTTTTAAATGGATTTAAGACCAAAGAAGCACATGCCCTGAATTTGTTCCATGCAATGCCAACGGAAAAAATGTGGCAGTTTTTCTTTAAGTGTCCGGACAACCCAATTTATTTGATAGATTGATTTCTTCAAGTCCTTACCATACGAACCAGGAATGTGAATCAGAATGAGGGAACGAGTTGGCTCAGTTGGTAAAGCGTCTGCCTGTCGAATCAAAGATCGTGGGTTGACAGTCCCACCCAGGCGGATGACTGAACTCACTGAATCCTGCATCAAAAATTGTTGGCTTTTGTTTGGTTGAGAGCTCTTCACATAACCAGAAATATTTAAACTATTTTAAGAAAGTACTATATGAGAGTAGTATTTGGGAGTACTATTAGGGAGTCATTTTTTCTTCAAATCTTAATTTAATAAAAACAAAACATTTTAAATCTTTATATATAAAAATTGACATTTTTTTTTTCTATTTTTTTTTTCTTCCCAAAAATGTTTTTTTTTTTTTTTTTTTTTAAATAAAATAAATTTTTGATGCAGGATATAAACAAAATATACCATGCTTTCTATTCGATGGGCATCGGTGACTCCAAAAGTACTATTTGCTTCGGGGCTGCGCCACTCAGCAAATAGTACTATTGGAGTCACCTGTTGCGCATAGTTTTAACCAGAACCTCTCAACACATCGATATTTGTATACTATACAGAAGTATATATCAGTGGCGTAGCTACATCGGGGAACAGGGGGCACCTGCCGTGACCCCTCCCCCTCCCGCCCCCGTTCTGATGCCCGCTCTGAATCTGGACCCACCCTACGCCACTGTGCAAGCCGACATTAATTTTTTACACCGTATTTTTGTGTCTTCTTTCACAATGTTTCTCAACAAGTGTGTGTATGTGTGCGTGTGTGTGCGTGTGTGTGGGAGGGGGACAGAAGAACCTTTGCTCTCCCTCGAGAGATATCGGATCAGTCGAAATGTTTGAAAAAAAATCTTAGAAAAATTTGACTTGGCTTATAATTAATTGTGCTTTTCTTTTTGTTGTCAATTTCGTATACGTCGTGTCCTAATCAAGTGGTACTTTTGTGTATATAAAATGTTGTTTTATTTTTGGGCACGAGCGCGACTTGAACATTTAACTTCAAGTGGATTTGGTAACTTACAAATCGTATCTATCTCTCTATCTATTAATCGATCTATCCTTGTTTTTGGAATTAATGTTATTATTATTATTATTATTTTTCTTCTGATTATTATTTATTCTTAACATTGTCATTATTTTTCTCATTATTTTTATTATTCTCCCAGATCTGTGCCCGCGACAGAACATAACCGACCTAAAGGGTACCTTCGAATGGGACTACACCCCCGCGGGGGATTACGCCTTCTTACCCTGCCCTAATGGGGGCTGGCTGGAGGAGTACTTCCCCACCGCCCCTCCCATGATGGTAGCCTACCGCCCCTGCTACCCACCCACAGTAAGAAAGGGGCTGAGGCAGCTGTTCTACGAGGGGGCTTTCTGGGGCGAGCCGGTGACCGACATCTGTCGATGGAGCTCGGAGACGACATGGATGTTGGACGACATCCGCAAGGCGATCAGGGAGGAAATATTGGATATGGTATGTCAGCAGGGGTTCTAGGACACCTACCCCCTAAATAACCACCCCAGTCAACTACCCCCTTGGGCAACCACCCCCGGACAACTACTCCCCAGTAAACTATCCCTTAGAACAGCTACCCCCTAGGACAACTACTCCCTGGACAACTACCCACCGGACAACTACCCCCGAGGACAACTGCCTCGCGGACAACTACCACCCGGACAACTACCCCCAGATAACTACCTCTTACGACAGCCATGCTCTAGGACAACTACGCCCTGGACAACTTTCCTAGGGGGTAGTTTTCCTAGGGGGTAGTTGTCTTAGAGGGAAGTTGTCTGGGGGTAGTTGTGCGGGGGTAGTTGTCCAGGGGTAGTTGTCCCGGGGGGGGGGAGTTGTCCCAGAAGGTGGTTGCCCTAGGGGGTAGTTGTCCGGGTGTGGTTGTCCTAGGGGGTAGTTAACTGGGGATGGTTATCCGGGGGGGTGTGGTTGTCCAGGGGGTAGGTGTCTGGATACGGTCAGCAGGGTGTGGCAATAATAATTGTTTCCTTTTAATGTTATGATTAATAATAATGATAATAATAACCTTATTTTGTATTTTGTATATAACAATGATTTTCTTAAATGCCTGTCGCACACGAGGTTATTTGAATGGTATCACTTTCACATGGCCGCAGCAGTTACTGGTAAAGTCCTACGTCATGCAAGTATGCCTCCTCTGCAATTCCCTTAGATTTGTCGATCACTATATTGCGTCAATCTCCTTAGATCCGCAACACTCCCAGCAACAACTTCAACAGTAACAACGTCACCCGAATCATCTACCACCTCCGTGAAGCCAGTCTCTTGATCAACTCTGTCCCCACCGACTACCTCACCGAAGTCGACGTGCTCATGGTCGCCTCGGTGATCGACACCTCCGTCAGCGCCGGAGTCGAGGGACTCTACACCGTCACCTCGGAGCTTGGGCAAGAGGTTGTCAACCTTGCAGACCGCATCCTGGACATTGATATTTGGACGCTGCTGAAGGCCCACAGCTCTTGCCTCAGGTACGTAGGTTCAAAGTTCTGCAGGCCCAGGTTCTTATTCGACATTTTACCAGAATTTATTAAAACCTTTAATTGAGCAGAGCCTAGATTTGTCAGTCTCCGGCAGTGTCCGGAGCAGCTACGGTAATGAGCTTTGAATGCAACATGCCGTGCAGACACTGTTAGGCCAGCACAAGGAATGACACGGGTTTGTGCCTGCAAACTAGTTCGATCGACTTACCCATTGCAGATAACCAGACATTTAAAAGGCCCATTGAATTTTATGTGTCCAAATAATCCTACAAGAAGAAGTTGCTAATAGATTTTCTGTTATAACACTTGTCATGATTGTCGAACGATTCGAGATCGAGCCATTGATTAAGAGAGTTACTTTAGCCAACCCGGTTCGAATTGGGCACAATATGACGAATAGCGCTATGTTGGGCAACCACAAGACCATGCGCCATGTTGATTGTGACCAAGTAAAGATGGCTCTGAACGATTCGTGTAAAAATGGTGATCTCATCAGTCTTTCTTTCTGTTTTGATATCACTCGATCCATTATCCCTTTCTCCACTCAATGTCTTCACCACTGTCTCTATCGGCACACATTCTCTCTCTCTCTCTCATCGACCAGCCAACCTGCCCTTTCCGTCCTTCAAGAATCTTTCCGCCCTCTTCTTTGTGTTTCTGCCTGTTCGTTAGTCCTTATTTGTGATTTTAATTATTTACGATACACTAGTTTTAGCAACCTTTTTTCTTGTTGTAACCTTCCTTAGCATAAGAATATGCGTCCTTGGTGTACCGATAAATTATTGCATCGCTATTGATTAAATCCGCACGATCTTTTTTTTTTTTTTGGGGGGGGGGGGTAGGGCATATGAAAACATTGTATCATCCGCTCAATCTGACTTGCGTGCTTAGAACAATAAGCATTTTTCCATGAAAAAGTGAAGTTTTCTAAAATGTGCGTTTCTTTCCAGCATTGGGGTGCCCGGAAGTCACTCGGGTAACATTTCATAAAGTATAACATAAAAAGACCATATGCAAATTTTCTGTACTTATGTCGGAAAAAATATGTTTATCCAGCACAATTTCGTCTCTTTTTGCGTTGGAGAAGAGCAAATAGCGAGTTTCAATCACACTTTGGCCGCTCTCGCAAGCTCTCACTCGTTTCAGTGTGGTCAAGCGACTTTGGGGCAAGCGGTAAATGAAAATACTATTCTTTAGCTTTCGTCTGGTATTAAACTTGTTTTGATTGATTGTATAATTTTGTCGGAATAAAGGAAACAAAAAGGCTTGACCAATAACTTATCAACGTCTGAATTGACCATTTGACCTTGAATTCCCTGATACAAGCGCACATAAACATGGTCTAATGACGTCATGTTCGCTAAATCGGTGTCTTTTATCGTAAAATGCTACACTTTACATCTTTTTTAATTATTAGTAAGATATAACATATTTTGTCTGATAGCACTGAAGTTTTTGGTTTTATTTAATGAGTAATTATAAAATAAGAGCCGTTTTACTGATTCAATTTACTGGATCGTACCATTAAAGTCGCAGGGTAGAAAGATGCATTTTCCAACCGCGCCAAATTTAATTTACGTTCCGACATTCTGTTAAATGGGTTCGTGTTGTTAAGAATCCACTGCTTTCTGCTCGACCAAACGTCCACGTGCGGAGTCGTTTATCAACTAAATTATTCAAATTCATGAATGCTTCCTTTCCAGGTGTTTGTGGTGTTTATGCATTTCATTCACCTGGTATTAATCTTTGTACTCCAATTGTTAGAATACAAAATGCATTTTAGTTGTATAGCTTCATTCAATAAGTAAGTCAATAAAAGAGTATTTTCTGCACAATAAAATCAATTTGTGTCCCTATTGTACAATGTAATGTGTCCCCTCATTTTGTAATAGTTAATTTACCCATTCACATAATGAAACTACCTGCCCGATGAAGCCAGTGGCCCGTGACCCCTGAGCACTCAACACCGTGTGGGAGTCAGTTTGTGGTCAACTTCTTTTATGAGACAAATCCAAACAAACATTTCCATATGGGGGAATCGGCATTCATGTACTTTATGTAAAGTCACAAACAACTCCTTTTCGAGTAATTCAATTACATCAGATTGTTTAAGTGCTTTAGGCCTACGCGGTCAAAAACTCTGAAAGATTAATGGACTTTTTGCGATAAAGGGAGATGTTGGTCTTTTTCAGATTCTACGCAATACCAATGTTGTTATCTGTATTCGGGTGAAGGTTGAAAGAATTCATGCACTTCGCGGCTGGTTTACTGATCGGATTAAGAGATCATTTTGATTCTATATTTGAGACACAAAGTCCCAGTGTCAATATCATATCACGTGACTCTTATCCATTAATGAGACGTTTTTTCTACTTTATTTTGTTGAGTGATGTATAGTCTAACCTGTCTATTACGGCTACTCAAGGGTTATTGATACTATTTCTTTGTTTATAAAATGTAGAATACATACGGAGTACATATAATAAATCCAACATGGTTCGAGAAAAGAACTAACAAAAAGTGGCCATACATGATTAGCCAGTATAGACATATTTTAAAACACGCATTTCCTTCTGGAGGGGGTAAACATGGGTCATCATTATAGACAGTTGCGTTTCCAGACAGTTTTCTTCTGTTTTTGTACAATGTAATCGCGTGACCTATATACTGAACATTATCCTTTCGCTAAAAATAAAAATAATAATAATTTTCCAACTTTATTTTCCTTCTTCATATCTAGTATTGCTGATAATCTCGAAATCTACACGGGACGCGTCAAGATGGGTATGCTCGGCGACAAACTGACGCATAACGGTCGCAATCTTTACATCGAAGTCGAGCAGACGACACCTGAATATGTCGAACATTTACCCAACAGGTGGGTGGTGGCGCCAGATACTGAGGGGAATTCTGAACCGGAACCAGTAGTCTCCATTGACTTTCCATGGGGAAAAATTGCAGGTGAGAATTGGGAATTGCGGAAATCTTATATATATATATACATTGTATAGTTGTAAACATCAATCAATGTATCTGTATTATCTTTTCAATTATGCACCACATCAAAACAAAACAACACAAACAAAAAACAACAACAACAACACATTCTGCAGGAAATGTATGGTATGTACATTTTAAGCTTTCAGAAACAATTACATATTACATAGGCTACTCCGAAGATGATTTCTATACGCAATTTGCCCTTAAGTAGATTTTCGAAAGTCCCTGCTATCTTGGTCATAATAGTTTTAGACGAATTAAACAAAATGAGAATACAAGTATATATCAAACAAAAAAGGAGTTTCAATTTAACAGAAGGCCTATTTTGTCTTTTGAATTCCAGCGGTAAAACGACGAAATCAAACAGATGGAAGATCTCATAGAATTCGGGAGAGAGATCGCGAAACCAGACGGAACAGGACTATCTTTGATGATCGGTTCAATAGGAGAGACCCTGAGGCATATGCCGTACCTACGTATATGATAAGGGCCACCGCTATTGTTTACTATACAGGTATGATGAGTGTGCTATTGTTATGAGGAGGATGATTTAGATATCTCGTTGTATATAGTAATTAAATATCTGATAAATTAATTTGACACCGGTAATAGTATTTCTCAAGGATCTTTAATTCAACTGTTTCAATTACTACTTCATAATAACCCCCTCCCTTTCGAGGCTTTTATTTGGAAAGATCTTTGAGAAGAATAAATATCTATTATTCATTTGAACTAAGATTACATTATATACATTATTATATACCTCACTTAAGAAATCCAGCCATCTGATTGGTCGAAATTGCAGTCATGGTTTTAACTATTCCTGTAAAATTCCCGGTAAAATTCCAGTTACCGGGCAACATAGTTCAGTCTTGGTGAAATACCCATAGGTATACATGTTAAAAATTGGTTTGAGCGATCGAGCATACCGTACGTGTGCGAAGAATTGGTCGATATTTTTAATACAGCACAGAGCAGACGACCGTACATACGGCATTCTCGATCGTACTGAATTCCAAACAAGGCAAAAATGGCTGAAGAAACTCTCCCAAGATTTCAACTTCTTGATAATGATCAAATGCAAGACTTGCTGACAGCAAGAACGCCAAAAGGGTACGTCAAATTCTCCATAATATATTGAAAATAGATCTAGTAGTAGTGCTAAAATCCTTCCCATAGACTCTCATGGGAATTGTAATATCAGAGCTAGATGTAAGGAACATCTTAAGAAGAGTAAAGGTAAACAAGGCCACTGGACCTGATGGCATCTCAAATCGGGTTCTTAAGACTTGTTATCAACAATTAGCTCCTATTTTTACGAGATTATATCAGTTAACTTTGGATCTAGGTGTAATACCACAAATATGGAAAACATCTTCAATTATACCAGTTCCAAAAGGGAATAGGAAATGCAGCAGCACAGATCTGAATGCCTTTCGCCCTGTAGCACTTACATCTAATGTCATGAAATGTTTGGAAAGGTTGATTTTGAAACATCTATTGAGTCAAGCTGGCTCATTTATTGACCCCTTTCAGTTTGCTTATAGACAGAATAGGGGAGTTGAGGACGCTGTTCTTGTCCTTCTTCATGGAATATATAGTCATTTAGATATCCCCAAATCATATGTAAGATGTACCTTCGTTGACTTCTCTAGTGCTTTTAATACCATAACTCCTCACCTTTTAATAAATAAACTGATAGAAATGGAGGTTGATGTTAAAATAGTGCTCTGGGTTCATAACTTTCTAACAAATAGACAACAATCAGTAAGACTTGGAAATATTAAATCCCCTACTTTAGTAACCAATACAGGAGCTCCACAAGGGTGTGTCCTTTCTCCCCTGTTATTTTCACTGTATACCAGTGATTGCACTAGTACCAGTCAATGTTGTTCATTTATTAAGTATGCTGATGACACTGCCATCACAGGTTTCATTAAGGGAGGAAATAGTGAGAATGAATATTTTTGTCAAGTTAATCAGTTTGTTGAATGGTGCGATCGACACAACCTATATTTGAATGTTAAAAAAACCAAAGAGATTATTATAGACTTTCGACGTGGTGACGTAAATCATACCCCTTTGTATATTCATGAACAGGCAATCGAACACGTACATGAATATAAGTATCTTGGTACCTTGATTGATGATAAGCTGCGATTTAATAAGAACATCAACGCTGTACACAGTAGAGCTAATCAACGGATGTTTTTTCTAAGGAAGCTCAAAAAATTTAACGTTGACAGGACGATCTTGCATCTTTTCTATCAGTCTATCATTCAAAGTGTTCTTCTATTCAATCTCATTTGTTTTTATGGAAATCTCACACAAGCAGACAAAACTAAACTCGAACGTCCTAGGAAAATTGCTCAACGTATTATCGGCATTGAATTACCACCCCTATCAGTTTTGTTTGAAGATCGCTTATTGACTAAAATAACTTCTATTATGAAAGACCCATCACATCCACTATTTTCTTGTTTTACTTTTAACCGCTCAGGAATCCGCCTGCGTGTACCAATTACCCGTAGAGCCAGATACAGAAATTCTTTTATTCCAAATTCCATGCACATCTACAATGCAAAAATAACACGAAATTCTCAGCTTTAAGCTGAATAATAGCGATTATGATTATTTGTTAACTTTTTTTCTACCCACCCAGTCAATTGTAGGGATTGGGTTGGAAAGTTTTCCGCCTTATCACCTTTGTGGGGTCAAAACATCCGTTGTTTAGCTCTGCTGCTGATTTTTGTTGTATATTTATGTCATGCATTATAATCTGATTGGAAATTATGCCATCTCTCCTTCTCTGTCTCTCCCATTTTCCTTTGGACCCCTACCAACTTTCCCTATATTTCTCTCTTCTATCAGTCCTTCGAGCTTGAGCTCTCTTTTCCTTTATCTTTCTGCTCGTATTTCGATTGTGATGCTGCTCATATTCACATCTATATTCATACCTGAATTTATTCATGATGTGATTCAGAATTGTATATAAAATTCTTGCTATGTATAAGTCATATAACTATCTTGTCATGTTTTGTGCTGAAAGCCAGAGAACCGTACCTGCTCACATACTTTTTCTTATAGAGTCTTGACGCCCTTCTGGCTTTCAGCACACGACACCATGTTTTTGTCTTATGTTTTATGTATTACATGTTATACCAATGGAAAACAAATTTCTGTATTATATTATGGACAATAAAATCTTGAATCTTGAATTGAATCTTGAATCTTGAATGAGTGCGCAATGCATAGGGATGTGTGCAATCTCTATGATAGAGATTGCACACATCCCTATGCATTGCGCACTCATGAGATTCAAACTAATATTGCTCGTTATCCTGAAGGTGATACTCAATAAGTGAGGTGTCATATGAAAGAGCAGGTTTTTCTCCATATTCCCCACAGGGCCGGCCCACCCCCAAAAATGTAAAAATATCTTCCTTAGACTAGAATATACATCTAGTCTACTCTCAAAGATACACCCAGTCATAGTCATAAAAAAACAACCGTGCAGATAAACTAGAGATAGGCCAAGGTGGTGTCATATGTTGACTCTTTTTTTTCGGCATATAAAAGTATTAATGACTGCTTTAATATTCGAGAAATAGTTGTTTTTATACGCTCTCGGGAAGGTTACAATTGGGCTTTTGCCCTCGGCACGCCTCGGGCAATAGCACAATTGTAACTTTTCCTTGAGCGTATAAAAACAACTATTTCTGTCAAAGCAGTCATTAATACTATATTATCAATTCCTGTAATGAAACTATTTTGTCCAGTTTTAGTAGCTCAATGAATTTCCTTTGTTCTTTTTTCTCTAATATACTCACCGTCGTCATACAGGAAAATTCTTTGTGAGCGAGTTATCCCAGATCGCCCCCGTTGATGAAACTGTGCTGGTATACATCAAGGCATACAATGACGGTGTGCCGTTGGAAGAGATCCCCGAACCGCTCTCCATTACCTTCTATCATACGACTGATGGCCAGGTAACTAGGATATCAAACTTTGGGGTTTTCATCTCACCATACACATCCCCCGGATAAATTCTTTTTTTAAAGGAAAAAAAAAATAAAAAAATGCCCGTGTCTCTACTTGCTGGGAACTTCAATAAATAATGAGGGTCTTTTAGGCAAAACAGCTGTTTAATGTAAAATTAAAAATATGATTTTGTTTCTTCTGAAAATAAGGGTAAAATATACATTGAAAATTATTGTCAAGTCCGTTTCGAAGACGCTCTTTTAAATTCCGTAGGCCTTTGTAAGGTATTTAACAATGAATTGTCCTTGAAATAGTAATAACAGGTTGTTGTTTTTTCATTTGCTTTTTTCTCATGTTAAGTAGGGGAAGAATTTTGTTTAAATATATTTATAAAAAGGAAAGAAAAAACCTAATTGTTTCGGCAAAAGGGGGGCAATTTTGAAGTCCTGACATATTTTGTGCTACTGCTCCAATAAAGAGTGAATACACCGGAAATTAAACGTTCCCTTTCGATTCTTATTTGCTTGTTTTCATTTAAAGGACATTTCAAAGTGTACATATTAAGGCTAATTTGTTGAACAATCATTCAACTAAAATGTATATTCCGTAGTTTCTTCGCCATCAAATCGGCATTTTCTGTTAATCGGGAATGTTGCTCGATCAAAAATTCATTTGGAGATTTCACAAGTTTTTTGTTGGTTTTGCTTCAATTTATTACGTTCAAGTTCAAGTTCAAGTTTATTGTCTCACATTTTACCAAAAATATAGACATACCGGTACATATAAAATAAAAATTGTACAATACATGTAGTATATATGAGCACGTCTCAATGATTGTCAATTCATATAATAGATTAAGTAGAATGTGAGGAACCTATTAAAACGTAGTGCTTGTATGTTATAGGTCCTGGTAAAATAAGTATAGTAGATCTTCATTTTTTTGTAATGAGAGCAAACCATGAAGACTCTTATTAATAACGTTATGTGGATTATTGTTATATTCCCCCTCCCCTAAACCGTCTCCTAGGGTGATCTACCAGACTGGGCTGGATTTGCCTGTGGATCAGCTCGACTCCATAGCTCTAGAGAACCTGTACCTGATCTTGTGCAGCATGGTAAGATCGTCATCTTTTGTTGTGTAGTTAAATATGTATTGTACCTAACTATATAAATTTAATTTATTCCTGGAGACCAGCCCTTGAGAGGCCAATGGCCTCTGTTTGATCTTTTATAGTCTCTAGTCTAAATTCTAGGTGCTCTATATTCTTTCTTATATTGAATTATGCTTTTTTATTGTTTTGTTGTGTTAAACACATAGTGTATGTAAACTGTTATATGTTTTTTTTTTTATGATAATGATAATAATAATTGATAATAATGATATTAACAAAGATATACCATTCCCTTTCATGTATTATATCTTCTTCTTTTTTCATTCTCGGCAGTTGAACTGGAATGGGACTCTTCGTACTGCACGATGAATTTTACAAATGATAACTACACAGTCTGTATGTGTACCGTCTTAGAAATCATTGGTCTGATAAAGGATGCAATACCAACACAGGAACCGGTAGGTTTTACCTCTGAATATCAAGTAATGATTTAGCAATCTTTAATTAATATCATTACGTCATCATCTTCCTATCAAAACCCTCAATGGCAAGATAACCGTTTATCACTCTAACCCCTTAATACTATAAACATCAACATCATCTTAGTAACCATGATCATTATTGCCCCACTCCCATCGTAGGCCTACACATCACCAGCAAAATAATCGTCACCACCATGTCGTCGTCGCCATTCTAATCATCATAAACCATAACTATGTCAATCCAAGCACTTTGATGGTTACCATTGCCAATTGAAGAAAAAATTATATGTTTGATGCTCTCCAAAGCACTTCAGAAACTCTGAAATTGTTCGTAGTAAATCCCAGAAGAGAACAAGTAGTGAATAAGTAGACGTATTTGGTTAGAGTTTTCCTTAATGTAACTCTTATTTTCTTTGCCTGTTTTCGTATAGACCACACCAGAAACAGCACCCGGACCACTTGAATTCATTGTAAGTTTATAACAGTACATCCTTTTTCTTGTCCCGTCTTTGTTAAGAGTTTTCCTCCAATAAATAAAAAGAAACTATATCCTCCAAGAAAACAAACATTACGACAGCATTTTGTTTCATGTTAAGAATTGTGAGGTGATAAGGCATTCATTTACATTTGCCTCTTTAGACCCAGGTGTAGGTAGGACATCCCCTAATGTTGTGAGCACCGAAATCGGAATAGCCTAGCTAGCTAAAGCACCTTGAGTGCTGGCTATGAACGCTGTAAAACATCTAAATTATCTATATCACTCAGCCGTATCAGGTTAAAGCCAGAATATTCTGTCAAATATCTTATTAATCAATATAACCACATTTGATGTGCAATGTTTCAAAATTTAAACAAGGGTATTTATCTTAAAACTGCCCTAGACTGATATAAAATTGACATTTCTAGTCGTAGGGCTATACATTAACCCCGCCTTTATTATATTCAATATCGTCCTTTTTGTTTGTTTACCATGCTTTAGTTGTCTTCATGATTGCAAACGTGTGATGGCCACTAATTCGTATCTCTCCTTTTTCACCAGGGAATTCCGAATTCACTTGGCCTGACTATAACAAGCTACATTGGCTACAGTGTATCAATCATCAGTCTACTCCTAACTATCATAACCTACGCTATCTTTCCGTAAGTATACAGTTTTTCATTTAATTGTTGAAATGGTCAGCTTTCTCCAAAGTATTACTTTCCCGAAACTACTGAGACAGATATAGGCCTTCTCCCCGAGACGTACAACACGAAATCAAGGTAGCTCTTTCATTCAATTGAAAGTTAGGCCTACCTCTTCGTGAACTGTTTGATACCGTTTTAGAACTCTATGTCACATCTTCATCAGAAAGCGTATTTAGGAAGGGGGTAACCGGCCCTTTTTAAACCTCCAAAGTGCCCCTTATTGTGTTTTGTGACCCCCTTTCAACTTCTTGACTCAATGGAACAATAACCCCCCTAAAATAAAACCCTGGATCTGCTCTTGATAGGAGTGTATCTTAACCGTGAAGAGTCAGATGTAAAAACGAAATTCCATCATTTTCTAATAATCCTATTGTGTTATTTAATTCATTTATAAATTTATTATTTTTATTTATATATTCATCCAATTATTTATATATTTATCTAACTATTTATTATTTATTTATGTATATATTCATTCATTAAATTCCCTTTTTATCCATCTATTTATTTATTTACGTATATTTAACATTCATTTATCAATTATCCGATTTTCTTTCTCCCGGTAGAAAGCTGCGGCGGGGTCGTCCGACCCTCATCCACGTGAACCTGTGCGTGGCCATCCTCCTCCTCCTCGTCCTCCTCATCTCTTCCGTGGCCTTCTGCAACAACGTCATGGGGTGCCGTGTCGCCAACATCTTCCGTATCTACATCATCCTAGTCTCGCTGATGTGGAACGGGGTCGAGGCCGTCCACATGTACATGACCCTCGTCAAGGTCTTTACCGCCCACGCTTCGTACTTCGTTCTCAAGGCCGGCCTGGTGGCTTGGGGTAAGGGTTTCAGAGCATCAGCAGTGGTTCACATGCAGGCACATCTCGAGAGAGGGGAAGGGGGGGGGGGGCATGGGGGCCTCTTACCCGAAAATCAACATTCTAGTTTGCCACATATTCGAGCGAAGCTAACTAACAAAATAATGTTGTGGTACATGTTTACATTCGACCTAAAAATTCACTAGATGAGGATAGGAATCAGGCGCGTACGCAGGATTATTTTAAGGGGGGGGGGGGGGGGGGGGGTTAACATTTTTAAATCGGGCCGAAAATTTCGCAGTGACTCAGGGGGGGGGGGGTTAAGAGGACACTTTTTTAGGTTAGCCATTGGTATTATTTTTTTAATTTTTTTTATTTAAAAAAAAAAAAAAAAAAAAAATTTACCAAAGGGGGGGGGGGGGGGGAGGTTTCCTCAAAATTACACACATAAAAAATACCAATACGCAGGGGGGGGGGGGGGGGGGTAAACCCCCCCCCCCCCCCCCCCCCCCCCCCCCTGCGTACGAGCCTGATAGGAATGTTACATATTTGGGTATCCCGCTCGTCAATGCTCCGTCGCCCAATCTTAATGATTGATTAATTTGCGATTATTTCTTTTAAATTTCAGGTATACCACTATTCGTTGTGCTCATAGCAGCTGCAGTCAACATTGAAATCTACGACGGGTTCCTCATCAATTGTACATTCAGGTAACCATGATTACAAAGCCTTAAATATGGTTGTAAGAATGAGTGTCCTACTTTTTTACTCCTAGGTCTGAATATTTGGTTTCTATATTTTATTTATTTACTTATTCAGTAATTTATTTAATTATTTATTTATTTATGAGCGAGTGACTTCAAACATCATTACTGGCAGTTGACAATCAGTCTACTTTCCAGATCTATAGATGTATACCAATTGGTATTTATATAGGCCTACATTTATAGTGGCGGCTCCAGGGGGTACAGGGGACAATGCTCCCCCAATTATTCCGATACCGAGTACAGACATGTGCCCCGTTCTAAACAACAAAACATGTTCATTTGTGAAAAAATTCGTCGCTGTTTTCACGAAGTGACGGTAGTGAAAACAAATTGCATTCACTTTGCGTTACGATTTTCCTCACTACCGTCACTTCGTGAAAACAAGGACGAATTAAATCGTAATGATAATTTTCAACCCAGGGTTGTTATTGAAATCATTTCTTTATTTCAAAGAAAAGTATCGCAATATACAAAGTTGCACTCTCAGAATGAAAGATAATCATGTCCATGAACCTATTCGGATTCAAGGCAGATTTATGCGATGAATATTAGGATACAAAATGCAATAAAAAAAAGCTAGTGATGTCATGCTCGTTCTATCTCTTGAATTCCCCAGCTGTCGTTTGAGTACCGTCGCTTTCTACGGTCTCTTCTTAACACCGATGCTCATCATCGTCCTCTTCAATAGCATCGTATTCGGGCTCGTTCTCCGGGTCATCAGAAAAATATATAAAACAGGTAACCTATGAAACTAGGTCTGTTCTCAGGGACGGATCCAGGACGGGGGGGGGGGCACGTGCCCCCCGGCCCCCCAAAATGTCAAAATCAGCCCCAAATTCGCCCAAAATGTACTGGCAAACAGGGACGTCCACCCCGGCCCAAAAACAAAAACAAAAACAAAAGCAAATTAGTGTGCACTCCCCCCTACCCCCCCCCCCCCCCCCCCCCCCCCCCCCCCCCCCCCCCCCCCCCCTGACCGAATTTGCGACCAGCGCGATTTTCAAATATTCGGGATCAAACAAAAATTTTAAAAATGTGCTCTTACCCGCCCCCCTCCCCCCGTGTGCCCCCCTCCCCCTCGTGTGCCCCCCGGGAAGAAATTCCTGGATCCGCCCCTGGTTCTTCTGGTGGTGAATCTAGGCCATGACCGGAGAGAGAAGGGAGGGCTTGGGGTAAGGGAGGGGATACAAGTATCATATATTTAATAGTCCGAAATTCCATGACAAACCGAAATAAACAGAAGAAGGAGGAGAAGAAGAAGGAGGAAAGGGAGAAGAAAAAGAAGAAGATGATGAAGAAGAAGAAGAAGAAGAATAAGATGAAAAAACGAAGACAAATAATAATAATAAGAAGAATAAAAGAAGAAGAAGAAGAAAGATTATCACATTTTCAGGAATCGCTGCTTAAAGTGGTGTGATTTTGATGACAACACCGTGTATCAGATTTCTTTAGATTTAGGTTTATAGCAAAACTTCATTTGCTTTGTTTTTATTCAGTTTTGATTGTCTCTCTCCTTCACACTCTTAGATGGTAAAAAGACGCCATTGAATCAGTTGAAAGGTGCCGTTGCTCTCCTAGTCCTTCTCGGTATCTCATGGATCTTCGGCGCGGCGGCCGCCGTCAACTTCACAATCGTTCCGTCAGGATACGAACCCCAAGCTACGGCAAACATTTTTCAGGTCAGTTCACGTTGTAGATCGTCATTTTATAACCGCCCTTCTCTCCCACTTACTCTCTCTCTCTCTCTCTCTCTCTCTTTCTCTCTCTCCTCTCCTCTCGACCCCCTCTCTCCATCCTTCTCTCTTAAGAACAAAATCTTTGTTTACTGCTTCAATCCACTTCCCCTAATTCTCTGTTTCATTTTTTCCTTTCATCCTTTATCTTTTTTTGTTTCTTTCTTCTTTATTTTCCCCCTCCTTTTTCCCCTTTAAAAAGAATCTCGCTCTCTCTCTCTCTCTCTCTTGCTCTCTTATTTTAACATTCTCTTTGTATATCCGTTATCTTGAAGTATTGTTTCCCTCTTATTTTTAGATGTAGGCTTTGTTTTTCCAGTGATTTTTTTTCATCACTCCTAAAAGTCAACGTTGCCACTCGGGTCGCTGTATTTGTTTCCGAAATGTTGGTCACCCGACTGGTTTAATTAAAATCATAGCTATTATCCTTAGGTGTTATTGAGGACTCTAGAAAATCCCTTTTGGGACCCGTCCTAAGATTTTTTTGTTTACAGAAGGCAAATGCGGCCTACTTCGATACTAAGAAAGTCAGTTCAGCGTGGTCTTTTGGAAAAAATATTAACAAACCACTACTATTTCCCCACATTTCTTTAACCTTTAATTTGTGTTCCTCTCTCTCTCTCTCAGGCTCTATTTGCAATCAGCGTTGCTTTCCAGGGCTTCTTCATTTTTATCTTCCATTGTGCAAGATACCCGGATGTTAGGCAACAATGGAAAACGACTCTGACACCGAAGAGATGCAGGCGACATGAGAGGAAATCCAGTTGCATTCCAACCGTGTCGACCGGTTCGGGAGTTGACGGCATTCAGGTTACGCGGTTATAGCAGGAATAGTTAGCGGTAAGGGAGAAAGTGATGCGGTAACCTTCTGTCATCATCGGTAAAACTATGGAACAGGATCTGACTGAGTGCTATATTCACCGGTGTCACAACAAAGAAGAAACAATGTTTCCCACCGTGTCTACCGGTTCGGGGAATGACGGTATCGAAGATATGTGGTTAGCGGTTAGGGCTAAAGCGACGCGGTTATCTATTTGTCAGTGAAGCTAAACGAAAGGACCTGCTACCGTGACTCCGATTCTATACCCGCTTTCACGCCAGAGAGGAAATCAAAATGTATTGTAACCGTGTCCTTGACCGCTCTGAGAACGTCATTATCCAGGACACTGGACTACCGCTGGAACTGTCAGTGGTTAGGGCTAAATTAGCGACGCGTTAACTACCTGCCAAACTCAATAAAATTAGGGAAGAGGACCCGACATACTGCTATGTGACTCCGATCATTTACTGATGTAACAACAATGAAGAGTGTTGCATTCCAACCGTGCCTTCCGGTTCGGGAAACGACCCGGTAACTCGATTGAGCACGAAATGTTAGCGGTTATAGACCTTCAATTATGACATTGTTCTTGAGTGTTTGCAACTAGTATAAGACCGGCAATGGAATTTAGTCGGTACTATTGACATTTTCGACAAATTATATTTGTACTATTTTTAAAGGGTTGTTGAACGCCATTTATACTCTAGATGCGATGTGGTATAAAAGGTACGGTGGGTGGTATATATTACATACCCAGTAACTGCTGGTCGTGAGGAATTAGAGCGACCTCAAAGCAGTTTTCTTCTGAAACTATGATTCCACATGAAGCACAAAACTTTCAATAGAATGAAAGCAATCGTTGACCCCTTCCATATTTATTGGGTCTACTAAGTGTCTGGCTTGAAAATTAATTGATATCAATGAATAATTGAATTTCGACTAAGCAACGAACACCCGTTGACTGTAGTGATGTAGATATAACAGCAACATGTACGTTTTATTGGTTAACGTCAACCTAGGAACTTTTATAGTATAGAAATAAGATACTATTCATATAGTGTCATGCAGAACACATAATATTATGTTATTGTTGTTGCTGTTGTTATCATTGAAAGTTTTTACAATTACACAATTACCGTACCGTTGGCATCAGGGCCTACATACATGCGTGATGCGTGTGAGAAACGGAATACCCTGGATATATATTTAGCATTGTGTTTTTGATTGTGAATTGGCAATCGCCATGAAGTACATGCTGACGAAAGTGACTGTCAATATAATCATGTTATTTTGTAAGGCCCGTCAAACGTTGAAAATAAGTGGCAATAGGTCAATTATTCTCCTTTACGTAATGGGAAGGATCATTTTTATACATTAAAGGTATTACAAAGTTTTGATATGGGGTTATGAATTTGTTTCAAATGAACATATTGGAAACATATGCGATCTTACAATATTCAGTGATCGTTATCGCGGTTGAAATCGAGTCTAAGGTGATGAAACTGTAATTAATAAACTATTTTCGTTGCATAGCTCCCTCTCAAGGTCAAGATATTAATTTAGCTTTAGGCGTTGTGGCGTGCGCCTGTAATCCAGCTAAAAAGTGGAAGTTACAAACTGATTCAGCCGAGGACGCAGGTTCGAAACTGAGTCACGTCTTTCGGATGGTGACGTTAAAAGGTCGGTCCCAGACGTAAATAATCATATCTGATTGATACACGTCTGTAAAAACCCAATACACACACACACACATTTAGAACAATGTTTCTTGACTAACATCGACCGATTGGCTATTCCTGTTTGGAAATTAAATATCACAACTACATACTCTGAGATATTCATGGTCACAGTTTCCATTGTATGGCAATAGGCGCTATTTTAAAATTAGCGAAATTTACCGGGAGCACCAGTAAATGTTGATCCCGGCCCCCCCACTCAGTGTTATTTAGGGTACGCATATGCGTGTTCCAACCGACCCCCCCTTTTCAGCAAAAGTCCGGTGTGTAAAGTCAATACGGCTCGACCTTTTTCTTTTGTTACGAAAAGGACATTTTGGCAACACGCATGCGGTCATTTTGAAACCTGAGTGGAGGGGCCGGGATGTTGATATTCCATTTTTTCGAAAGCAGAAGTGTTTGAGGGGCTAAATTTTCTAGTGCTTATAATACACCCATAGGGGCATCCAAATATTTCAAAATTGTAAAGAATCACTATATCCAGCCAATTTTCAAAATTCCCCAAAACTCTGTAATACCTTTAAATCTGCAATTGATTTATCAACAGCGCCCCCTTGCGTGTCTAAATAAATCATCATGTTGATGTACTTCCTTGTCCAATTTTCCACTTTTCCTTTTGGTTTCAACATAAAAATTTGTCCCTTCAGTGACAGAAATGCGGAAAAGCAGACATTATTGGACAAGAATTCTCAGAAGAAGGATAATCAACATTATGGCGTGTAATATATCAGCGTTATTTAACCGCCCTGCAAATCTATCATGAAGCCTTTAGGTTGCTGTCCATTAATCGATTGCAATAGTTTCGGATCATTAACAAAAGTAAATCTGCATGATAGAAATTGGAGACATTGAAATATGGTTAAGGAGGAAATAAAAAGTAAAATTCCAGCGAAGACTGTGTAGAACGAATTGGACTTACGGGATGATAATTGACACTTGAAATCACACAGGGATAGACTTCGTTCAACTACACTGTTTGCAATAATATCCCTTGTCAGGGTTTCACGTTTATAAGTTTATTATGGTTCATTTAATTTAAAAAATCATCGCAGCTGAAAGCTGAACAAATTAAGATGCTTTTACATTATATGACACAGACAACAATACATGAATAATCATTGAAAAAAACATTATTACTCAACTTGAATTAGTTATGATAGAAAACAAGAAGGTATGAATGATAGTTATAGGGTCTATATGAGAGTACAAGAAATATATAACGCAGAGTCCAATACATTTTAAAAGTTTGACACAATTTGAATGAGGGAGAGATTGAGAAAATTGATGAAAGAGAGAAAAGACGAGATATAGGACAGAAGAAAAGAGAAAATAATAGAATTAGAAGAAAAAAAAGAAAACGAAGAAGAAGAAGAAAAATAAAAGGAAAGGAATAAGAAGAAGAAGAATACAAGAAACAGAAGAAGAAGAAGAAGAATAGAAGAAACAGAAGAAGAAGAAGAAGAATAGAAGAAAAAGAAGAAGAAGAAGAGGAGAGAAGAGAAGAGAAGAAAAAGAGGTCGAGAGAGAGAGAGAGAGAGTATGTTTGTTTGTGTGCGTGAGGATGTGTGTATGTGTTTTGGTGTGTGATTCTCATCAACCACTATATTTAATTTCTAAAATTAATTTGTATTGTTTGGAATCAATAAAAAAAAAATATTGAAAAAAAACAACAAACAAAAACAAATTGTAATGAAGTAAATACAAAGTCAGTTTTATTTCCCCATACAAAAATATCAATGTTGCCGACAACAATAGAACATTATTTGTTTGTTTTTCCTATGATGTTACTTACACATCAGTCAAATTTATTGCTTCTAAATTCTATATATACATTTCCCATTTATACATCGTCTGTTTGGAGCCACAATGGCATTGATACATATTACCTAGACATGGAGTTAACGCCCTTGTGAATCCAAACAGACGACATGTTAAACGTGTCCGTTAATATTTGTGTACATTATGACTTGTATCACGTATTTTCCATTATAAATAATATGAAGTATTAGCCCTCTGTTGTTAATATTAGTACATGACCTTGGCTTTTTCTCTTTTCTTCTTGTATATACTTGTTTTTAATTATCTATACAAGACAGTGTAGGCCTATGTATGTACATGTTTCTAGCTGTCTCTTCCTGGATCTTGGATCTGTAATTGAACTCCAGCCTGAACTTTACTGTGACAACTTTTGTTCCCATTGGAGCATAACAGCTTAAAGGAACAAACAATTAAAACAAACGATTACAAAATCTACATTTACAGCATATTTACAAGATATATACACTAATTGTCGCTACGTTTCGAACCAGGGGGAGGGGGAGTACTCAGATTTGGTTTGGATAGGGTGTGCGTTTGAAGCGTCCAAACCCATATCCATTGTTAAGGTTTTGGGACCATCGGCGATTACTTTTTCCTTGACTTTCCAAATGTGATTTCCAGGAAATCTAAAAGGTCGGACACAGTAGGAAAATTTAGTCCTCTTAATCGATTATTTCCATAAATATAGGTTTATGATATCATACATTCGTATCTTTACACGTACCTTCATCTCAAGAGTTAGGACAGTCAAAAGTGGAAGTGCTGGTACGTTTATCAGTGGGAAAGGTAGCACTGTGCTTTTCGGCAATAAACCGCCTAAACATTGACACAGACATGAGTGATTGAAAGATGAAGGGGCTAATGAAAATGTTCAGACAATCTACTCCTAAAAACATAATACTGTACAGTAATGGCGCTTGTATACTGAAGAAATGAGGCTAACGTTTATGTTTATATATGTTCTAAGGGGAATTGTTAGAGTTTCATCCTAAAAAGACCGGGCTATTCAATTCAAATAATTATATTTCTAAAACATGAGTTCTCGAATATCGTGAATCTTTTCTTCTTCCATTAACCATTATACTGTATAAGAGCAAAACCAAGGTATTTGGTCATTTGGTGTATTATATGGATGACCACATTATGGTTTTCGTAATATAAATTGACATCAGATGTGTTTGACACTTCATATCTTATCTGATCCGTGCTCTAGTAGGGCTATTAGCTTAATACACCAATCAAATATACTAAAATATGAGATTTGGACAGTGATGTATGGAACAAACTAGCTTGGTGTCCCTGAAAATAAGGCAGACCGTTACTACTCGTTGGGGATCAAGTCATTGGTCCTAAGATTAATGGTGAGATTTTTCACCAGTTTATTCCAGAAAAAATCGTGTCCTCTCACATCCTCGGTCCAATGTAGGTAGGGTCTGCCGTCACTTAAATATAACCTTGCCAAGAATGGTATATCCTCATCAGGGAAGTCTTCAAGAAAGACCACGACTACGAATTCGGTCTGGGTGTCGCTCACATGGTCCATGGCGGTGCGGAGTTTGAGCATGAACCAGCGATCGTGCACAGCGGCTCTGCTGAGTAGAATGAGTGTTTTGTAACGATGGCTCACCACGTAGTCAACGGCGTCCAGATAGTGCATACCAAGGATGAGGTCTTGATCACCAAAGACATTCCTCTGGAACTGTGGCAGCCGTTCTTCCAGAGCTGGTTGGAGTCGTTGACGAACCCATTCTTCGTCGTCATCGTAGAAGATGATATTCAAGTCAAATTCGTAGTCGCAGGGGCGGATCTAGCTTTTTGCTAAGGGGGGGGGGGGTTGACCAAAATAATGACGATGCGGAGCATCGTCCACGAGCCGCGAAGCGGCGAGCCGATTTTTTGGGGGGTGTTTATTTGAACCCCGTAAGTGATGTTTTCCTGGCATCTATTAACACAATGGAGACCATAAAAAGCAGTGCATGATAACGTCTTTTTAAATCAAGTAACAGTTTAATACATAGTTATATCCAGAGTTATCATGTGTTTGGTTAAGTTACCAGATGAGTTGAATATCTTCTCACAATATTTGCACTTGAAAGGGTTTCTCTCCAGCGTGCGTTCTTTTTTCTTTCTTTTTTTCTTTCTTTTTTTTCTTTTTTTTCTTTCCTTTTTTCCTTTTTTTTTTTTTTGGGCCGCCCAAGGGGGGGGGGGGGTTGCAACCCCCAACCCCCCCTCTAGATCCGCTTCTGACGTTGTGGTCCCGGGCGTCTCGCATCTCTTTATATCCAATTACCATTAGTTTGAAGAGAAAAAGTTTGTACTTCAACGGCCATCGGTTGTGATAAAGGACTACGACGATGACAACCAAGAAAATGCCGGCGAGAGGAGTCAAGCATACAAGAACAATGTTGAGTCCACACAGTTTATTGGGATCAAAATCAAGCAAAGGTTTCCCGCGAAGAGGCTCTAAAGAGGCCAATGAATAGACGGTTCTGTCCTCGTCAATGACGTCTATATGTCCAATTCAATCGCGGAACCATCGCAGATCGCAGTTACAGTCGATAGGGTTTAATGACAAATCGAAAGATAGAAGCGAAGATTCTATCGGTTCAAATGTCGTTTGGTTGAGACGGGTTAATTTATTGTTTGATAGCAAAGGAGAAGTCAGTCTGGGATTGTTTGAGAATAGTTGTTCACACAGGGAAAGGTTTCGTTCATTTACACTGTTTGCTATAATATCCCTTGTCAGTAGAAGCTACTTTTATTTGACTAAAAATAATATCGAGATATGTGTGCTACTTTGTTAAACATTGCTATTTTTGTGAAATGTACAGTTTTTAATCTCTTTTTTTGGGGGGGGGGGGGCTGTTGTCAGAGTTTTACTTTTATAAGTCTATTATGGTTCATTTAATTACAAAATCATCGCAACTGGAAGGTGATATAATAAAGATGCGTTTTAATTACATGAAACAAACAAAAAGACATGAATAATCATTCAAAAACCATTATTACTCAACTTTAATTAGTGATAATAGAAAACAAGAAGGTATGAATGATAGTTATAGGGTCTATATGAGAGTACAAGAAATATATAACGCAGAGTCCAATACATTTTAAAAGTTTGACACAATTTGAATGAGTGAGAGATTGAGAAAATTGATGAAAGAGAGAAAAGACGAGACCAGGACAGGAAAAAAAAGAAAATAATAGAATTAGAAAAAAGAAGAAAACGAAGAAGAAGAAGAAGAAGAATAAAATAAAAGGAAGAAGAAGAAGAGTAAAGAAGAGAAGAAAAAAAAGATCGAGAAAAAGAGAGTATGTGTGTGTGCGTCATCAACCACAAAATAACAAATTGTAATTAAGTAAATACAAATTCAGTTTAATTTCCCCATACAAAAATATAAATGTTGCCGACAACAATAGAACATAATTTGTTTGGTTTTCTTATGGTGTTACTTACACATGAACATGTACATGTAGGGTATATCAGTGGGAAAAGTAGCACTGTGCTTTCCGGCAATAAACCGCCTAAACATTGACACAGACATGAGTGATTGAAAGACGAAGGCGCTAATGAAAATGTTCAGACAATCTACTCCTAACATAATACTGTACAGTAACGGCGCTTGTATACTGAAGAAATGAGGCTAACGTTTATGTTTATATCTGTTCTAAGGGGAATTGTTAGAGTTTCATCCTAAAAAGACCGGGCTATTCAATTCAAATAATTACATTTCTAAAACATGAGTTCTCGAATATCGTGATTTTTTTCTTCTTCCATTAACCATTATACTGCATTAGAGCAAAACCAAGGTATTTGGTCATTTCGTGTATTATATGGATGACCACATTATGGTTTTCGTAATATAAATTGACATCAGATGTGTTTGACACTTCATATCTTATATGACCCGTGCTCTAGAGCTCTTAGCTTAATACATGAATCAGATATACTAAAATATGAGATGTGGACAGTGATGTATGGAACAAACTAGCTTGAGTCTGCCTGAAAATAAGTCAGACCGTTACTACTCGTTGGGGATCAAGTCATTAGTCCTAAGATTAATGGTGAGATTTTTCACCAGTTTATTCCAGAAAAAATCGTGTCCTCTCACGTCCTCAGTCCAATGTAGGTAGGGTTTGCCGTCACTTAAATATAACCTTGCCAAGAATGGTAGCTCCTCGTCAGGGAAGTCTTCGAGAAAGACCACGACTACGAATTCGGTCTGGGTGTCGCTTACATGGTCCATGGCGGTGCGGAATTTGAGCATAAACCAGCGATCGTGCACGGCGGCTCTGCTGAGTAGAATGATGGTTTTGTAACTATGGCTCACCACGTAGTCGACGGCGTCCAGATAGTGCATACCAAGGATTAGGTCTTGATCACCACAGACATTCCTCTGGAACTGCGGAAGCCGTTCTTCCAGAGCTGGTTGGAGTTGTTGACGAACCCATTCTTCGTCGTCGTCGTAGAAGATGATATTCAAGTCAAACTCGTAGTCGTTGTGGACCCGAGCGTCTCTCATCTCTTTATATTCAATTAACATTAGTTTCAAGAGAAAGCGTTTGTACTTTGTACTTGTATAATATTTTATTTCAACACGGATCACTTGATTAGGCCAACGGCTGTTCTTCTGCAAGTCCGTTCATACATAAAAAGGAATCATATACAAAATATATACAATTCAAAATAACACGCAATACAAATTATTCAATTAAAACAGTAAAAGGAAAGCGGATTTAAAATCAATTGAATAAAATACACAGACAAATTATGTGACAAGCGTGATAAATGACATAATATAACAATAACTAAATACAAATATAAAATGAAGTAAATTAAAGTAAAAGTTAAGTTAAAATTAGGAATTGAAAATTTAAAAAAATTAAAATTGATATATATATTTAAAAGAGTAAACCTTATGATAACAATAGATCGAGAAAAACAAGCGAATTAGGATACTGGCAAACATTTTGTATAACTATATTGAATAAGCAGCTAGTGTGATTGCACAGCATAATTAAACAGATTGAAAACAAAAGGCATAACAGAGAGAGAGAGAGAGATAGATGGAGAGAAAGGGAGAGGGAAAAAGAGAAAGAGAGATGTGAGGGAGAGAGAAATGAAGAGAGAGAGAGAGAGAGAGAGAGAAGGGGGAACAAGAGAGATGGAGAAAAGAAGCCACTATACTATTTCACTCTATACGGTATAATGTCCAATTTGAAACTGTAAAAGCTCAAAGCTTTTACATCATTAGGTTATTCATTAGGTTATTCATTCCATCGTTTTGCTCCTCTGTATTGCAGACTTCTCTTTTAAAAGTTAGTTTTAACCGGTGGTACTTGATTTAAAAATATGAATGAAAAACATATTAATTACTGTTACTCAAAACAAATTGATTAAAGGTACTCTCTGGTGGCATTTCATATGCAATGTTGTACAATATACGTAAAGTGCGTATATATTTCGCCTCTCCTTAAGTCTTTTGACATCTAATTTTGTAAATAATAGTTCAGACGGATACATCCAATCCACATGTAATACACAACGAAGAGCTCTATTTTGAAGTTTTTGTAGATGGTCGTTAAGTACTTTTCCTAAGTTCTATAGGGAAAGTGTGTAATATCTCATTCCAAATACAATAATATTTCTCACCTATTTACATTGAATATTAGGTAGTTGAAAGGAAAAGGTGTTAATATTAATTCGAACTCAAGGAAATGCTTATTTCTAGCAAAAGTTATGATACTTTTTTGTTATGATGATTACAATCTTGACTTTATTCGCATCCCTTGTTTAAGGTAACCCTTCTCATTGAGGTGATACAAAATGTTTAAAGTTTATTAGGGATGTTATCCTTTTGATGAAAGTCTACTATCAATTTCTTTGATACTTATCATCATAATTATGTGTTCCTTCTTGCAATAGGGTTTAGTAACCTTTGAGTTTTCATTTGCTATTCGAGATAAACACCTTATGCTCATTACGCGTGTGAAATGGCGTAGCAGACATATGAGCAGAGAGAACTTAGATATCATGAGTCAAGAAGTTAGTAGGCTGTTCAAAATAAATAAAGGTCATCCTATGGATTGAATTGCATCATTTTAAACAATTAAGCACTGAAGCACGGGGCATAATTTAACTTTTTAAATGGATTTAAGACCAAAGAACTCGTTCCATCCGCCCAAACTTAGTACAAGGCGATTTTGACAACCCTTTTTAAATACCCTGGTGATCAGTCACCCGTGGCAGAAAGAATATAAATATGATACCATTGGACAGGAAACTTGTTACTATTCATCATGGAATAGATTTTCTCTCATCTGAACAATATTTAACCAAGTCCCTTTAAAGATAAACTTGAGTTCTGGTAATGCGATTGCATTGTGAAAGAAAAGGTGTGGAATGGATCAGAAAAGTTGATCATATAGCATGTAAGTAATGGTGTGTAATGCAAGGTTCTGGAGACATCAAAATCATCATAAATTTGGCAGAGTCTTGGTAAAGTAACAATCACTTACACAGAAAGGTGTATATGGGACAACACACATGGTGTCGGGGCTAGTACTACCCTGATTTCCTTATCTTTCTATGCTCATTACTCAGCCAGTATACATTTTCTTCCAAATTGTTTGGCACATGACATTTATTTCTAATCTTGAACATTCAGTGTAAGTTTCGTTAGATTCTGTGAGAATTCATTTTCTTTTTTTACCAGAACTCAAGTTTATCTTTAAGCTTGACGTCGGGTTTCAATCATATAGTAGAACAGAGGCGACAATGTCTCACAAACATAATCGCAAAGACTGTCGAGAAAAAAAAATCAACCTTAGTCAATTTAATTGTGTCGTACACAACAATTCGACTCTTGTCCACCGCCCTTTGAAATTTGCACATTTTACAATGACGTGTTTCGTAATCTGAACATGATTTATATGGGATTCTCGAAAGTCTTTACGATCGCACCTTCACACACAGTGGTAAAATACCGTTTTAATCGTCACGTTTTGATAAAATGTTTTTTTGTTTTGAAAGATATTTTATTGTTCATTCAATGCACAACAAATAGTAACAGAATGATAACATATATATGATTTAACATAATATTACATAATATAAAATATGATGTGGTCACCGGGCGACGATCACAGTGTGACTATAGCTAGAAGCAATCATATTCACTTTCATACTGTTTAGATCACATATACTGTGGATCAAAGGAGAACCACAAAATATATTGACATAACATTATTCCGTATATAGGCCTACACAAAACAAAAACAACCGTAATAAACATTCAAAATTTATTACAAAAAAAAGTATGCAGGTGCCGATGATCGTTGCGTATACACTTTACTAATATATAAGATGATATCTTAATAATGAATATGTGAAATATAATCAATATCAAGACACTTAAGATACTACACTAAGATATTTACACACAAAAACTTAATTTATCTTTTTATCATATACATCTTTGCAGATGCCGATGATCGTTGTTTAAAAACGTTCTCAATATATTCGACGATATCTTAATAATAAAATATCAAATATAACCAATGTCAAGACAATTTAGATACTACACTAAGATATTTACACAACGCAAAATTAATTGATCTCATTATCAAATACATCTCTGCAGATGCCGATGATAGTTGTTTATACAGGTTATCAATACATATTCGATGATATCTTAATAATAAAATATCAAATATAACCAATATCATGACAATTTAGATACTACACTAAGATATTTACACAGAAAGAACTTAAATGATCTTTTTATCAAATACACCTTTGCAGATACCGATGGTTGTTTCTTATACTCGATGATATCTTAATAATAAAATATCAAATATAACCAATGTCAAGATAATTTAGATACTACACTAAGATATTTACACAGAAAAAACTAAAATGATCTTTTTATCAAATACATCTTTGCAGATGCCGATGATCGTTGTTTATACACGTTATTATCAATATATATTCTACGATATCTTAATAATAAAATATCAAATATAACCCATGTCAAGACAATTTAGATACACACTAAGATATTTACACAACACAAAATTAATTGATCTTATTATCAAATACATCTCTGCAGATGCCGATGATCGTTGTTTATACACGTTATCAATATTTATTCGATGATATCTTAATAATTAATATTTCAAATATAACCAATATCAAGACTTTTTTGATACTACACTAAGATATTTACACAGAAAAAACTTAAATGATCTTTTTATCAAATACATCTTTGCAGATGCCGATGATCGTTGTTTATACACGTTATTATCAATATATATTCTACGATATCCTAATAATAAAATATCAAATATAACCAATGTCAAGACAATTTAGATACACACTAAGATAATTACACAACACAAAATTAATTGATCTTATTATCAAATACATCTCTGCAGATGCCGATGATCGTTGTTTATACACGTTATCAATATATATTCGATGATATCTTAATAATGAATATTTCAAATATAACCAATATCAAGACTTTTTTTTATACTACACTAAGATATTTACACAGAAAAAACTTAAATGATCTTTTTATCAAAAACACCTTTGCAGATGCCGATGATCGTTTCTTATACTCGATGATATCTTAATAATAAAATATCAAATATAACCAATATCAGGACAATTTAGGTACTACACTAAGATATTTACACAACACAAAATTAATTGATCTTTTTATCAAACACATCTTTGCAGATGCCGATGATCGCTACTTATACACGTTATCAATATATTTTCGATGATATCTTAGTAATAAAATTTCAGGCCTATAACATATATCAAGACAATTTAGATACTACACTAAGATATTTACGCAACACAAACTTAATTGATCTTTTTATCAAATACATTTTATAGATTGAGACAGAAAAATATATGACGAGTATTCAATGACTAGTTGTTTTCAAAGCTAATAGAGATTAACCCATTTCATAGTGTCATCTTTAAGTGACCTTTAATTTTTATTTTGAAATCTCTGAAATGGCAACGGAGAGTGAAGTTCATAATCACTTTTTTCTTGTTCAAATTGGCAATTTGTAGTTGATTTTCGTTGTTGCAATTTTGATTCACACAGCTTTTAGTTTTCAATAATGAAAGAGTGGGAATTACGAAAAATTGTTTCATATTTGAGGAGGAAAAGTAGATTCATTTAGACCTGCAGAAAAGTTTCTGTGAACTGCTATGAGTTAAATGAGAATGTTGGAGAGCTGGATCAAAACCAAAACAGATTGTTATAAACAAAAAAAGCATGACTGTCAAGTTTTTAGCATTTGAGACTTTGGCTTTCGAATCAGTCCTACTAATCAAACATTACTACTTAACTTAGATAGAAATAGAATCCTGCGTTATTTTTAACTCCCGGATTTTAATAACGTATTATTTATGAAAGACATAAACTAAAGATTAGTACAGAACAAAGATAAAAAGGAAAGAAGAAAAGAATATAAAACGCAGTAGACAGCTATCGAGTCTACCATGGATAAATAGTCACGTTGCAAAAAACTCGCTGTGTGTTGGTGTGTGTTTTTGAACGGAATTGTGTTTTGCATACGTCTTCACACTACCTTCATTTCAAGATATAAGACAGTCAAACGTGGAAGTTCTAGTCAAAAGTGGAAGTTTTAGTATACATGTAGGGTATATCAGTAGGAAAAGTAGCACTGTTTTTCGGCAAACATCTGCCGAATGCCTAGGTCACATTTGCCGCCTCGGCCGTGCGGTCTAAAATATATACGGCAAATAGTAATTATAGGACTGCCGCAGCATTCCCACGGTAGCGGTCACATAATATGTAAGGGTAGCCGCACGGCGTAATTTGAATTTGTGGAGACAGAAAATCTGCGATTGCCGTACGACCTTTGAAGTGATGACGCACGGTCGCGTTAGGGCATCCCTGCGGCCGCTGTAGCTTTTTGACAAATACTAAGGCAGACGCAAGTTAGCCGCAAGGTGCCCGTAAGGCGGCTGAAGGGGGACCATACGGCGACCGTGCGGCCAGACTGATGTAACCGTTTCATCCCTGGAGTATATAAAACGCAAGACTATCGTACGACCGACGTACGGTCGACGTGGAACAGCTCTACCGCATGTCTAAAGTGACTCTCACACTCTGCCGTGTAGGCCTACCGTGTGCCACCGTGCGCGAAAATGTCTGCGGACGGTGGAGAACGACGAGGGCACACGGTGGTTCGTTATCAAAGCGGGCAACACGTTAATAGGGCGTTGGCGCTTATTTACACCCGGTGGGACCCGGCGAAAGTTTTGGGCATGTTCAAAACTTTGGCCGGCTGGCACCGGCCGCAAGTAAGCGGCAAGAGGACGACGTTGAACGGTATGAGGACGGTATGAATACGTTATGAAAACGGTCACACTGTATGAACACGTTCACAATACGCTCATAACCCGTTACAGAACGGTGATGAACGGGCAAAAAAATCGGGGTATTTATGGCAGTCGTGTCATGACGTCAGCAGTCCGGGGACTCGCTCACAGGACGCTCCGAGCGGTGAGGGGACGCTAAGTGACTGGTAGGTGGCTGCTACAAACCCGGTGCACACGTTCGAGACCCGGTATGGGCCCGGTATGGAAACGGCCAAAATTTTCAACAAAAGTCAATCTGGGCGGTGAAGACGGTAGAAGCACGTTCAACACCCGGTATGCGCCCGGTGAGAACGGTCAGAAGATGGCAACGAAACGGTGAAAAGATTAATTTTATGAATTTTTTTTTTGCGGCCGGGGACAAGTTCGCTCAAAACCCAACGTTCTGGACTCTGTTGTTTTTTAATAGCCCGGCAGGTGGACGGTAGGCCTACACGGCAGAGTGTGAGAGCTCCATAAGGCGTGTCTAACCGTTTCGACGAACCTAGAAATGAAAAACAGTTATGACTCCGCGTTTTAATCCCACGGCGACCCGTACGGCCTGTAAAGATAGGGATACGCCCTCGGGTGACCGTGAGGTCGCAAGTATCTTTCGATTTCGGGGGCGTACGGCCGCCGTATCCTATCCGTAGAGCAAATGTGACCTAGGCATAAAAAATTGACACAAATGGAGTGATGGCGGGGGTGGTAGCCCCCTTGGAATCTCAGCCATGGAATGACAAAACATTATTAAACTTGGAATATTGATAGAGTATCTCATAAAGAATACGTCCATGAAATTTCATATCTATGTCTCGAATGGCTTTTGATTGATTATAAATTAACTATTCACATATCCGAGAAGTAACAATTCTGCATTTTGTACAGAACATAATTTATAGGGAAATTTTCATTTTGGCAGCGCTATGATTTTTGACACTACGCAGTACCCATGGTACCCTTTGGTCGAACGTATATTATGATCCCCAAAAGATAGGGACAAAGTGGAATCTGAACCTGGCACTTTTAAGGTTAAACAAAAAAGTGCTCCCGGCGGTCCGGATTGACATGTCCTGCGGTCTGGACTTTGGGAATCCCTGGTCTAGAGTAACATGCAGAGTAATAGTTGCTATTTCTTCTATCAACCGGTATACTGCACAAGAGCAAAACCAAGGTATTTCGCCATCTGGTGTATCATAATTTATGCATAACCACATATTATGAATTTCTAAATATAAATTGACATCAGATGTTTTTTGCAACTTCATATTTAGTCTGATCCAAGCTCCAGTAGGGCTCTTAGCTTAATACATGATTCAGATATACTAAACTCTGAGATGTGGACGGTAATGTAGAATGGATCACACTATCACGAAAATAAGTCAGACCGTTACTACTCGTTTGGGATTAAGTCATTGGTTTTGAGATTAATAGTGAGACTTTTCACCAGTTTATTCCAGAAAAAATCGTGTCCTCTCACGTCCTCTGTCCAATGTAGGTAGGGTCTGCCGTCACTTAAATATAACCTTGCCAAGAATGGTATCTCCTCGTCAGGGATGTCTTCGAGAAAGACCACGACTACAAATTCGGTCTCGGTGTCGCTCACATGGTCCATTGCGGTGCGGAATTTGAGCATAAACCAGCGATCGTGCACGGCGGTTCTGCTGAGTAGAATGAGTGTTTTGTAACTATGGCTCACCACGTAGTCGACAGCGTCCAGATAGTGCATACCAGGGATGAGGTCTTGATCACCAAAGACATTCCTCTGGAACTGTGGAAGCCGTTCTTCCAGAGCTGGTTGGAGTTGTTGACAAGCCCATTCTTCGTCGTCATCGTAGAAGATTATATTCAAATCATACTCGTAGTCGTTGAGGTCCCTGGCGTCTCTCATCTCTTTATATCCAATTACCATTAGTTTCATGAGAAAGAGTTTGTACTTCAACTGCCATCGTTTGCGATAAAGGACTACGACGATGACAACCAAGAAAATGCCGGCGAGAGGAGTCAAGCATACAAGAGCAATGTTAAGTCCACAAAGTGTATTGGGATCAAAATCAAGTAAAAGTTTCTCGCGAAGAGGCTCTAAAGATGCCGACGAACAGACTGTTCTGTTCTCGTCAATGACGTCAAGATGTCCACTCATCCAATCGCGGAACCATCGAAGATCGCAGTTACAGCTGATAGGATTCAATGACAAATCGAGAGATAGAAGCGAAGATTCTATTGGTTCAAATGTCGTTTGGTTGAGACGGGTTAATCTATTGTTTGATAGCAAAAGAGTAGTCAGTCTGGGATTGTTCGAAAATAGTTGCTCACCGAGGTATGCCAAAAGGTTATCACCAAGATCGATAAATGTCACTTGATCTAACATTTTGAATATATCAAAATTAAGTTGTTGAATTATGTTTCCACGTAAATTTAGCACCCGAAGCGATTCCAATCCCTTAAAAGCTAATGGATTAAGGCATGAAATATGACAGGCTTCTAAACTAAGGTTCTGAAGAGCAGAGAGTTGTTCGAAGATCCTAGCTGGAAATTCAGATGGAATGTGATGGTTTAAATAATTTTGGCTCAGATTCAAATTAATAAGATTTGACAATCCGTCAAAAAGAGAGACATTCAGGATTCTATCCCAGAGATTAAATATCGCCAGCCCCGAATTACATATTTCCAAATCTACAAGGCCTTGTAAATCTTTTAAGGCTATTCCAGGTCGCATAGCGAGCACTAGGCTTTTCATGTTATTCATGAAAAGGGTCGTTAAGTTCGGGGCTACCAGGTAAAAATACCCAATACTGCAATACATGTTGTTCATGGCGATGGTTTGAATTCCCGTCAGTTTCGAAAACGACGTGATTTCCAGGGCAATAAGGTCGTTCAAGCTCAGATCTAACAGCGTTAGATTTCGCAAACCGAAAAATGCAAATTTTGAGATTTCTGTCAAAGAATTAAAGCGTAAGTGCAACTCATTCAAGTCAAGTGCCCATTCGTCAGTATTTGGGTTTATATATTTTATTTGATTGTAGTTTAAGTTCAAAACTTTTAACTCCCGCATGCCTTGAAAGAATACCGGTTCAATAGAGACGATGTCGTTTGATGATAGATCAAGTTCCACGAGTCTTGTCAGGTTTGAGAACACGTATGGAGAGAGGGATTTGATTTCGTTGTATGATAGATCAAGTTCCACGAGTCTTGTCAGGTTTGAGAACACGTATGGAGAGAGAGATGGGATTTCGTTGTGCGATAGATCAAGTTTCACGAGTCTTGTCAGGTTTGAGAACACGTACGGAGAGAGAGATTGTACCTGGTTCAGTGTTAATCTAAGCACAGAAAGAGAGCAATTATGTAAGTGACCAAAGAAATCTCGTGGCAAGACTGTGATATCGGTATAACCTATAGTGAGCTCCACTATTTCAGAGTGACAGATCCCGCGAAAAATATCCTTCAGTATCTCAAGTGTCAAAGGTTTGTACCCAAGGACCAGTGATCGGACACGCAACGATGCAATAACGTTCGGGTCTACTAAATTAATACGATTCCCTATCAGATTCACATAACCAATTTGACATCCAAACATGAAAGATTCTGCCGTGAGATGCTTGATTCTATTATATGACAAGTCGATGTTCTTTACTCTGCCACAAAGGCTCATGTTAACGAAAGTGAGATCGTTGAAGCTAAGGTGTATAGACTCCACAGACGGGCTCCATTTCAGAGTGTCGTTTGGAAGCAGTTTCAGATTCGAACATATCAGATCCAGTATGGACAGGTTCTTAGACCCCCTGAACAGGTCTGTAGCTGGGAGAACAAGATGAAGGTTGTATGATAGGTCTAAGTGATTCAATTCCTTTAGAGGGTGAAAGGATGCAGATTCTATCATTCTAATGTCGTTTGATTTAAGATACAATACCTGGATCAAAGGGTATCTCTTGAAAGAAGAATTAAAGATGAAAGTGATATTGTTGGACCCGACGTCCAGTTCTTTAATATCGTTTGGAAGATTCTGAGGGATGGAGTCCAACCCAAGATCATGGCAATCAGCTTTCTTCTGCTCGACATTATAATCACATATCATAGAAGAAGTAAGCATGGCATCTTGGTGTATGGTTTGGATGAGCGTCGGGGTTAGAATACACAATACAACCAATGGCAGACAGCGTAGAAGAGGTGCTCGTCGTATGAATGCCATACTAACTGACTCCTGTCTGAAATAGAAATAGAAGATGATAAACTGCAGAAAACAAACCTCCACATCAACAATTATAACCCTAACCACAGGCATATCACTGACCTTAATTCTAACCCTAACCCGAATACATTCTACTGATGCTTAGTAACGTATTCTTCACTTATGTCATGATAATTATTTCTCTCTAAAGCTTGAATTATGTGCAATTGAATAGTATTACAGTTCAGAGCAACTTAACAATTACCGTTTCTTTAACCAGAATCACACTTTAAACTGTCAGAGATATCTTCGTAAAACCGAAAACAGGCAAATACTTCGAAAAGGCGTATATTGCACTGTTAATACACAGCCCTAATCGTTCACTGCGAGTCCAATTAGTTTTGACAAGGGATAGGGGGCCGATTCGCCGCTAAATATATTTTCTCACGAATTGGGCCCCCGCCCCCTCCTGCCGCCGGCTGGATCCGCCCCTGAGTAGAGGTATGTTGCGATGCATTTAAAAGACCACAACCCTTGAGTAATTCCACGTCGTTTTTTCATTCACATACAGCAAGGTAAGAAACAATCGTAAGAAAATAAGATTCAATCGTTCATTTAAATGTTTTTATTGTCAGAGTCGCTTCACTTTTATATTTACCTTAACTATAAGAAAGGTCAATAAAGTATTCCCAAAAAGGTCTTCTGCGGACTCGGAGATTCTGGCAATAACGGCTGACTTGGTTTGGAGAAGAATCAATCTACACTGATGCAGGAAGACCTTCATAAAAGCACATTAGTTTATACGCCCTGTTAAACCATCTTTGATGAATGCTCCAGTTTCGATTTGAGAGCAAAACAATAATATTTTAATCCAGGCAGCGTATTTCCTGCGATAAAAACATCCTATTCCTGCTGGAAAGGGAAACTGTATACTGTACTTTACTAAATGCTTAGTCATTTTATTTGCCTCGTATAGTCTGGAGAAAAAGTAAATTCCCGGGAACAAACCGAGGCAATGTAGAATCATTTCTCCATTATTGAATATCTTGATTTCTATACAGTGCGTATAAAAAGGTACCTAACTTTGGTAGCTTCTAATTACAAGGTTATAACCTATGTGACGTTGAATCATTAATCATGGTAAAGGTAACTAATACACTGTCTCATGATGCCATATTCATAAATGTGCTGCCACGGATGACTGAGCAGCAGGCTTTTCAAAAAGTATTGTCAAAATCCTCTTGTAAGTTTGGGCTGAAGCAATGAATTCCAGTCAAAAGCCATTATGTGTGTATTATCTCATTCCAAAAACAATGATATTGCTCACTTATTATAAATTGACTATTAGGAATTTGAAAGAAAAGGTGTCAATATCAACTCGAACTCAAGGAAATGCTTATTTCTACGAACATTTATGATACTCTTTTTGATATGATGATTACAATCTTGACTCTATTAGCATCCCTTTGTAAAGGTAACTCTTCTCATTGAGTGATACAAAATGCTTAAATTTTATTTGGGATGTTATCCTTTGTATAAAAGTCTACTGTCAATTTCTTTGATACTTATCATCATATGTGTTCTTTGCATTTGGGTTCAGTAACCTTTGAGTTTTCATTTGCTTTTCGAGATAAACACATTGGCCCGAATTTATAAAGGAGGTAAAGGAGATAAATCTAACCCATGGATTAAGCCTCCTTTAGACCATGGTTTAGAGCATGGGTTATCATTTTACAATTCACAAAGGAGGTTTAGATTTGTCCCACGGTTTAACAGCGTCATAAGGCGTCATATATTTAGCCTGTTCAGAGGGGTGGTTTAAAAAGCGGGTTAAATTTAAACCTCCTTTGTGAATTCGGGCCAATATGCTCATTACGCGTATGAAACCCCGTTGTAGTTATACACCTCCACATCTCCAATCAGTTTTACCAGGAGGGGAGACCGAAGGGTCATAAAAGTTTTCCCCTCCCAGGCATAGGGGACGCAATGATAACAATATTAATTAAAAATCTGAATAATTCAAAGATTACGTTATACAAGTATTAAATAAATCTTATTGTACAAAAGTATATAATAAAAGGTACACGCAGTGGTGCAGATACATCAGGGAACAGGGGGTACCAGTCGTGACCCCCCACCAAAAAAAGTTCCGATGACCGCTCAGAATCTGGACCCACCCCACGCCACTGTGGAAGCCGACATTTACACCGTGTTCTTGTTTTTTCTTTCACAATGTTTCTCAAAAGTGTGAGTGTGGGGGTGGGAGGGGCAGTGAACCTTTGCTCATGGAGGGCCTAATTTTCTGGAATGCTCTCCCTCGAGAGATTAGAAATAACGGATCAGTCGAAGCGTTAAAATTTTGATTTGGCCTTTCTTCTTAGGTCGATTTCATAATTCTATCAATCTATCTATCCTTGTTTGTGTTGTTATGGTTATTATTATTATGTATTTACGTAGTTTGGTTTTTAATTATTATTATTATCATTATTATTATTATTTCCCCAGATCTGTGCCCGCGACAGAACGTAACCGACCTAAAGGGTACCTTCGAATGGGACTACACCCCCGCGGGAGAGTACGCCTTCTTACCCTGCCCCAATGGGGGCTGGCTGGAGGAGTACTTCCCCACCGCCCCTCCCATGATGGTAGCCTACCGCCCCTGCTACCCACCCACGGTAAGAAAGGGGCTGATCGAGGCAGCTGTTCTACGAGGGGGCTTTCTGGGGCGAGCCGGTGACGGACATCTGTCGATGGAGCTCGGAGACAACATGGATGCTGGATGACATCCGCAAGGCGATCAGGGAGGAAATCTTGGATATGGTATGTCAGCAGGGGTTCTAGGACACCTACCCCCTGGACATCCACCCCCGGATTACCACCCCCGTCAACTACCCCTTATAGGACAACAGTATTATGCTACGTCGCATTATTTTGACCCTTTTCGTATCTGGCATAATTTGGCTGTTTTTAGCAAAATTCTGGCATAATTGAGCTTTTTTTTTTAGCATAATTTGAATACATTTTCAAGTACATGTAGTGTTCAGCGGCTGGCTGAGTCGGCCGAGGAATGTGAATCAAGACAGTGAATGATGACAACTGATACAAAGAAAGAGAAAGTAAATTTAATATTACAGATAGGATCGAAAGACGATTTTGAATGCAAAATAGGGCCTTGGGACAAGGGGGTGGGGTGGGGTCGGAGTAGGGCTTTTGGGGGTGATATTGATAATAGACAAACATTTGAGGACTTGACCTTCTGACTATATTGCAACACAAATAATTGTATTCTATTATAACGTGATATAAATATCGATTCTAGGGGATTTTTTTCACAAGATAATACAGCATTGACAAAAATATTTCCTCTTTCTCTTAGATTCAAAATCAAACGGTTTAAGGGAAGTTAGGAACAGTATATCAAAGATGGCAGTACATAACTTCTTCCTTTTCAATATATTGCCCTAAGGACGAGCCATCCTAGGAGGGCTGCAACCTTCTGAAGTCTTAAAGGTAATACAAAGTTTGGGAAAATTTTGAAAATTGGGTGGATAGTGATTCTTTACAATTTTGATATATTTGGATGCCGGCATGTGGATTTATTATAAGCACTAAAAAAAGTTAGCACCTGAAACACTTCTGCTTTCGAGAAAATTTTTGGATAAATTTCAAATAGCTCCTACGGCTGTACAATGGTAGCTTCGACCATGAAAATCTCAGAATATGTAGTTGTGATATATAATTTCCAAACGGGAATAGCTATTCGGTCGATTTAAGTCAAGAAACATTTTTTTTATTGCTTAATTAATATCTTGACCTTGAGAGGGAGCTATACATCATAAATAGTTTATCATTTACAGTTTCATAGCTTTAGACTCGATCTCAACAGCGACAACGATCACTGAATATTGTAGGATCGCATTTGCTTCCAACTTGTTTTTTTAAACCAAAATTCAAGACCCCATACCAAAACTTTGTTTTACCTTTAATGCTTGCATATTTCACATTCCTTTTCTTTGTCTTCACCTTCTTTCCTTGCCGTCTTCTTCCTCTATTTCCTGCTCTCCTCTCGTTTCTTTTTCTCCTTCTGTTTTACCTTCTCCTCCTTCTTCCTTTTCTCCTACTATTACATTTTTTCCTTTCTTCTTATTCTTTCTATCTATCTCTCTATTTTCTTTATCTCTTTCTCCTTCTGCCCCTCTTTCTTTCTCTTATTCTTTACCCACCCAAAGCTCTTTTCTCATTCTTTTCCTCCTCCTCCTTCTTCGTATCCAGTTCCTCTCGTTCCTGTTTCTTTTTATGCTTAATAATATTAATCAATCATACTTGTCAAACAGCTTTTGTATGGATGTAGAGTTCAGAAAAAATTCATCTAAGTCACATATTATATTGTTTATAAATTCTAAATATCCATTTCGCATTTATGTGACGTCGTCTGCTTGGAGCCACAGTGGCACTGATTTGATGGAATTAACGACACTGGCGTACCGATGGGGCCGTACCGATGGGAGGGGGGGGGGGGGGCAGTTGACCTCAAATAAAATAAAATTCAAACATGGTTTATTTCTAATTCGATACCAGTGATTTACAAATGTTGCTGAAATGGCATGATTTTTACCTGAGCTTCCGGGGGCTCCGCCCCCTTGACCCCACCAGGGCCCTTAGGCAGGCCCCTGGATGATCATCTGACCGTAATTAAATGCCTAAAACCCCTGAGCTTCATGGGGCTTTGCCCCTGGACCCCACGCCAATTACGCTCTACTTGCTTCACCCTACCTGATCGTAAATTCTTTAGCCCCCCCCCCACTTGTTTCGTGGTGCCTGCATCTACAGATCTACGTGGTGCTGATACGGATTTCAGTAGTTAATGCCCCCCCCCCCCCCCAAAAAAAAAAAAAAAAAAAAAAAAAAAAAAAAAACATTCTTGCTCATTACGTCACTTGTTAACGCCCTTGTAACCCCAAACATACGACATGTTCAATGTATCCGTTAATATGTTTGTATATTTTGTATGACGTATTCCATTATGAAAAATATGAAGTAGGCCTACATGCCTATTAACCCTGCTTTGTTGACCTTGGCCTTTTCTCTCTTCTACTTTTATATACCTTTTTAAACGTATCTATACAAGTTTATGCACTGTTACCTCCTGTGTTAATTAATCACGATGTTAATGAAGTGATATTGAAACAAAAGATATGAAATTGAAATAAGATCTAGTCGAAATCGGACTACGTCATGTTTTTGTCTTTTCCTGGATCCTGGAACTGGAATTGAACTCGAGTTTGAACTTTATTGGAACACCTTTTAGTCCCTTGGGGGCAAATAAAGGCTTAAAGGAGCAAACAAATAAAACAAATGATTACAAAATTTACATTTACAGCATATTTTCAAGGTATGTACAATTGTCACTTAGTTTAATAATGAACACTTTCTTCTCTAGTAGATACAGAAATGAGGGAAGAAGTCTGAACAAAAATTGGCTTACTAGCTTCAGACGTAATTATGCGCATGCGCTGTTCAATCAACATTTCCTCGTTCTTGGTGTGTACACAAACTACGTGGCTTCTCGTTGTGATTTAGCGTAAGAAGTAACCTTCCTCTCATTGCTTTACCTTCTGATTCATGTGTATGAAATTAGGTAAGTGATTGTTGGCTATTGTATTAGGGTTCTAGTTGTGTTAGTGTGTTTCTTATATTTGTGATAGAGCCACAAATGCCTTCGTTTTATAAAGCTGTAAGAAGAATGTGAGCCGGAAATTGGATATTGTCTACCCCGATGATGACGGCGAGACTTTTGGCCTGTGACAGAGACGCCCGTTAGCTAGGGCTATATGAAGTTGCAATGTCTAGTAGATACTAGTAGGCCTAGTGGTAGTTGGAACATGAATTTGAATGATACAAGTAGCTTGGATAGGTGTATGTGCTGATAATTAGAAGTGATGAATATATCGCTGTAATACAGAATATCTTACCTTTCTTTTTGGCAGTTTAGTTTAGCTAATTTACTCTTTAAATAATCTTTAATTCTCCAGTGATGCCAATGCATGGCAAGTTGCTGGCTAATCGAAAGAATGTCATTTTCTGGTTCTTCTTCTTCTTCTTCCATTTTGAGTACATACATGTACTATTCACCTGTATGCACCTGTCTTTTCGGGCTCCTTTGTAAGACAATGTCTACTAGACCGAATTTTCCGTCTCTTTCGTTCGTTAAGCCTCTTATTTGGGTAGGGTCGGCTCTCTCTTTAGAGGTAGAAGCAGACTATGTATACGCATTCCCTTGCTAACACCATGGCCATTTATGGCCATATTTTTATGCCCCGAAAAACCCCCAAAATGTAATTTTATCTCGTGCATATCCAATTTATGTTACATTTTAAATTAGGCCTAGTCTAGGTCTAGGCTATAATACATCGGTTCAACTTACCAACTTGACTGAAATAATCCGTTTAATGGTCCCTTTTTAGGAAATTATGGGTCAAAATCGACATCCACGTTGAAAATCTTTAACTCTCCCTGCGCATGACGTCATCTAAATCTCATCCCTTCTAGTCTACGCCGAAGGCAAAATGATTACGAAGAAAAACTGTGATAACGCCATTACGAACGTGTAGCTCGTGCACAGTTTTTCCTTCATAATCATTTTGCCTTCGGCGTAGACTAGAAGGGATGAGATTTAAATTGGATATGCACGAGGTAAAATGACATTTGGGGGGATTTTCGGGGCATAAAAATATGGCCATTTATGGCCATGGTGTTAGCAAGGGAATGCGTATAGTCGGCTTCAGTCTCTAAAGAGAGAGCCGACCCTACCCAAATAAGAGACTTAATGAAAGAAAGACACGGAAAATTCGGTCTAATACGTGTACATTGTACCTCTTTACAGAGTTTTATCGTACTACTGTATACTGGGGTTTGTGCAGATGGACCACTACACCGGGGTTCCCCCCCCTTCTCTTAGTCTTTTTAATAGTGCAGAGGGTTCTTACCAGGCAAAGGTAGTGACTCTTCTCTACACAGGCCTCCATTTAACGTCCTATCCGAGGGACGGAGTGTTTCCACTTAACATAGCCTGCGTCTATGAACACACAACGCAGGTTTCAGTTATCCGCCTGGGTGGGATTTGAACCTGGGATCTTTGGTTCGACAGGCAGACACTTTACCGACTAAGCCAACTCACCTCCTCGCCTTCTGGTGGGCTATATTGCATAATCTCCTCAGCTGGGATGTAATATATGCCGAATATAATTAATTTCTAAAGTGGGCTCTAGCAATTATTTCGCCCATGTTGAGCTTTTGAAAGTTGTCCTTAAAGGCTCCAAGGGTGGGGGCAGTACTAACATGGGTCAAGAGAAAGTTCCATTCTGGGAATGTCCTAGGATATACATGTAGGGATTGTTTAAAACAGTCCTTTACAGCAGATAACTTCTTGAATGATAAATGAAGAGCGTACTACTTAGTACTTAGGGATTAGACATTAACTAAGCTCAAGTAAGGGTAAATCCTACCATAAGCTTGTAGAACTGTATATCTCGAAGACTTGTAGTCACCGACGGTGGAGCTCAACTTGAAGCGTTGATTTGAGATTCAGGGGAACATAGCACTAGGCGTGTTGTAGCTAGCTTGCTGTTCCTGGTCAAATCTGCCATACCCAGTATTGGGTATATGGCCACGGAACAATCCGCGAGTGTCGCAAAATGCGGGACTCGCGCGCATATGCGTTTATATACGCCAGAGCCGTACTGGCTCGGGCTGAATCACTACAGAGGTACCCCTACTCCAGATGATTTGTTTTGGTAGTGGTCGGTATCAACAGCAATTATTAAAGTTGTGGATGGATTTGTAGAGGAAAGTCAACCTCTGGGCTGCTCTTCTGTACTCCAATGGTAATGGTTGCCAATTACAGATAGGAGATCATCTCAGCTCAGAGACGCTGCTCCGGCATTCATGACGGTTCAAGACGAATCTTGCAGCATGTTCATGTTCATGAAGAGACATGACAATATGAAATTAAAAATGGAAGTGAATCCTTATTTACCTGTTCTGACTAGCATGAAAATACCCATAACCAAGGAGGAATGATTAAGTTTGAGGGTATATAAACCACACCTCCACAAGGATTCACACATTCATCATGACATGTTCATGACATTAAAAGTAAATACCGTATCAAAAAGTAGGGGTGCGGCCTTTGCGCAACAACAACAAAATTCAGGGGTCAAAACAGCACGTCCATCCACCTACAGGACAATTATAGAATAACTCTACACAACTTACAGACCAATTTTTTATCTTGCATTGTTGACATGAAGACGAAAATAAACAGCATAACTTATGTTACATGTAGATCTAGATCTTTTAGGTAAACTTCTTGTAAATTTATAAGAAAATTGATGAATTTGGTATCAGTTTGTAGAAAAAATAGTGTTCTTTTTTCTTTTCTTTTTTTTCTTTTTTTTTTTCTTCCCTCTACGAAATGTCAAAGTTGGGGTAGCGGTCTATGCGGCGCTGTGGCCTTATCGCTGGCAAATACGGTACAGTGTAACAACATGGAACCCTCTACATTAACAGCAAAAAATGTTTTAGTGATTGGGATACATGTACTTTTAATATCATCTCCGATAAACTATACACAAATTGGCAATTCTGGTACATGTACATGTAAGCCTACCAATTGGAATGATTGCCAAATCAGCTTCAAATGGTAGACAATTGCAGGACTGCTCCGTCATCGCAATGATTCGGAGCCAAATCAAACCTTCTTCCGACTAGAAGTCATACAATAAACTAGAATACATGTAGAAGGCTTACAATAAACTAGAATGTTGATTATGATATCTGTGAATGACCATGTAAGATTTTTTTTCTTCCCAAATTTGGATCGCGGTTTGATTGTGCAGTGTTTTGTTGGCGTTGAAAGTGCCACCTGCAACTATTTCTGAATACGTTGTTTTGGCATTGGGGGGGGGGGGGGGGTTAGTGGTTGTGATTGGTGCTCCTTTGTGCTCTATATAATTGCTCCTTTAAAGCCCAAGTCCACTCCAAAAATAACTTACTTTCAATAGAACCAGAAAGTTATGAATTTTTAATGACATGAAAAACTTTGAAAATCTCTACACAAATTGGCAACTCACTCATGAGTCTGTGACGTATGGTCCTCACTAATTATTTTCTTTAAATTGATAATATAGATTCCCTATTTTCACCCTAAGAATCTTATTTTTTCACACCAGCATCCAAGTTAGATTGTTAGTAATATGTTTTTGTGTGGATGCACAAATGAAGAGTAGTTTTTGTCCAGTTAAATCATGAAAAAATGAATTTTGATAAACTATTTATATAAAAATCAATAATTATAAAATACAATATTCAGAAAATAGTATCAATTCTTCAAAACTCATAAAAGTTTTTGGGAAATGTCATGCACGCAATATGATACAAATCATATAACCTGGGCAAAGGCATGGGGAAATCAAGTTTTGGGGGATAAAAAGGGAAATTAATGGGATTAAACTATATACATGTAAAGCAATTGATAAATAGTGAGAACATGACGTCACAAACTGATAACCAAATTGGCAATTTGTGTACTGATTCTCATTGTTCCATAGTTTTACATACTTTTTCAAAAATTCTTAACTTTCTTATAATTAGTTATCCGATTTTGCACAAACTTTTTTTGATTGGTTTGTCTGATTTTTCTGCTTCTATTGGAAGTAAGTTATTTTTGGAGTGGACTTGCCCTTTAATCTTCGATCGCAACATTTACTGGTACTGAGGTGTGTAAAATACATTTAGACAAGACTTAGGAGACAGAATGCCATGCTCCCCCACTGCAGTACTTGAGTGATACAGTACATGTAGGGTTTGGTGGCGTTTTGTGCTAGTACAGTGTTCATCATGTATCTTGTTTTGGAAATAAGCCATGTCTCTCTCTTTTGACATTGACCTAGATCCTATTACTCATAACATACAAGTAATACCTCGCAACTCCTAATGTACAACACATGCTAAAGGTCAATGAATTTAAGATGATGCCATTGATAATGAATGGCACCCTGACTACCCTCTTACAAAATGGAAAGGAAAAAATGTTGTTGAGTGTGGATGGCAGAATTAATTTACAGTCCACTGTATGGTTTGTTCTTATTAAATCTAAACATGTACTGTAGGTACATGAAAGCCTATGCTCTGCACTGATAAGGCCTGAATACAAAGTAAAATACATCTGTAAACATAGTAGGGAAGCCTACTCAGCATCAATGCTGCAATTATTATTACCCCTGAAATGCAAGGTACCCATTTACATGTGCACCTGGGTGAAGAGTGGGAAATGTGGATTAATGTCCTGCCAAGGGATGTGAGGATCGGGGTGGGATTTGAACTCCTAACTCTCGGATTTAGTCAAAATAGATGAACCACTAAACCACGGCACCTGCACAGATGTATATACTATGATTCTTTCTGTAATACCCCTGATAAAGATAGAGCTCTGTCTCCCTTGACTTTAGCACCTTCGGCTCAAGTGTGAATGGTTCATGTGCATGAGTTCATTTCTTGATGTCATCTGACTAATTGAGAAGACATGTTCACACGTAGGACTAGAGGTGATCGCACTCTGATCCAGGTTTAATAACACCTTTCAAGGCTCTCATTCATTGTGGAGATGGGTCGAGCGTGGTGGAACAGCCTGTTTACACTGCAGGAAATTTATACGAAACTCCTATAGAGAAACGTTGTGTAAAGAAGACCCAGCTGTGAAAATAAAAATGGTATTTTCTTACACAGTAAACTACTATTTGTACACAAACACCTAGCGAGGATGACGTTTAGCGTTTTTATTTTCGGTTTTTATCAATGACTGAAATTACCGCCTGGGACAGTTACCATCTGTGCACAGTACATTACATGTAGTATATCTCTGATGAGCGACAAACATGTACAAACATGTACAAACAAATATCTCACACTGCATATTAAAGTGCACAAAATCATCAATTCTTTCATTCACTCCTTTCATTAAATCATTTTTTTATTCCATTTATTCATTCTTTTATTCATTTGTTCCATTCATTCTTTAGATTCATTCACTTATTCATTCCTTCCTCCCTTTTTTCCTTTATTCATTCCTTGATCCATTCATTCATCCATCCATCTATTAATTCATTTATAAAAGGATCAAGGCTACATTGGATTTTTTTATAAGAGGCAACAAATAACAACCATTGTATAACAAACAAAAAAATTAATCGTTAAATCATGACCAGGGGGCCGTTTCTCGAAACCAACTCCATGACAGTCATATCTTTGTCGCCGACCTACGGAGATGTCATGAAGTGGATAAACCGTTTCACAAAGCCATGACAGACATGATATCGATATATCGCGATACTAGCAGCTCAAGAACATAGTCTTTGTCACGATCCATTTGATTTATGAAGAATAACCAAAAACAAGTTTGGGGGCTAAAATTGTTCAAAAAGAAATATATACATATAAATTCTCCTAAAATAAATAATAAATAGTATCATTATCATATTTACATCATTGAACGATTTGCATATTTCTGTAAAGATTCTTAAATTGAAGAAAAACCGGTGAGTGTTTTTTTTTTGACAGTCGAATCAAAAGTTAGTTGAAGGATACCGTAATGTAATAGTTTATCAATACGTACTTTTTTGTTTATTATGACGAGGAAGTTTGTTGAGCACTAGCACTAACAGTTTTGTTTTCATGGTAAGCAAATATACACAAGGCTACTCATGTCTAACCTGCACATTCTGATGAGGACATGTTTCCATGATTTTATTCATCTATTCATAATCTGTAACAGGATATAAGTTTATTACCTATGCAAAATTGCGTGTATCTTTTTGATAAAGACATGTATGTACAATCTAGATATCCCAAGGGGAATTTAAGACCGTTCAAACTTCAAACTTTTACCCCTTAACATTGTCAATAGGTCTCATAGTGACGTAGCTTAACACCCTCTACCAACTTCATTAGAAATACCCAGATAGAGAATATTCATCATCACAAATTCCACACCTAAACCAGGGCTTGAGACTTAACAGGTGCCCGGGTGATATGGGCGCCTAAAATCAAAGTTTGGACCCCCAAAATCTAAGTCTGGACATGTTGAAGTTTTTACGTAGGGCTCATGCTGTAAAAAGACAAATATGGACCCGCTTCCAAAAATGTTGTCTTGGAGCCTTGCCTAAACCTTGACTAAATGCTTTTCTATTTCATGCATGTTCAAAGACCTTTCCAAGTGGACCACCAGTTTCGCAGCGTGCAACATTTGTACACACATTAATGAGTCATCCCATTAATTCCATTGTTATACTTGTTAATAGTGAACTGTGACATCATACACATGGAAACTTTAGAGAGCTTGAATTGAATGAATGCTGCATTTGCCTAACTACATGTACTACACTGTAGGCAAGAACAATATTTATTTCCTTCTTAGTGAAGCACTCACATGAATGATTTTGATTACCCTCACTGCCTCGAGTTGAATCCGCTTGCAGTCATACAGGAACAATACACTTCTATAGTCTTACATACATGTAACTGTAAATGTATTGCTTATGTGCAGGTACAGGGTACATGTATTAAAGCCTATTGTGCAGGTATGATTTTAATTATAAAGAGAATAATTTATTGTGGTTCCATTTGTGCCAATAGAAGCAGACTGGTACCTGCACATATTGCAATCAAAACGATTCCTATTCATATTTGTGAAGGCTAATGTGTGGTGGGGTATGATACATGTAGGTCAGGTTGATTTTTGAGGTCAGTTTGGTGCATACAGAGTAAGGCTGTGCACAACAGGGTAATGAGGTACCCGAGTACTTGCCCAGGCTTACAAGCGAATACTCAAGTATTCGGATGCCATGTTTTTTAATAATTTTTGTGGATTTTTTTTGTGGATTTTTTGTGTGGATTTTTTGGATTTTTTTTTTGGATTTCTGATTTTTTTTTTGCCACCACCATACCACTGGAGCATTATGCCAGGTCCGTCGCCGAAAACGCATGCAATTTTACTTCGAGTTGCAGTTGAAGGCGCCGATTTAATGATAATAATAACAATAAAACAATGCTGTTTTAAAAACAAAGATGGTAGAATAATCCATTTTCCTCCAAGTCCAAACAGAAATCTGGACATTTGGTCCCAGTTTCTGAGTGGTGAGTTTGATAGTGCATGAGTTGGGAAACATTTTTACCGACGGTACCATGCCAGCGGCCGCCGCTCTCCCTGGCACGGGTAAGCGTAGGCCTGGACAGTGCCAGGTGACCGGGATTTTTTTTTTTTTTTTTTTTTTTTGCCGAATATTCAAGTAGGAGAAATCGTACTCGAGTAGTTGTCAACAGTACGGGTACAGCCCTAATACAGAGTAAGATTTGCTACTGAATATGTAATGTCTTTGCCTTTCCCAGTGTTGTATTAAAAAGGAAGCTCGAAGTACACTGTGTGTATTTGCATTGTTATTCTTGTCTAAATACCAGGATGATTCAATATTTATTGCTGTTGATTGCTCTCTTTAATCCAGATCCAATTGACGAGCAGACCGGATCATCCAAATACAGAAGTGGAACATGACCCGTTCATGACAACGAGCGAAACAACAACGTTGGTGATTTCATATTCCAAAGAAATAAGCCACTCGGAAGAGGCTTACAAGAACTACCTGTAAACATGTTGCCTAGAAGAAGACAATGTAAAATTATCATAGCCACATCGCTATTTTGGATCTTTGTGGACTTTGTCTTATTAATGTACTACACTGCGCCCTGCGTCGGACCTAAATGTCAACAGCCCACCAACGAGGATGGATCGGGCCCCATCAAGAGGATTATTGACAGAGCTAATAAGTGGATGAATGAATTACCAGAGGAGAGAAAACAAATGGGTAAGATATTGCTGGTCCAGTTGCAGAAGGGCCCTATACTGTACTGTACATGTACGTGTACCCATAAGAAGATCGGAGCGACACCCACGCACCTTTGATCGGTATCGTATCGGAAGATCGACCAAAAAAAATCTGCTGATTTTTTTTTTTTTTTTTTTTTTTTTAAATGACAAATTTTTTCAAGTTTTGGGCTATCAAATGCTCAAAAAATTTCATGGTTGGGATTATTTTGTCATTTGGAGTTGTTGTAGACCATGTTTGTTGATATTTAGTGCCTTTTCATGACTTTTAAATTAATAATATTGGTCTAAGAGCAGAGGCAAAACATGCGGGCCGCCATCTTGGTCCTTGGATTATAATGCATACCTACATTATAATTCAAGATGGCGGCCTGCATGTTTTGCCTCTGCTCTTAGACCAATATTATTAATTTCAAAGTCATGAAAAGGCACAAAATATCAACAAACATGGTCTACAACAACTCCAAATGACAAAATAATCCCAGCCATGAACTTTTTTTGAGCATTTGACAGCCAAAAACTTGAAAATTTTTGTCATTTTCGTCGGAAGAAGAAGAAAAGAGGGAAACGGGGGCGAAGGGCTCTTGCCCTCCCCCCGCCAAAAAAAAAAAAAAAAAAAAAAAATTGCAGATTTTTTTCCGATCATTTTAATTGATCAGCGATCGGAAATTTTTCCCCGATCACCCCTGATCGGATCGGTATTGGCGGCCGATCCGATGATCGTTTACAGGGTTACCTGATTGAGCTAAATATAGAATGTATTTAATCAATCTAAACAAATCTTTGTCTTGTATTCTGAAGGTAAACGGATAAAGAGTGTGTAGAAAATGTAGAGTAGAATGACAGAAAACCCTGGGTATAGGGCTTGCACGGAACCCAGGTCGGACTTTGGTTCAGTGTGCGCCCTATTCTATGCCAGTGTGTATGCATGCATCAAGTAGTCTACACAACAAGGCGTTTGCAATTCCCTGGGTGTGTGTTTGATTGCAATATACATGTATATCTCTTTGTTCAGTCAAACCTGTCTATAGCGACCGCCCAAGGGAAACCAGGGAATAATTTTCCTCAAATTTTTTGATTAGCAATTTCAGCTGATGTATAAATATTTCAAATGAAATTCTGTACATTTCTATGGAAGAAAACTGCTACACAAAAGATATTTTGTATAGCAGTCATGCAAAAATGCATAGCAAATTGCGATGCGATACCAGGAAAATTATTCCCTGGAAACACTAAAGTGGTCTTTGTAGACAGGTTTCTATAGTACAAGTTTCATTGAGAAACCATTTTCAAGGGAAACAAAAAATGTGGTCTTTGTAGGCAGGTGGTCACTAAAGCAGGTCTGACTTTAATAAAAATATTTGAAGCTCATAGCAGGGACGTGAATCAATCGGGAATCAAGCTGCTCTCCTTTGACCCCATGCTCCAAGCCGCCGAAAAGTTATGCGCTAATCTGCAACTGCTGACCAGGTCGTGAGATAAAAGAGCGCATGAATTTCAGGATTTAGAATTCCTACATCAGAAAATGGTATCGCAGCAACTGTTCGCTGTCCCTTTCAATGATTTATCATCCATTGTTGAATGTGTAAAGAGTAGAACAAGCGAACACAAACTTGTGTAATTTCATCCTTTTTTAACTTCAAAAATACAAAAAAACACGCAAAAACACGCATTAGCAAACTTAATGTTATTGAAGATTGTAAATCATGGATCAAATAACAGGACATTAAAACATGCACAACTTAGCGCATTTTCCTAAACTATTGAGTTTTTTTCAGGATGTCATTTTATTTTTACCAACTCTGGCACACAAATCATAGGAAGGACGGAGTTCTAAATTTGAAAATGTGTTTGATGCACTATTACCAATACAATCCCCATATAAAGTTTTTGATTTACACTGAAATTTTGCCGTTAATCTAATATTTTGTAATAAACGTAAAGCTGGTGCCTGGCTTCCGAAAGTCCCCGCAGTGGAAGCGCGGTGTGGCGCATGGAACTTCAAAGCCAAGTGGAATGTTACACATCCCATTGTTACGCTTTAGAACTCACGAATGCGTTGAATAAATTACAAGAGTTTCGCCGGCTTGATTTCAGTCCTTCTCTATCAAGTCCCTGCTCATAGTATATAGTAACATGGAACCCATTTCACCAATTTCTTGTCAGAACATAAATTAAAGGCTATTTTCTAGTACTTGAGAAATAAAAATGAAAGCTCTATAAATAGTGCATATCACTAACCTAAAGAAAGTTTCTACATGTACAGTATACATGTATGCGCTTTATAAAGAAAGGAGGGATACTGTACATGAACAGGTAGGGCAAAATAAGAAATGAACATTTACATACATGTACATGTATATGCCTGGTACCAGTACATGTCCTGTACATGTATACATGGGTACAAATATCAAATAATTAAATAATTTTCATGTGTATTATAAACCAAAGATATACATGTATATATCTTAGCACATAATAAGACTTAAATCAGCTCAAGTTCTATTGTGTTTTTTCATAATCATAAAAATTGCAACCGGGTAGTCACAAACAATACTACATTTCATAAAAATGCAAACACACTAGGGGATAGGATTTTAGAAGTCGTGAATTCTTGGTAATCAGTCACATTTTCGTACAACAGGAAGTTCTTTGTTACATGTGCTCCAGCAGAAAGAGAGAGAGAGAGAACGGGAGAGAGAGAGAGAGAGAGAGAGAGAGAGAGATGAAAATGAACCGCAACAGCATGCCATGCATGGATAAGAATGTACACATGAAACCATGCTACTAAAAATACTTGCTTTCTTTTTTGGGGAACACTTAACAACCAGAATCCTTTGTGACAGTAAACTTCTGCTACATGTAGTTGTCTGTAAACAGTCATTTTAACAGCAAAAAATTGTCATGAATTGCAAGTATTAAAAGTACATTCATAATAGTGCTGTGTCGATTGTGATTCATTTGTTCTTGAAAAAAAAAAATGGAATGTAATATATTGATACAACAGGTACATTTGTACGTCTGTGTCAAGCACAATTGCTATCCATTTACACATTTTTTTTTTTTAATTTGCCTTTTTAATGCATCATATCTGAATGAGCCTTTAGAGAGCGATCGAGCGTACATGTAGACCCACACAAATTGAGTTATAAACATGTACCGTAGGTTTACATCAATGCAGGCTGTGACTTCGGTAGTTATGGCCCGCCTGCAGTGGGACTGGCAGACCATGGCAACCACCTCATTGACTTGATTTGATTTACAAAGTGAAGGTCAGTGAGTGTAGAAATAGAAGCGGAGCAATGAAGCATTGTAATCAGCCATGTACTGTATATTCAGGAGCTGTGGGTGACTTTACTCTGAAAAGCTTTGAAATACAGTAGGCCTAAAAGATTAACAAAGTGCTCTGGTGGTACGATGGCTCAGTGGTAGAGAGCTGTGGTCTCGTGACTGAGAGATTCCTGGTTCATAACCACGTCGATATGAATGCTAGATGTATATGTACATGTACATGTCTAGTAGTACCCTTTGGTAATGTATTCATAATCATCATTACCAAATACCAAGTCCCTTGGACAGAACTTGAACTAAACCGTCCGTTCCCTGGTGGCTTACTTACAAGCAAATTTGTTCTATTTTGTAGGTAAAAACTAATCATCAGTCACAATACCTATGACAAGAAGAAGATTATTAAACACCAATGACAATGAAAAGAAATCTCCTCCCCCAAAGAAAGAGGTCTTGTGAATTACTTTATTTATTCATATTCGTTTTACCTCTTACCAGCTCATTAATAACTGATAAAGTGATGAGAGATACAGCATGTCCATAATGTGTTAAGGATGGTTTTACAGGTCATAAAATATACAGCTGTGTACAGAGTACAGACTATTATAGTATTATTATCAACAGTAAGAGTCGAAGAAATATTAATTAGGGCAGATATTTAGGTGATGGTAACAGCTGTGTATATAATAGTGTAGCGGAAATTTTTAAAAAATGCTGGAATGTAGGTCACAAGGGTAGTATGCACTCTGCAGAAACAGACTCTAATTAATTAGACACTGAATTCTGAAGCCTTGAGCCAGGGAAAAAAATACACTGGGGCTCGGGCGAATGTGCCCCGAAATGCCCAAAAGAGCCCCTAAAAGTCAGATGCCTCACCCCACCCTCATTTTTCAAGATTTTTTTTTCTTCACTCTTTTCATTTCATTGTGAAAATAAATTAGAAAGGGAAATCCCCTTTTACTTACATGGGATCTGTTCATGACATTCATTTAGGATGAAAATTCGCTACCGGTGCTCAACTTACTCCGGATTTGTTTTCTTACCCTGAAGAATTATTATTTGTAGTTGCCCTTGGCGATTGAGCAATCTCTGTTGTTCAACCCTTTGGTATTAAAGCGCATTAATCGAGATACTGGAGAAGGAGGGAAAAACCGCCTCGGTCCAGTAAAGTTTATTTACCCAAAGAAATCAATACAATCAATATTTGGCACAGCGTTTCAGGAAGAACCCATGGCTGCCTGTCACCCATATACACTACTGCCTAAAGGTTTTGGCAGCGGGCTGACCCGATGCCCGAAGCGCGTAGTTGGAGAAACGATGTTCGGGTCGCGCCCGATGTTCGAGTCGCGCCCGAAATCTGCCCGAAATCAGCCCGAAATCAGCCCGAAATCTGCCCGAAATCTGCCCGGTACTATATTCGCCTTGAAATGATGCGCGTGCTGAAGTCGTGCGTTTTTAAGACTCGCACGCGACGAGACCCGATGACGTCACGTTGAAAAGTCAAATTGGTCGAGAAGAGCGATTCAACTGCAGATCAATTTGCCTATACAATTTGCGTGTTAAAATATGAATCGCACCGCACGAAAATTATACACAAATACACGTAGAGTGTATGGGAGAGTCGAGTGTATGTTAGGAAAGACGCTCACTAATTTGTTTTGGTGTTCACCAACTCTCACAGCAATATGAGTA